CCGGGGAACCCCCCCCAAACGCCACCCCATGGGTCTGTGGGTCAGCACGGGTGGGGTGGGTTATTTACCATCTTTTGGGTTTAACCTCACCCCCCCCCCCCCCCCCCCCCCCCACTCTTGTTTGGTCTTGGTCTCTTACGGCCAGGTTCAGATCATATCATAGCATGCATGCATCCATCGTATCGTCTACTAGCACCGGAGCTAAGCTTGTTCGTTGGGAGGGTTGAAGCGGGGGTGGGTTTGAAGTGATCTACTACTATGCATTTGGCAGGAGGAGAGGGCACCGATAAACGTAGGGCGAAGGTCCAAACTATAGTGGAAGCCAATGATAAGTCGTTGATACAAGGGACGGAGTGGTACGGCCTTGCGATATTTGACCCCCGGAGAAGATCATTAGATTTGATAGGGTCGCACTAGCAGCCCGAGCTGCTTGGCAGTTTTTGAAGTTTGAGCACAGTCCGCGAAGCAGACTTACATAGAAGGTAGGTATCTAAAGTACCGGGACACACCGGGCGGGTATACAGGCATGCTGGCCGGGCTGGATATATCATATGCAGTTAGGTATACTTCGTACATCAACGCGTGGTACGGCATTACAGCGGAAAGTCACTTTTAGTAGTAATATAAAGGGTCAGCATTTTATCACGAAAATTCAACTATCACTCAGCTGCCCGTCATGTAAGATTGTCGGTCAAGGTGGAAGATATACTAGATTGCATAAATCTCACGTTTGCGCTACGCTCCGATGCACTCACTAGCAAAGTAGATTCGCGACGAGCGAGGACTTCAAGATGAAGGGACTGGAGCCGAGACATACAAACTTGCCAGGCATGTAGGTAATTAATGCACCTAGCCTTGGGCATCTGTAGGGTCCCGAACCCTAGACGCGCATTAGACCGTGTTAAACGCAAGCAATATATGTAGGTACCTAACCTAACACAGATGGGCCTCGAGGCGTTTTTCAGGGTTTTCAGGAGTAAGATCCAACCTCGTTTTCGAATACATTTCTAGATTGAAATTGATGGATGATTAGAGGTCTAGTTTACTGCAGGTTTGTTTAGGCTAACCCCCATTTGCCGGTTGCGAATATAATTAGGTTGGGTAAGGTAGGATATAATATACCTTAGGTACGATTATAATTATACACATCCTCTAAAAGAGAAACGTTGACGGGGCCGATCTCTGTCGATCAGCTCGCGGATGGTTGACTTGCATCTCCAATCTCGACCGGTCCAGACTTTTTACTCGGGATCTGCTTGGATCCGGTCCCACTACGTGTTGGCCTTCGCAATGTGAGCAATTGCGGCCGCGGCCTATGCTAGCGAAAGCTGACAAGCAGGCCAGCCAGCCTACTTAACCGGTTGGATCAAGTCAGCTTCTCATGTCTGTAAGATAGACCGAGTTGAGGCCGCATATCATTAGGGAGGGTCATACGTATATGTCCAGTTTTATACTTTGTGGCAGGGAACAGTAAACGTATCATCGTTGTAAACCGTAAACCATAAACCGTACTGAATTATATGTAAAAATATACGAGGATTAGCTTGCTAAACACCCTTACCCCCATGGAATCCTATTTCCCCTCGCGGGGTTTTGAAATTTGTTAAAGCCCTGGTCCTTGGTCCTGGTCCTGGTCTCTGAGCGGTTCTTGACTCTTGAATAGAACCAGCATCAATGTGCCATCGGGATCGGCCATTTTCATCATCTACGTAGGCGTGCGTGAGCCTCAAAGGCGAGACGTCAAAAAAGCAGGCTTTTAGTACGAGTAGGTAAAGTTTTAAGAAAACTCGTCATGCTGATTATGCTTATAGGTTTACTTGTTATTGCTGTCATAATGCCTGTTTTAGGGGATCATTGTTTGTTCGCTAATTAACCAATCAACATAAAATCACTTCGGTTTACAAAAGCTCATCCCGTTTTTATTTATTTCTTTCTTTTGAACGACCTGTTGCCCCCTCGGTTCCTAAAGTTTATTAACAAAAGGGCTATCCAAGCTAACAGGTACCTTATATGTTATCTCAACTGCGGCTCTCCTTTTGACTGACACTACTATGTTAGGAGGTAGTTGCTCCGTTACTTTGGATTCGAAGTACCTAGCCGCCACCGAAGTTGTCAACAATATACAATCATCGAATTGGTTACCTTTTTCAACTATCAGACGGGAGTTACACCACGTTGCCAAGCCATAGTCATTGTAAGGCGTATACTTCGCTAAAACGTACCTAGTATGTGAGGTAGTGTATCTTTGGCCCCCTTGAATACCTACCTCTACCATAGAGTTCTTCTCGGAACGGTGTCCAGACCGGGAGTATTCGCTTTCTTACTGGGTCTCTTCTCCACGCGACCGAGCAATTTGCCTTCTTTCAACGGGCTTACACCTTCAACCCCACAAAATTCCGAATCTGAGAGGCGAAATACATCACATTGAAGTGGCACGCCCCCGAGTTCACTAGCTTTTTTTTTTTTTTTCTTGGAAATTACTCGAGCTTGTTCGGGTTTTCTGGCCACAGACTCTTGGCTCTTATATAGACGTGTCAAATACATAATATGCTACAACTTCCGCTGCTTTCCAAGCTGCATTCTCATAATTATGACACGTATCCCAGGTACCAACAGTATCAAGCAGCAAGACTTTGCGTATGATTCAATTTTATAAAAAATCATATCATTCACATAATTCATCTCCATTCAATTTCCGTATCACACAGTAACACGTGTAACCGTTTCATCACCGTCACCACTTATAATATACAGTATTGATTTTCCTATTCCGGAAATCCCCGCCTTCACGGTGCATCCAAGAAGAGTAGTATCCAAGGGTACCGTATCTTCTCCCTTTTTCCAGCCAGCCACCCAACAATTGTTTATTATTACGGGTTTGAAACCTTGTCCTGCTAGCCACGGACCCCTTGGATGCGTGTTATATATTATTACTACATTGCTTCCTCCCGATTCTATTCTTGTCTTCATAAACCCACCTCTCCTCCTCCCCCAGAGCCCACAGAGTTTTATAGCTCTACTTTTCCGGCCTAGGAACCGCGTGGGATTAACATTAACACAATATAAGGCAGCCTGGTGCGGCCCATCTCCGTTCGCAACAAACCGCTAAACAACATCGTCGACGCGATTACCTAACTCTCTATACTTAGCTTCAACTCTAGCGCTCTACCATCAAGTTTTCATCGCTTATATTGCGGCGTAATTCATGTGTATGTGACGACAACAAAACATCACGAGGTAGAACAACATCTCGGCGCAACCACAAAATCACCACGCTCATAACCGCGCTCTCCTCATTCGCCTCATTCTCCTTCTCATAATAAAGAGTATCGCAGAAATCGCGATATATTCTACAAACCCTCAGACGCATAACCCATCTCCGCTCATCAAGATGGTTACTACAACATCAACAACGTCGCATCGCCACGGCGACGAAACCTTACACTACCACCTACCGGACACAAACGTGCGAGAGGCGGAGCTGCAGAAGTACGGATGGATGGAACCGATAGTCATTGACGACGACGACTTAATGTTCAGTGGTAAAAGCTTGAGTGCTTGGTACGAGGAAGAGAGAAAGTCGCTTAGCAACCCGGTCGAAGAGGAACGACGGGGTCGCCAAAGAGTGAGTGTTATCCCTTAACTTGCCATTCACATTCACCCCTGGACACATAATTGTGGCAGAGCGGGCCATGCTGATTGATTACTTGCGACTCAGGTTCGACAACACATCTCACATACGCATCATAATTATAATCACCACCGACACCACCCAAATTCGACGACGACAACGACAACCCCGACGACCGTATCAGGTGGTCACGAGCAGAAGAAGCACTAAATTAATGACATACGAATGCGACGAAAGAACCGTGGGTTGGGGGGCGGGGCATCTCTAAGCCTCGAGCAGTTCTCATTCCTTTTTTCCAAGATACCCAAACATACCTGTTATTTGCATTGCTGCGCCTAACGACATCATCCGTGGGTGTGTCAAAATTATAAACGCGCGTGTTTTTGATTTTATACGCGATTCGATCGATCATTCTGGGATGCTTTTGCGGTGGCCGGATCGAAATATATCAGGTATATATCTACCTTAATAAGACCGAAGTGTCTCAAACTTCGACCAGCACAATCTCACCAAGATACAATTGGATTTAGACCAACATTAGACGGGCTATTCTGTGCATCCATTCTTCTATTATTCCCCCGAGAGGAGATATTTTAGGGGGGCGACTTCTTCTGCGTACATCGGTCAGGCGTTTTATTTATATCATTATACTGCTTTATATTTTCAGCATCACCAAGACTACGAAATTGACACGACGAGAACATGATACAGCATGGAACATACAGAGGCGTCTCCGGGTGCTGTGAGACGCAAAGCGTAATCATTGCCGCGGGATCTTGGGGTCTCTGGCTGCTTTTCACGCTGCTACCTGTTATTGGTAAACGGGGATATTCTACGGCAATGCCAGGCTGCCGAGTTGACTCGGCCGGCAATGAGTAATAGGCATAGGCAACAATAGAAGCTGCGGGTTTTTTGTCATTATTCTACGGATTACCGAAGTGTGTCTGATCTCTAGGAGATGATATGGGCAGGGGTGCAGACTTGGTCGGCTGCTGCCTGGGGTGCGGGGATACGACGAGTGTTCCCGAGAGTTGAGCAAGGCTGTCATAGTGTCAAGGTATATTCAAATAGCTACCTAGGACAATGTGATAGCCACTGATATCCTTCATAAGTTGTCCTATACTATGTGCTTCGCATGTGACTTCTGTATACGTAGTACTTCTAATAACTGTGCTTGGTTAGGGTCTTACTTGAGCAGTCGTTATTATAGCCTGTGTATGATTGGGTATTTCCAAAGCAACCCTTGATCGGAGGTGTGCCGGGTTTGATCAAGAGGTTTAGAAGGGCCATGTGTATGAAATTACTGACCTGTTTTAATAATTTCGATGTTCTGTTTTATTGCTCCAAAGGTCTAAACAACAAAATTGCCGTATACTCTGTAGTAAGCAGATATGAAGCCCCCCTTACGGTATCAGCCGCTATTTGGAAATTAGCCACTATTATTATTAATAAACGACAAATGAAGGTGAGGAGACGGTAATCATCTTCAGTTCAGATAGGGATTACAACCTCAAAACTCTTATCCATGTCGTAATTACTATGAGTACCAGTTACTTCGTTGCACGAATTACACTATCGGCGCTCAAGCGTTGTGCGGTTTACTGAAGGACTTTCCATCAAGAGAGCTATTGTTGAAGTCTCCTCATGGGATATACAAGGTAAAAGAACGCTTGTAGCATTTGACATCCTAGTAAAGGGGGATAACGAATATAATAGGACGGCGAATCTTTGAATTATATTATTCTACTAAGTATGCTCTATGCTTAAGCACTAGGGAATTAGGTAAAATCAGCTATGCTTTTTTTTTTTTTTTTTTTTTTTTTTTTTTCAGTTCTCCCAGTCCCGTAAGACCTGCCACTGGTCTTCGAACTTGAGACCACCTCCGACTATCAGATCGCAGTCCAAGTGGCCCCATTTCCGGCGGAATACTTCTTTGCCCGCCTCCGTCAGCACGTCAAGCGCCTCCGTGAATCCCCCCGAGTCGTAGTAGAAAGGCTCGCCCTGGCCTCCGCGCTGGCCAGACTGCCACGTATTTCGCCCGCGATCGCCGTTCTTGTAGTTTCGCATGCGCTCCGCGACGCTAAGCAACCCTTTCCAATATTCCACAGGGTCGGCGGGCTCGCGGGAAATGAGTCCTGCGTCCCTTTTCTGCTCGCTACCTTTCGGAGACGGTAACGGCGGCGGTGGCGGCGGCGGTGGTGGATTCGGGTCACGGAAATCCGGCGTTATACTTGGATCTCGATACAAAGCGAGGAGGTCGTTGAGCGTGACAGAGGTATCGGTTATAACTCCGCAGTTGGCATCTTTCTGCGTCCAGTTTCGCATGTACAGACGGGTGTAAGTGTCACAATCCGTCATATAATACGGGATCAATGTGTCCCATCCGCCAATGTCTTCGATCGCCTTCGGATTCTGCAGTGTGAGATGGTCGTACGCGAAGAATCGCAACCCCCACCTTTCGTCCGTCTCCATCGTGCGGTTGAGTTCCTCGAGGCATAACGTATATAGGCTCTTGTAGCCCGGCTCGCCGGCGGGCGGCGTGAGCCCCTCATATCCGTTCTCGTGGCCCAGCGCAAGGACATCCATGTGGCTCCAGAAGTAGTACGGCCATTTGTTAGCATAGGACAGCGAGAGGTAGAAGTTCTGCAGCTGCGCAAAGCCCAACAAGACCGGCGTCTGAACGATATTTACTCCAAGACGTCTCAAAGACGTGTGGTTAAGATACCACGGATGCTGGAGACCTAGCTGACCGCGCGCATTGGCCTGCTGCATACCGGTATTCTCCACAACATAGATCTGCTCCGCTGGCCAACCTGCTGTGATGTACGAGACGACTGTTTGTAGTAGCATAGGCCAAGATCGAGTGAATCCAATCAACAACGGCGGCGCAACTTCTAGTCCGTATTTAAGCCATATATCCTTCTCGGGAACATTATATATCGGGATAGGAGGTGGGTTTGACGTCGCCAATGCTGGAAATGGGTCTTGTACGGGCGGTGGCGTATAAGACGGAGCTGGTTTATATCGTGGAGTAGGTCGCGCATCTTCTGGCTTTTCCGGGTAGATATTGACGGGTTTCAAAAACTCACGACCGGTATTCATGCGGAGGAGAAGTATGAATAAGACACCACCTCCAAATAAGAGTCCAACTAGGGACAATATCTGCTTCGGACGGATCATCAAGGTCGCCTGAAAGATACAATATATTAACTTAACCCCTTGAAGCTTTGAGAGCATCAGCGTCGAACCTACCATAGAGTTATGAAGCAAGAATATGCTACCTGGCAAACATACTCAACATCTATACAACAGAGAAGGGGATTGACACCACATCTAGAAGGAATAAGAAACAAAATAAAGTTTGCCAGGGTGAGTGATTAGAAAGGATATAGCAAACGCATGCGTCGTACATTTGGTTGGTGTCAAGTAGCACAACAATCACACCTAAACCAGTAGCGATAGCTTTGTGAGCACATAACTACATCATCGAATAACACGTCCGAGGCAGACTTTTCTTATAGACGCAAGCAGACCAATTATAGCCCGCCTAGTACTGGCCGAACGCGTCATGTCTCCGTCACTTAGCATATCCCGCAGATCTGGAAAACCAACTTCTCATCAGAGGCGCGAGAGTGTAACATGCTATGAGAGATAGCCAGCGTGCGAAGGACCAACTGGTGTTCCTTTATATTTACAGGAAGACGCCCAGTTTTGTTGCCTATATCCAATAATTAACTCGGGTCGCAGGCACATTTGGAACAACGGCGATTTCTTGAATTATCTGGAAAAATTATGATCAATAAATGATAAGTAAAACGAAGACGTCTGAGTAGTGTGTATCAATATTATATCAAGGCGTGTGCTCGTGGCCGCGCCAAGGAAAATTGCGGCGATGGATGAAGTGTTTGATCGTACGGTCTCCATCCCCGCCTCGGCGTTCCGACAGCCATCGCATGATGGTTACCTTCCGACTTGGCAAAGGCGGCATCTAAATCCGTGTTAAAGGCTATCGGTAAGACGATGCCCTGCTAAATATATTCGTAAGCATAGGCCATAGCACTTTTGACATGCAAGTTGTAGATCACTTTCTTTTTCACCAGTGGGACATGATGTAATACATAGAGTGTATGTATGTATGTAGTAAGCTGTATAACCGCTGCCTAGGCTCCTGGGATTATTGCTTGTTGGTTCGCTGGAAGGTCTGGGGCAGAGGGCCTCTCCGGATGTCCTCCAGATGTCGATCATATGCAAGCCAACTCCACCCCCGGGACTTGTCTTTGCTGTGCAGGCTAATTTGTCAAGGAAGCCCCATTTCGGCTGGTCTACACTCGGTTATCCGAAGACGCTCATCCTGATATTTGCATGAAGACTTCGAACAAGTTCATTTATCAAAGGGAATATACTTTAGAGTTGATCGTAAGGTTGTAACGCTTTAGATTTATACTTTTACTAATTCATTCTTTTTCACCCATTTTTGAATGAATACACTATCCGTAGAAACTCCTGAATTAGTCACTTTGACAGACAAATAGGGGAAGAACCGACGTGATTGAATAGTAAAAAGCGCCGGCCTTCCTAGGATATGATCCATCAAAGAATTATGAGAGACCGGACCCAGAAGGGTCGAACTAATCACTCATGATCCGGGTATCTAATGCAGCTGGGATGAGGGGGAAAGGAGGAAAGAGAAAAGGGCGGTAAAGCGGGGGAAAGCCCAACATCTCCAGACGATCGTGATTCCTATCTATGGGTCTCGTAATACCCGACGAAGAAAGAAAACGAAAAGCTATTAGTTACATAAAATACAACATTGTATATAGCCCTTACCGGAAGTTCTAAAACTCTCGTCTGACATCGTACGTGTAAGACAAGTGAGGTCGACACACGGGTAGCGACGGTAATAGTGATGATAATGGAGAATCGACGTACGATCACAGAGGACAAAGGTTTGAAACCCTTGTCTTCGGGTGTGTAACTCCCCGCACAACCCCCCCTTGTTTAATGATTGACATGAATGCAGCGGCGCAGTTGGTCCATAGATAATATTAGTCTGATTAGGCGTTTGGTTGTCGCTCATGCTATGAGGCTTGAGCATATGAACCTCTTGCATGTGAAAAGATAACCACTTCTCTCTATCTATCTCTTTTTTTTCTTGCCTTTTTTTCTTCGTGTCTTCGTGCCATCGGTTTCTACCTAACTTACGAGCGTATATGGCTGATTTGGTCGGGATTGGAACGAAAGTCCGCCTTTGCTTAAGGACTTGAAATAGCAACAAATGGTATAGCTTCTCTTGATCACGAGGTCTTCCCATCATCCCATACAATGATATCGCAGCCGATAACGGGAGATAGCTACATAATCGTAAAGCCTGCGGAGTTACTGACTAGGGGCATGGGCGGAAATGCATCGACCGGTAGTTGAAGATCTGCGATGATGCAAACCACCTTCCATCCAATCAAAATCTTAGCCCACAGGGAAAACCTTGACGCTCGCGTCCAATTGTGTGTGTCGTATGACACGAGGATGGGTTGTCGTTTAGCAGGTACCTAACCCAATAATACCTTGAACGAACACAACTCAGACCTCGATACTATGACCCACCCAGACGAGATGCCATTATGGTGGCATCTAGGTCAGTTGGGACCTGCTGTACGTCCTCCAAATCCGGTAGTCTGACGCATTTCGCCATCGACCCAGTTCAGATATAACAGGTCAGGCGTTCATCGGTTCCTGGAGATATCCGGTTCATCGACCTACTTACCATGATACTACCGCATCGCAGTCGTACCGTTAAACTTTTTTTTTTACTCAACGGTAAGTATGTGTGTTAGGTAGTAATATGCGTGTGGACGTGCGGGAGCTGTGGACTAACGCAACAATAGCAGGGATTGACGATTGTGTCCGGGAGGCGGTGATTGGATGAGATGCAAGTTTCATCATCACATCACCTTTCTCCCATGTAAAAAATGCTTTCAAGCATGAAGCATGTGTACTAAATTGGTTCGGCTTGCTCATGTGGCTCAATGCTACTTTGGTTGATGTGTACCTACTTACCTACCTGTATCTATATATGAGTCTTACCACTCCAGGCTCTCTCAGTGAAAAGATGTCTAGGGTTCTCTTTAAGTGTCAGAATACTACCGTGATATTATTAATACGATAGCATCCCAAGCATAAAGAGATACACGTACTGGAGAGATCCAGTTCTTTTGTTTCTCGCTAATTCAAAACGAGATCTCGCCTAGTTCAGATGCCGGTGGACGCTGTGGCTTTTTCGTTCTATAATCGAGCAGCAAGATAACAGATACACAAGTTGCACGACATTATCAATCCGGTAGATTAAATAAATCATCTACAAGATGCCCAAAACTCTGGGAGAGACAAGCCAGCCGGCCATCGTCGATGACATTGACGCTATCACGCCGTGCCCCCTTACGCGAGGCAGCCATAAATCAGTCGAAGAATCCGGAATCATGAACTCGATCAATAAGTTCCCAGAGTCAAGATCTCCTTCGCCCTGCTCTGAGTGCTCATCAGTGAGCGCAGATGTATCTAGAAGTAAAAGACGAGAGTCCTTAAAAGCTCTGGAAGCGGGCACAGAGGGCGATCCTGAAAGACTATGGGAACGAATGCTTGTGCTCCAGCAGACATACGGCTGTTACAATTCAGCCAGGATGAGCGCGGCTCTTAGTTCAGGGGATGTCAGTTTGTTATTGCGTAAGTGCACTGTTCCAACTACATGACCTCAAGAACATGGCTGCTGACTTATCGACCAGCTTCCAAAGCATGCTTAAACCTTCTCAACGAGAATATATCTTTTCTGCCCAACGGAACGGGGGGTGCGCTTGGAGAGTGGGAGTTGAACACCGGGAGTGGGCATAGTCATTGACTTGGTAAGAACCGGGGAAGGAGGACTAAAAGCATGTTACAGCGGAATGAGTACGTCATCTGGTCACCAAGAATGGCCCAGGCATAGGGAAAGAAAAATAAGGCGGCGTGCTCTGATATGATTAGGCGTCGGTGGTAAATTGTATTTTGATACCCCTTATAGTTCGGAGTTTGAGAATGAATTGATGGACTGAGCGACGATGTCGGCCATCAATCCTAGGTACACTTGAATGTGCAATGCATGCGATAGCTTAGTCGTCGACTGTCATGAGGCTGCAGAGCGCGCTTTCCAATACCCTCACGCACTGCTCGCGATACAGTACAGCTAGTTCCTGGTTGCTGTTGTTAGCCTCATATTCTGGTTCGTTTACCTCTATCTCCTCCAAGTCGATACTCAATTTCGATCCTAATATATCGACAATTTTCCTCAGCACTTCATGCTGAATATCGCCCTGCATGACCCTACTTAAACTAGTGTCGGTTGTTCCATCTTCTTTCGTGATGCTTTCGTATAGAGCAGCGATGAGCGTATCTTGAATATGCGAAAAACAAGGGAGACAGCTCAATGAATTTGCGCTTAGAAGTTTCGAACGCCCAACGAACGAACTACGATCCGCCATAGGCCTCAATGATATCACATGCGAGGCCGCCAAATCACCAGCTTCTGGGTCTGTCCTGGTCTTGATATGAACATAGTCGTTATGGAGATCGTTGCTTTCTGGGAGTATGAAGCCATACCCCAGAAGCAGCTCGGCATTAGTTTTCATGCCATAGTTGTTGAATACTTGCTCCCCGGCCGAATAAGTCTGCCTCGACTTGAGCACGCATATCTGAGTCTGCTCGTCGGTGGTCCAAGCAATCTTAGCTAGCGGCGAGTGATTCCCAATGTCGTACAGGGGAAGCAACACTGAGAAGTCGTCCAATTCGCATGGCAAACCTGAAGAAGTCTCAGGAGGGAAAATAAGCGATGGGCGGAAACTACGACTAGTAAAAATACTATAGGCCCAGTGATACAGCGGCCGAGTATATTTCAGACGGTCATTCTCTGGTAGTAACTTCGAGGCGTTCTTGTACTCTTTCTTGAGATTTGACTTGATATCCTGGATCGCTGTGAAAGCATTTGTCCCCTTTAGAAACTCGATATCATCCGATGGCCACATTACCGGGAGGACATTGCTCATATGCTCGGGTTGGGGCAGTGTACGGATATACGGCCACCACTTGGACTCAGGTCCTAGTAGGTATTGCTGTATGAGAAAGAAACGCCCGACGACATGGGGTGGCGTTTCTTTCAAGAATTCTTCCGGGAAATAGTCCTTGCCCTCAGGGCTTGGGGCGTCGGAAGTGGATGGGCTAGCGAAAGCCGGGTGGCCACGAATAGCATCCAGATATGACAGAGACTTGGAAAGCGGAAGCGTAACTATGGCATCATCCACTCCAATGGAGCATGTGGCTTTTACACGAAACGATCCTTTGGTAATATCGTCATGGTATATCTCAATAGCGGGATTGAGGTGTCCACCGTCGCTCTCTACCCATCGAAGGAGCTCGTCATAGCGTTCTGATATGGTAGCCATTCCACCTACGACGTTGGGAAAGGATGAGTGAATATGGTTGAATATGTACCTGATATAGAGGTGTGTGAGGTACATATGAGATACCTGTATATATATATTATTTCCATTTATCTTTAAGCGCGAAGATTCGGGGACATTACGTACCTGGTATGTACGCCTGTTGGTATTTCTTCAGCGTCTTTAGAAAGTGGATGATTTGATCGTGGATATGGAGTTACATAGAGCATCTACGGTTTACTATGAGAAGGTTGAAAAATATCACCGAATAAGTTAATATGGGTCCGGGTAATTTGTGCAAGAGTGGAGGTACATAGGTACCCAATACTTTATGCACGATATGCCTTACTTTATGCAGTACTATCTGCTTAGATCACACCGAACAAACCGCTCGAGCATGTTGGGCACACCGGGCACACCGAACTATCTAACTACCTAATCTATAGGTACCTGACTAGGAAGCATCTAGGTAGTTAATAGAATTATGCTATACCTTAGGTAGGTATATGTAGATTGTATAGCTAGTACTATTATCCTACGCTATCCAACTGAAAAAAAAATTAAAATTTAAAGCTTAGGACTGCCTCTGGTATTGTACCTACCCAACCTACTATGTGATATGTGATCAGCAACCCCTAACTGTCGACGTAATAGGCAAGCTTATAGGATTGATGTAACTTTGTAATACAACGGTTCGAGCCGCACCGCTCCCACGGGTCAGCTTAGAGCTACGCAAAGTACCTGGGATAAAGGATATTATTTACGTAATTATTGCGATAAGTATGAAATTGATGGTTGTATTGCCATTGCATGCTTACCTACGGTTTCATACAGAATTACATACCTAGCACTCGTGTAGTCAGTAAAATGCTTCTTAGGAGGTACATTTGATAGGATTGTATCCTTGTCGGGAATCGTGATCCCTTGTCGTTTAGCGTGGAATCGTGTAATTGCTTCTAACGATGTAGTGTAAATTCATCTAACTTAACCGTGACCCGAGACGCTGCACTTGGGTCGATCAAAATTGTAAGTTACCTAGAATATTGGAATATTGTAGGCGTTGATGCTCTTGCCTTTCCTAGGTAGCCTAGGATACCATGTCGTATGTAGTATGTAGTATGTAGGTAGTACGTAGTATGGCGACATCTACCACATCATTCTACCACGGCACCACCTCATGTTCGAAACTAACCGCCGGTGTACTACTCTGGTGGCCTGGGACAAATCCTTTGATCCATTGTCCTCAACAGTGTCCGTTGAAGTCACCAGTAAATTGATAAGCAAGCTGATACGGGGAGGGAGTACAGTATATTTAGGGTCATAATAAATAGAGTACCTATGAATTCCTTCTTTATATGTTCGCTCATTCGAATGAGGCTTAGGCATTATTTTAGTGTGTAAGCAAAATAACAAGCTGGTCGAGCCCAAAAGAAGAAGAAAAACAAAAAGAAAAAACCACGTGGCTCATCTCAGTCGTAGTGGATTCTGGCGGTTTAAGTCAGTACGTGTAAGTCGTAGTAAACGAAACGTGCTTGAAACATGAGGCATCTTACGTCCTACTTATGTGAGAACTATTGGGTACCTTAGGTTAGGTTAGCTGGTTAACTAAGTTCAAATAAACCAGGTTTGGTATACAGGTAGGTAGTAGTTCATGAACACTGAATGCATTCGTAAAATCGCAGTTCCTTGGGGTGTTTTTTATGCAAGTAAATGTCGTGTATCCTTGTACCCAAGCAGTTACCACCACGGCTCTAGTGTATGTTTATCAATCCCACCTTAACCCTGGCTTCTGGAAGAGTTCGCTAGCTTTTAATTTCGGCCGTCACTCGTGGGGAATCGGGATGACCAACGCTTATTATGTATGTAGCTGCATTCATATCACGGCCACGACGATCCTAACGGCTCTAGGCAGCCCACGTGCAACCTATTGAACAGATGGTCGGTTTTCGAGTTTCTTGATTCTAGCGTGCTGCGATAATAAAGGAATATATCTACACAAGGGGTAAAGCTATTTGCGCGTCTTGAAAGTTGGATAGCTTACCAAGATACCTATTGGATATCCGAGCTTGCTGATACTTACCTTAGGTAGGTACCTCCTATACAACACTATTATTGGGTACCTCTTAGGTACTTGACTCCTTGGTTATTCTCCCATCACGCTATCGAGAAATCCTTTTCCGACGGCTTATTCCCTAGAGGTAGTGTAATGATGAAAAGTCACCCCTTCCCACTATCGAACCAAGTTCAAAGGTAAATGGTGGCGTCCCACCCCACGTCTTCTTCATTTACCCATTTATGTCTAATGGCAGATGGGTAAAGCGCCCTTTAAAGGACTTGGATTTTTGAAACAACTTGTCCAGCTTGATTCTTGTTGGTGGAGAATGTCTCACTATGCGTTTTATTAGTGCCGCTCTTCTAGAACACAAGGAAAAAAAAACTAGCGCCTACCTTACACAGATTTACATGGTACAAATGTACCTAAAGCATGCGGTTACTAACTCGTTGCGTTACCATAGCCCGGTACTTAGTTGACTATGAGCCGTTCTGTAGGGAACATGGAAGACTGTCAAGCTAACCTTCTTCTCCAAAATCGGAAGAGCTTCTCTCGCAGCGGGCATTTTTCTTTTATGCTATAAGTGGGTCACGGTCCAAGTTCTCGGTACAGGTATGAGACAGGTATTGAGGTACCTACGGTAATAACACCGTATCGCCTATATTTAAAGAAAAAAAAAACACTGTAAATCATGTATCACATATTTCAGTGTGCATGTAATAGGCTGTTTTGCAAATTTCTTTTTGTACGATTTCGACATAAGAGTCGATACTACCTAACCTACCTACTAGGCTAGGTCCTTCGGTACACATTGACGCGCTTGCTACTCTTGCAACTTGTTTACCTCTGCCATACGTTCCAGCTCTTTTACACACATAGCTGACGTACATGGAAATAAGTGCAGCGTATACTTAACAGCCCGGAGAATAGTCCGTTGGATTAGTACCTGTCTTTACTATTTAGACCTGGCCTCGTGTCAATCCCACTTATCTTTATGAGTACTACATAGTATTCGGTAAGGTAGGCTGGGTAGGGCGTGGTAGCCCAACGCTAGCAAAAGAGGCCCGCCTTGTCAGACCACCGACGAAGTGTCAATCGTTGGTTCGAACCATCAAGATGGGTCTTCGGACGAAGACGTACATAATGTATTACGGTAAACCCCAGTGGCTAAAAGTCTTCTAGCGTAGCTCTCCCTCGCAAGCTCAGACCAAGCCCTATTTATGGTGGTTAGGCTAGAACGCTACCAGAGACTGGACCGCATAAGCAGTTTCCAGTACCGGCTAACTCCTGTCTCGCAAGGATCATGGTACACCGACGATAATCGACAAGCCCATCCAAATGTCATCGGCGATAGGTGTAGGCGGTCGTCTTGGCACATTTAGAAAGGGTAGCGTGGTCTGTATGAATCCAGGCACACCTGGCCAAGGGTTCCTGGCGTTGTACTTCGCTCGGGTTCTTAGTCGAAAAGCACGAGCACGATCGTCGATACAGCAGACTTAAATACACAGAGAATTCCACCCTCCCTTCGATCTCGTCCATTATTATCTATACGTCTCAAGCCATGGATACAGCAAGTTTATAAACCGGAGCATTAATACACACACTCGAAATTCGCCATCTTTTCAAATAAACATTCAAGCTATAGTATTGGTAGAGTTTCGAAACAACAACGGTGGTAACTCACTAGGCTTCTTTCTCATCATTTGCCTTATTAGTGGTTTACTTGGCATACTCTTGAGCGCAACCTCGAAACTACTATTCTAGCTCTTCGACGATGTGTGATTACACACAGGTATATATCCAGCGTTCAAATTTCAGTCATGCCCTATCTTATTCTAACGCGGACTTTCCCAGGTAGAATATTGTTGCCAGCATCTTCGCTTTGTGGTACAGAGGTGGTGTTCCGTGTACGAGAGAACAAACAAGGTCTGCGCACCCAACGTGACGCACTTAGAAATTAGGTAAGTGTTTTTATGAGCCTTGCAGCAAGCTTACTTTTACATGCTTCATCTTATTACCACCTGACCGGTTGCTAACAAATTTCTGACCAGACATGATGAACTATGCTGTAAGCTCCCCTCATTCTCTCTTACCTGCAGATTCTTGCAAGGGTCCCTCCCACAGAAATCAACATTTGCAAGACATTCCCCCTACCTTCGTACTCCGAACATAGCGAGACAGTGTAACTCGCGTATGTTATTCTGGGCTTGTAAACCATAGACTTTATGAAGAAGAGGAATCGGGAGCACCTTTACTTTTTCTTTTTCTCTTTTCGGACGCACTAACAACATCCAGCTGATTGTCGGCCGCGATCGCCACCGCCATGGGAGCATATGATTAGAAGAAGCAAGAGGGCCACACCGTACCTCTAAATTAAATTGGGTTGTGTGGCAAGCTTACAGGCAATACCTAACAGGATTTGAGAAGTTTCGGGTTATTTTAGAAGGTATAGATCAGTACATCAGTGTAGCTAAGATGGTAACGGGCATGTTTGGAGTCTGGGGGGTTTGCACACTTTTAGGATGAAGCTTATGGTTGGGTTGGGTATGCGGCGTTCTGCAATCGGTTGGATTTTGGAAAACACCACAACGCCTTTTGACGTGGTAACATGATTTCAATAAAAAAGGCACCTATCACAATCTTATCATTCATTGATGGTATTCAAGAATCATTATGGAGTAATAAAGTAGAAACACGTTATCAACATTGGGGAGAGAGTGCATACTTCCCCCTAGGGACTTGCAAAAGATATTTTGGGTACATATTGTCAATCCATTAACAAAGATTCATCAAATATTAAGCACACTTTTAGAGCACGCCATTCCATACTTAGGGTAAGGAAAAGCGAGATAGGTATTTGAATGAGATGAAAACTATATACTATTATATCACTGCGTTTTCTGAGGTCTATAAGCTGCATCCGTTTAGAGAGATAATTACGGTTTTAATCTAGGTAAGCATATTCCCACTCCATGAAAGCTTCGGTTATCCATGCACGCCCCCTAAACAAGAACATAAGACGTATAACCGTATTAAAATATCACATCATCCGGCACTTTTCATTCTTACTTCCTATTTTCCACGACAGATGCGGTTGTTATCGTATAAGAAGAACCTGATCTTGGCCGTCATAGAAACTACCTACTCTAAAAGGTCAATTAGTATAGAGATGACCGATAGTGCTAATTGGCAAGCCCAGGTGACGGGATTATATGCACCCTCCTCGTATTAAAGTACCACGTATTAGTATAAACTAACTCCAAATATGTGATACCTCTACTCAACCCCATCCTCATAATGGTTGTTTTACGTCAGATGGATCAATGCGACCTTGCCTGCATCAAATGTGCAGGTCACGCAACTTCGCACGGGTTTATATAGTCCGTCAGCTTTGAAGTTATCCGATCACAAAATGCATATTTACAATATTTGGTCGAGTAAAGAATGTTCACTTACCATATGAACAAGTTGCCCACCAAAGTTACCTGATAGCATACCTAGGTACGGTAAGCAATTCGCATGTTTGGATAGTGACCAAGGACAACTACTACACATTATTCAACGCAAGGGGACACGTTATGATTGTGGTTAAACGCCGAACGTCAGGATCCCCAATGCGACCTACCTGATTAAGTGTCATGGCGAGCTGTAGCGGTCAAGGTTCCTCGAAGGATACATCCCTTTAACCCCGACGGAAATATGTCTTCTCAAGGTCTCGTGGCGGTTCGTGGCGGTACATGGGGGTGTCCTCTTCGAGAAAAAGAAAAAGAAATAGTTGATTTTGATAAAGCGTAAAGCTGCACTTGTCAAATATGACAGAATTTATGCCCGTCCGTCCGGTTTCCGGGGGAGAATGTGATATTATTACAAAGTATTGGTTTTGGCGACGAGCTGAATGAGCCCTTGTCTTCCCACTTGGAGATCGATCCAATGTATTTTCGAAGTATTAAACCCTTTCACTCTTGAGAATGTCGATCAACTTTTCTCCTACTATGTACATATATTTCAAAGAAACGGAAAAAGAAAAAGTGTCCCTATCAGGTACGTACTAAGAATCATAAGGTGGTATATTTTCCGATGTTGTTCTTCTAGTGTGGTGTATATAGACCGGACTTGGCGCGGTCTCTTGCTTCTTTTTCTACAAATGACAACTTGCTTGATCAACTCTCGATTAGCAACAATCCATTCATGCACGATGCATGCTAGGATGACTCGGCTATCACGGGCCATCTGTGCGGATTACAGTGAGATTACTAGAAGGAAAATCCTTGTTTAGATAACTAACAGATGAAGAAACCTAGTTTCTATTAGAGTAACACGATTTACCAATTTAGACTTGCGGTTATGCTAGTGTAAAAACGTACTAGATAGGAGGTAACTAATACCTAGCTCTCCTTGTAACACATATTGCTCGCGTCATTCTCCAGCCCACTGGGCTCGTTAGCTTCATACAATTGTCTACCCGTACTCCACTTGAAACGAAGAGCTAGTATTTACCTAAGTATCGTAGTCTATATAGAAGAGAAATGACCTTGCACATTACCTGTTACTAAAATGCGTAGAAACCATGCTCATAACATATCTAATATCCTTGTAACTCCACTATTGTCCTTTAAACCCGCATGAAGCCAGACTCATGTGACAGCTGTTAATCATAGACTCTCAGCCCGTTTGTAGCTTAGGTATCTACTATGTAGGTACCTAGCTAAGTAGACTGCTAAGTACGCGATATCATCACGCCTACCTAATGCTCTCAGATATCATAGCCGCCACCTGGTACGACAACTCGAATGAAACAACACAGACCATCCCCTCGGGTTAGTTATGCATATGCAATCACGAACCACCGTTTCATTCAAAAAAAAGCCATAGCCAATCATCTCCTCTTACTTGTCGGAATCGCCATCTCCCGAACAAAGGCATTTAGACCTAGCTTGATCAGGTAGAACCATCGCCAGCAATTATTAATTATTACCTGGGTGCGGGAGTGGCGAAGGGGTCATTTTTAAAACTGTTGGTTACGTATCTGATTTCCTCAGGAAACGAATAGTCCGCACGATATGGTTAAGGAGAGAGGCCCGGGTAGCCCGAACATTATGGTTACAACCTTATGACGGACTGCAGGTACGTCGCCGTTGAGAAAAAAAACAATGCACTTGGAGAGGGAAAACACAGGCTTGTTATAAATAGCATTACTTGATTAGGATATAATCTTTTAATTAAGAATCGCACGATATTGATAATATCAAGCGGTACTTGGAAGTTATCAGCCGATTTTGCGCCCCATTCCATTCCCTCGCTAGTGTTTGCCTCATCTATAGGTACCTAGGCAAGTTAATCGCCTGCATTCAAGTGAATTCGCATTGATTTTATATGTGATAAGTCAACATAAAGAAGCTATCTAAACTTCTTTTGTCTGGTATAGGATTTGACATGCTGCAATACACAATGGGTTATAATTCCATAAGCTTGGTAACGGACCGATATACGCAGTCGCTCTGGTAAGGGAGACATTAATCAATTTAACTACAGGTAGCTTACCCGGCTCAAAGTAGTCTCCAAAAAGTTGGTCGTACATCTACCTATGCTAGCTGGCTGGCGAAGGGGAAACTGTGCTAGATATTCTAAACCACTTACTACTCCTCTGCTAGTACCTACTTCACATCACCTAGTTGCTCTTATACTAAAAAAAAAATAAAAAAAAACCCTCACTAGTATGGTAACAAGCCATCAAATCGCAAAAGTTTTCCTTAGACCCCTCGACTATTCAAGGGAAATATATTTCATTCACAACTTAATCTCGGCCCTCGGGCCCGAAGTCTAACTCATCATAGTAACGATAGATACCCATTGAGTAGTCCTGTCTCCTTTTACTAGCCAGGTACGCACTAATCCTAGGACGTTCCTTCACGGCGTCATACAGTTTGAATACATGCGCGTACTTGCCTAACTTCTCGGCTGCGGACATGGCCTTTCTGAAGGTGAACTTCGTGCCATCAATACACTAGGATACATATCAGCGTTGTTCGATTCACGTAATACCTGAGTTGGGCGGCGAAGCTACGTGAAGGGGGAAATAAAATAAAAAGGGGAAGAATGAAGAGGGCTCACCTGGAACAACACCAGATCCGCATACGTCAACTGACCGCCGTAAAGCCACGGCCCTTCCCCGCTTGCCTTGCCCTGCAGTACGCGCTCAAAGTAGCCTAGAAACTTAGGAAGACGGTTCTCTACGAAATCCTTGCTCTTTCGTTTAGCTTCTTCCTTCTGGTCCTCGTAGTACAACCCCGTAGCGATAGGGTGGTGACAGTCATGAACTTCGTTGCTCAAACCATCGAGTGCTGTCAGAGCGAGTTCGTTGACCTTGTACAACGCGTCTGGGTGCTCCTCATCATCTTCGCTTGGCACCAGCCCAAGTCGCGGGCCAAGGTATAGTAAGATATTTGGAGTCTGGGAGATAAGGAGGTCACCATGACGGAGGATGGGAGGGGCGAAAGGTGGCGGGTTTAAATCATCGCCCACGTTACTTTCAGCGATTTGCGCTGTTACTTGCTCCATGCCCTTCTCGGTTTGCGCTGTATCCGTGTATGTGGCCCCCCCCTCTTCGAGCGCCAAGCGGATATGTTCACCGCGACCAGGGATGCCAGGCCAATAAATTAGCTCGTATGGCACATCTTTGCTGGACTTCTGACGCTTCGGAGCAGACATATTGGAGTAAGACAGGGAAGAAAGGCAGTGGATTTGTAATTGCCGCGTAGAGTGTTTAGCGAATGAAGATATTCGCTGAGATGTTGTAAGGGCTACAGTAGAGAATATTCGGCGACTGAACATAAATAAGAGAAAACCAATAGGGGCATGAGAACGGAGGTGAGGAGATCGTGTGGTGAAAGCTATAAAGAAAGAAGTTCCACGGGGATTATCTGTCTTTAAGCGCATAAATTACCTACCTAGAGGTAGTTAACCGCGGGCGTTACAAATTCCGGCATAGCCGTGAGATAGAAGGATTGGATGGAAGGCCCTTGAGTGGATACTCTCTGCATGTAAGATGTAAAGTTGTGCGGGGGAACTATATCAATCGTATGACGGACGTTATGGCTTTTTGACATCATAAGTGTCTGCCGTTACTTGTCTTAAAGAGACACGAAAAGCAACCTTATGAGTATGAGTATGAATATGAGTATTAGGAAAAAGAATTATTTATTGGCCGGGACCAACGCAAATGTCCCCTCGGATGAATTCCAATGTATCTAGCATTGTACGAAACTCGCAAGGAAAAGCCCGGCGCTACTATTTATTTCATCATGTCAAGATGATCTCGTCACGGCATCCTGAATAGAGTTGCGACACTCAGCTGGGTCCGAGAATACATGCCAAACATCACGAGGGACATCCTTAAAGGCTTTTTCGAATCTTTCTGGCTCATTTTTGGCCTCTATGCCAATAGCCGCGATGTCTTCCACTTTACGGATGAAAATCAACTTCACCCAGCCAGGGTACGCCCGATAACTAGAATTTATTCAAAATTAGCTAGAGGAACAAATCCCAATTAACGAGGACCCGACTCACATTTCGCCGTAAGCTTCAGGATCAGATTGAGTTGAATCTCCAATGCAGATCATCTTCCTTTTCGGAAGCCACGAGTGTATTTTTTCCATCCGGTCAACTTTGTAATCTTCTGTACCGAGAGTTAGAGTTGTAAGCAACCCTGGCAAACTCATCCAGCTAGCATCACGAAGAATGATGGTGCCGTGTGGATAATTCTGTTCGCGGAAGTCTCGCAGGAACGGATATAGATTGTACGGCGAAGCTGACAAGTAGAACCAGGGGGTGGACTCTTGGACAAGAGACTGGATGAACCGGTATAGCTCGGGCATACCGGAGCAGACTTCCGGTTTATCAAGAAAGGTTGTCCGTAGAATACCGATGGGGTCACTAGTCTGAGTAATCTTGATCGTATCATCTATATCTTTTGCTACTGTCAGTTTCTATCACATTCTTGCAGAGAATTCAATGTATACCGGATATCACGCCCCAGCCTTCCGGATCGGCGTAAAATGTCTTCATTTCCAGAAGGCCGTTGGTACCTTTCGGGACTTCGGCAAATGTGGGAACGAGGTGGCCGCCGCCTTTACTATCAGGAAGCCCTTTAATATCACTGCTAATGCCATTCCTGCCACCAGGGCCAAGCTTGAGAGGCGTCTTCCCTCCTTGAAGTGCCTTCGCCTGGGTACCCGGCTTGATGTCTTGTAAAAATGGTTTGATACGCTCTTTGATAATAGGATAATTCGGGTCCTTCTCGTCTAGTTTGATTTTACTAGCGATAGCGTTCACTGCGTCGACAACGACGCAAGAAGAATGCTGAGAGAAGACGGCCGAGACAAATTCAGCTTCCCATTTCCCCGTATGCTCGTTGCGATAAGCGGTGTTGTCAAGGAGCCAAAGGGTGTCTTGGTCTGTGACGGAGCGAGGGAAGGGATTCTTCTTTCCCAAGTATGAAAAAAGCTGAAGGACTTTATCGGTCGGGGTCAGCGCTGGTTTGAAGGGAGAGAAGTCTGGCAGCTCGTGTTCGGTCTCTTCAAACCGACGTTCTTGTCGTGTACGATTCTGCATGTCATCCGCGCCGGTATACTTGTAGCATGTAACCATTTTTACAAGGTAACGCTCGCTCGTCCGTGGAAGTTCGGCTATGAAATCGGCCTCTATTGACGGTGCCGTTGGTAGTTTATCGACAATGGGGTTTTGTGATATTAGCAAGTGATCTCGTAGTATTCACGGGTCTATAATCGTTCAAGAAACGAACGCGATCCATTGCGACAGGAAGAATGGACTCTTATAACCTTAGTATAAAAATAGATGGACGGCAATCAATGCGGCAAGGCTCTCCAAGGTCAGATGTAGGGCGGTAGACTAGATATTCCTAGTCCGCCTAGCCTGGCAACATCGCTGGCTCTATGTCAGGACTCTTTTCCTTACGACCCTACCTTAGCTTTAGATCATGAATGACAAATAGCAGACAGCGAATGGCAATGGGTGGCCTAGTACCTGATGCATCCCAAGTTTGAACTCGCTCACGGCTCTCACTTGGCGCTGGAAGATCATGATCGGGGAGAGGGGGGAGGTGATGCAACTATGTCGTCTATGGCTAGAAAAAGAGGGAGGGTTTAAAGGAAGCCGTTTCAATTTTTAGCAGTCGTCATGGCGCATATTATATTAGAAAATTCTAAGTGGGGCCTCCCGAGCCTTAGGTAGTGGGCTAGAGATGCACATAATGCGTATAATAAATTTATTATATTGCATTATACGCATAATGCTTATTATATGCATTATATATATAGTATAATGTTATATGAATTTAATTTAATGTAAAAATTTATAATTATTAAAATATAATATTATTTAATATATATAATATATAAATTAATTTATAAAAAAAAAATAAAAAATTAATTTAAAATATTTTAATTTAATTAAATTATAAAAGAATTTAATAAATTATTAAATATTATATAATAATTTAATATTACTAATTAATAATAATTTAAATGAGCATTAATAAAATTATTTAAAAAAAATAATAAAATAAAATAATATAATAAAAAAATATTTTATATAATTATTAAACGTTTTTATATATTTAATTATTTATTTTTAAATTTATTAATTATTAATTTAAATTTTATATTTAATTTATATAAAAAAAAAACTTTAAGCTTTTTTAATAAATATTTTAATAAATTTAAATATAAATTTATTATATTTAATTTAAATATATTTTTTATATTTTAATATTTTAAAAAATTAAAACACTTTATACTATAAATGGAAAATATCGCGTTTGTATTTTTAAACGTTAAACTTATTTAAATAATTTAAAAAAATTTTACTATATATTTACAACTTAAAATAGCTAAACCGCTTAAAATGGTTAAGCCGCTCAAAAAAATTCGAACCGTTCATATGGTTTACAAGCATATATGAAAAAGGAAGTACCGCACCATTTCAACTATATAGTACAACCATACTAATTGAATGATGCGATACTTTTTTTTTAACATGTCATTTCATTTTACATTTTACAAGTTACAAGATTACATACAAGTCACAAGCACTTTTCAAATAGACCAATGACTACGAAACGTTTACGTTAGATATTACGTTACGCGCGTACGTGTGACACCCTTATTGGGGTATATATGCATCTAATAGGCAGCTTCGCGCCTACCACCACCGCCACCACCACATACAACATACAAGGCCGTATGCAAGGCCACACATACTGAATCAATTGAATTGAATTTAGTTTACTGAATGAGATGAATCTAGTCAATTGAATCTAGTCAATTGACTTGTAACGTGTAAGCCTATTAAGCTGTATACCTCATACGGCTTATTTGATTGAGCCGTATCTATATGGCTCTAAAAGGTGTACGTTTTACAAATTTATAACGTTAGGCGGGGGAGCCGCAAGGATACCATTCAACTAATGAATCGTGGAAACATGGATACGTTGATAAATTTGAGCCATTCATTATCATAAGCCGTATATACGATTCGAAATATTGAGCTGGTATATATACGGTTTAAGAAACCCCCCCCCCCCCCCCAAGACGCTAAGGTACTTTATAACTCATACAAAGATGTTTGAAGCCTTTCCTAAACTGATCATTTATGGCACTTCGCTATGCAGGTGCGTTATCGTATACTACTCTAGATCTACTCGATATCTTAGGTACCTACCTAATGTAAGCAATTCGTCATCATGCGAATAGGTAGTATTTCAAACACCCTAGCTTGTAGCTTTTAGGTAATACCCTTTCTCCTTTTGTGCGGAGAAGCAACTCGTGATGTTCAGCGGCTTCTTCCTCTCAACACACTAGGTGGAAGTATCAGACAGCTTATGAAATTTATGAAATTGTAGAACCCTTTTTATCGCTACTCTTGACAATATATAATATACATTATGCTCGAAATTCGATGCACCGGCACTCCTTACGAGGTAGTTATAATTATCCAAGAGTTGTCTCCAACCTGCCAAAGCTAATATCTGACCAGATTGGGTTCACACATGGTAAGCTCGCCAAGAAACAAATAGCAGGATCAATCGATTTCTATGCAGAACTATTTGCGAAGTCTTGCTCGATGAGCTGGACAGAGGTTGTACAGGAAGCGTTGAGTTACTCGGAAATATTAAAGCAATTCGCAGCTCGTTACCTAGAAGAGATCAATGGCATTGCCGATGGGGCGTGCATACCGTTTCTAGATATCCTAGCATTGAATATACGGTCCGAGATAGTTTTCGGTCTCTTCTCCGATAAACGCAGTGGGGTTACTGACACCCCCAGTGACGGTTGTACGAGCTTGGGCTGGTTGGCTGGATCGAAAGCCTTTCTCAGCCAGAATTGGGATTGGAAGGTAGAACAAGGTCCAAACCTCATAATATGCTACATTTCACAGCCGGGCACTGAGTTTCCGGATATCGCGATGGTAACCGAAGCTGGTATTATAGGGAAAATAGGGCTCAATTCGAACGGTATTGGCTGTTGTCTGAATGCTATCCGCTGCCGGGGCCTTGATCGATCCAGGTGGCCCATCCACTTTGCCCTCCGTGCTGTGCTGGAATCAAAATGCCGGGAGGATGCGGTGGAAATGGTCAAATCTTTTGGCGTTGCTGGAGGCGGTCATATATTAATAGGAGATGCAACGGGGTTTGTTGGCCTCGAGTGTACAAGTACTTGGGTGAAGGAGTTACCTATGGGCGAGGACGGACGAGTGTGCCACACGAACCATATTCTTCTGGATAATTCAGGTATAGATGAGCCTTTATGGCTAAATGATTCCCCATCCCGTCTTGCTCGAGTGCGTGAACTCGCAGCCCAAATACCTGAGCCAACTTTGGACAGAATATTCGAAATCTTCAAGGACACTGAGGGCTATCCTGCTTCTATCAATAGAAAGCAAGGAGCCGGTTCCGAGGCCCAGACTCTATTCACTATTATCATGGACCTATCAAGTAAAAACGCTCAAGTCACAACTGGGAGGCCTACCGAGTTTCGGGAGCAGTTTATTCTAAGGTTCTAGCTGGCCAAAAGCCTTTGATTTTATTTTTTCTACTAATAAACACAACGTTGAAGCGATTTTGTCAATAAGACAAGGTGAAAATGACTAAAAATGTACTAGATGCACTATGTAGGTATCTAATGTGAGGTGGGACTAGATTATCGATAACAGGGATCCCCAGTCCTCGTGCTCTCGCCACAGCCACACGGTGTCTTAACAAGCGTGGCACTTATTTGGACCAGTCCTCCTGTACTCCTCCTGTACTTCACCTGCTTCACTTCAACCTGCCTCATACCTTTTTCATCCTTACATTCAATGTTCCTTGCATGTGCATCTCAAACCCAACCTAGTCTAACCGAGATCTCGTCCAATATGTAAACTTGTAGCATATAACATCATATACTGTATATTCATTATATAGGTACCTTATATATATCCGTGCCGTATTCGCTCTACACACCACACGCGCCCAATGATGAGCCGCTCACCGGCGTCTTCAGGTCTCTTACCTATGCCTGGCTCCCCTTCGTCGTCTTGGGCCCTTTACCGGGCTCGAATCGCATCCATCTTTCGAAATACTGACACGTCTATATTGGTTGCATTTTGGCTCTTTGGTACTTCTCTTTTCTTTTTTTTCTTGACCGCCGCATACGTTTATCATGCGTGTTACTGACGAATTCAAGGTTTAATCAACAATGTCCTCTATGTAATTATCCTCTCTGCAGCTCTGGACCTGGTTGGATCCGACGTACCCAAGGGGGTTGTCCTACTCGCCGATGTTCTTCCCTCATTTCTAACCAAATTGATTGCGCCCTACTTCATTCATAAAGTTCCATATTGGCTGCGGATAATCTTCTTCGTCGCTAGTTCGTCTCTCGGCATGTTCATGATCGCTCTTACACCGTCAGATAAATCTGTCGGCGTCAAGATGGCTGGCGTAATATTCGCGAGCTTATCAAGCGGCGCAGGGGAGCTGAGTTTCCTTGGCCTAACTCATTATTACGGACATATGAGTTTGGCCGCTTGGGGGAGTGGTACTGGTGCAGCTGGTCTCGTTGGCGCGGGATTGTACGTCATGTTCACTGTCTGGATCGGTTTCTCCGTCAGGGATACTCTACTAGCTTCGGCCTTTTTACCCGTCATCATGTTTATCAGCTTTTTCCTGATATTGCCTAGAGAGCCGCTCCGTCAAAGCAAACGAGTGAAGGGTTATCAGACGGTCCCGGATCAGGATACGAGGCAAGATGATGTTGAAGATGACTTGCCAGCGGTCAATGCCACCTCCAGTCTTCTCACTCCCGAGCGGTCGCCTATATCTACAAGACTTCCAGTGGACAGAATGGATTCTCTATCGAGGCTAAAATCTAATATCCAGCGGGCCAAATCCTTATTTTTCCCATACATGCTACCGCTATTGTTGGTGTATGTTGCTGAATACACTATAAACCAGGGCGTCTCTCCAACCTTATTGTTCCCCATAGAGTCAACCCCCTTTAAGGAGTACCGAGACTTTTATCCCATGTACGGGTTCTTGTACCAGCTCGGCGTTTTCATTTCCCGCTCATCAATCGCGTTCATCCGCATCAAGCACCTATATATCCCTTCTTTTCTTCAGATAGGCAACCTAGTGCTCTTAACTCTCCATGCGCTACTACCTTTTCTCCCAAACGCCTATGTTGTTTTCGTTGTTATATTCTGGGAAGGCCTGCTGGGTGGGGCGGTATATGTTAATACGTTTGCTGAAATCATGCAAAATGTCCCGACTTCTGAGCGGGAGTTTAGTCTTGGGGCAACTAGCGTTAGCGATAGCGCAGGCATATGCATCGCTGGATTTGTCAGTATGGCTATAGAGGTGTGGCTTTGTGACTGGCAGGTTCAACATGGAAGAGATTGGTGTAAGAAAATTCAAGTTGGTTAGAAATCCAAATAGAAGGAGGAGGTGCGCGAACCTGTGACCCTGCATTTCCCTATCAAGCTGTTTGTACCGGGAACCTGGTTATGTTTCATATCTTCCATTGCTGCGACTTACAATAGGTGATGGTACGCTCGAAGAACTCTTCTTCAAGAAGTAACAAGGATTGTACTACACGATCCATTACAAGGGGTGCGTCTTGATAATCGCCATTAGGAGTTATTGGTCTTCATATACGTTACCATGCCAGCTTTGATTTGGGCATTGCCACATCCAGTCCATGTCCATATTTATGGCGGCTCCATTCCATTGCGACGGCTGCAGTATCCTATGAAGTTTCGGATCAGCTTTTTTTTAAAAAAAAAGGTATGAAGCGGAATAGCTTGGTGTTGCGTTGGTGCAGCGCTGACTCACATATCCCATCGCACGTCCCCCATTGTGTCCACTGGGGGATAAACTAAGTTGCCCTGAAAATTCATATTCATATCACCCGTAGGGTAGTATCCAGGCATACCAGTCATGCCTTGGTCAACTTTACTATCATCTTCTCCCTGCCTCTGACCTTGGACAAATCCTTGTCCCCCTTTTCCTACGTTGATTGTGGGACTGTCCTCATTAGATCTCTTATGCCGCTCTCTCGTCTTCGACTCGGGCAGGGGCAGGCCTAAGGAGAGAATACTCTCCCCTGGGATAATTTCCAGAGCAATCGCAAACTCGAACGCTGCCTTTGCAAACCGAGCATTGGTTCCGCAAACCTCAATAGTCGACATAACCTCGCATAGCTGCCTCACAGCATTTCGCATCTCTTCTATGGTATAACTCTGTATGAGGTGAGGCTTGACAATGTCCTCCCGGCCTTCGTCTTGGCACAGCGAATCTGGGGAAAGCAATGCTAAGGATATATCCAAGCTAGACGTAAATGCATAGTAGATATCTATCCATGTGACACCGTTTATAAGGCCTGCGCGCCATAAATTAACAATCAAATTCCCACAGCGCATCGCCCCAGTTAAACAGACTTTGCTTAAAGCTCGTATCTTGGGCGCATCGGGGCCCAGGGGAATCTCGCCATCTGCAGATTGAATCGTCTCCAAGAGGAATGGGCGCGTCAAGAAGCAGAGCACATGTTGATATCGAATATTAAGTAATAGGACACTCCTCCACTGGTTGTCATTCCCATTTGAGGCCTCATACGGCACGGGCCTCAGTCCTCTTGGTAATGTATCCTCCCAGTCTGAGACAACCCCCAAAAACTCCAAGGCTCGCGCATACATCCTACCCGGGGCAAATCCAGGATCGAAAATTCCGCGTCGAATTGCAGCGAGTAACATGTTCAGTTGAGCCGAATGCTCTATATACCGAGGGGGAGGAACATTCGCGTCCAGATAATCTTCATTAGGAACCCCGACGTCCATTTCCCGGTCATCAATCGCACTGGGTCGCCCTAGCGAACAGCATAGAAATTGCTCAAAGTCGTACAATGTCCACCAAGCCAACTTTCTAGATTGTCTCTCTACGGGATCGAATATTCCTGAAGCACTTTCACGATGCATCCCAAGCGCTATAGCTAGTCGGCAAGCTACTCCGTGGTGCGTCCATGCGCTAGTTCTGTCGTTGGTGTTGTGATAATATAGCGAGAGGAGCATATATGCGCATACGTTTGGAAGGCTTGAGGTACCGAGAAGTGGTGGCAGCTGCTCAACCTTCCCAAACCATTTCCGTTGAAAGTCGACTGAGTCGGCATTCTGGGGGAGGGATCGAGATCCCAGGATAATTATCATATACAAGCAACATAGCCATCCTACTGACACGGAAATTTCCCTGACGCGGCCTTTCGCGTTTTTCCCCCTGTGTGATTCCCAGCAGCGCCACATTTTTTCGTAGGCGGTCTGGAAAGTAAGCCGGTGGAATAAGATAAAGTTGGGATGAACGTGGTGGAAAAAAGCGTGAACACAGGCATCTGCTCGCTCTTTAGGGGGCAAGTCAAGTTGAGACACTCGTTTGCGATACCTCCAAAACTCTGGGTCGTTTGGGTGGTCCTTTAACATATCTTCGCAGATTTTAGGAGGGGAGTCGCCATCAAGATGGTCTAGAACTTTATTTAATGAACCGGAAGAATACTGTTGCGGCGGGGACGGGACGTGTCGCCCACGATCACCAGTTCCACCCAGAGAAGCAGTCAACGGATTGTTTTTAAGGAGCCCACCATCACTTCTAGAGTCATGGCCCGGCCGCGCGGATTCGTCTGAGCTCGCTCCTTCGGAAAACTTCTGTGCAAAGATATCGCGCATTTTGCTAAAGAAAGCAAGACTTCCACACGATCCAATGTAATGTGGTCGGCCACTAGCATCGGTTATCAAGCCTGTATTCTCTTCACAAGTGTCCGCAGAAGTATTCGGGGATTCAGGCGGAAGCTGTGGAATCGCCCTTGACGCAAATCCCATGAGGTAAGACGGCGGCAGTATGGTCTTTTCATGGTCAGTTCCAGCTATAATTAGGTTCGGGTATTCCGCTTCCTTTGACGGGTCTGGGTCTGGTTTGGGAGTCTGAGATGTCTCCGGCTGCTGCACAAAAGCTTCGGCCGACGAAGCCTGAGACAGGTCGGGCGATTCACCGAAGTCAGGCATAGGTATCCTTCTCTCCCCCCCAAATGCCACTAGTTCCTCCGCGGTCGCTCTCGAGTTTAGTTCGGGAAATACGCCAAATACCAATGCCTCAAGGGCACGATATCTTTTATCCAAGTTCTCAACGCTGCCATAGACCCGTTGCTTTCGTGGCAATGTGGTCACACACGGAATCCCGGTCTCGACACATAACTTACAAGGAGGTTGTTCACCAGGTGCGGTTGTGTTATTATTGGATTCTGGGGAAACTTTCAAACGCACACACTTGCATCTTCGCGTCTTGCAAGCGTCGCAACTTACTTGAGTCCTCTTTCGCTGGGAATTGGGAACACGGCGCTTAGCCCTTATTTGCTCTCTTCTCTGAGCGCTATCAGGAGGTACTCCATGCGTGAGGCTTTCATTAGTTATGAAAGCGGAAGGCCCAGGTTGATTTAATACCTGTGGACCCAATGGTGACGTCCTGGATGGCGATGTCGCAGATGGCAGATCATATGTGCCGGAAATAGCTGCGGCAGAAGCAAGATGACTCAATCCTTCATGTTGATGTTGTTGCTGTCCTGGCAGCGGTAATGCAGACCCGAATTCCGGTATGGTGGGACCAGCACCGGAGCCGACTTGTAAGAAATGATGGGGAAGATCTGGCCTCCATGACGGAGGTCCTGTGGGTGCCAAATCATCAGGCTGTTGGGGGTTTCTTGGAGGATCCATACGCAGGATGGAGGTTGACTATCCGGTGGTGCCGCTTCATTACGCTTCCGAGAGGAAGCTCTGGATATAGGTAGAGGAAATGAGAGGTTAACGGGCAACTAGACATGTGGAATAACAGGTATTACGGGTCAATTTATCAAATGCGAATATATGCTATCCTCTGTAACAATCTAAAAGGGGGGGAAAAATTCAAGCTACTTTTGATTAATTCGTTCCGAAGCACCACATCTGCGCGGAAGTATATAGAAGCGATGAGAGTCATAATTACATCACTACACCACATTGAATCTATCACCATGACGACTGCCGCCCCAAGCTCGCAAAGTACAAACTCCACGAAAAGAAACAAGAATAGGGAACAATAAAAAAAAGAGTACCAAACCAATTTCTTAGTTTTTTATGTGTTGTCTTTCTTTAGATAGCTGGTGTCTGATTTGATAGGGTTTAATTGTGAAAATCTACTCTTTTTAGTCCCTTTCAATACATGCCTTAAGCGCCTAAGGAAAAGCTCATGTATTGTAAATAACGTAGGACAGCGTCGGGGAATCGTGATGTGGACCAAGTGGAGCTACTAGATCTGACAGATCTGACAGATCTACATAGGCCGTTGGGTTAGGTACCTAAGGTAAGGTAAGGTATTTATCGAATTCTTCAAGTCTGCCTTCTATAAAGTACGAAGCATTACAGCGTCTGCGCAGTCAACGCTACTCCCCACTCCGTATCACACTTTTACTTTTTTCTTCTTTCTTTTCAATGAGAACAGTCTTGAGCTATCTAGCTTTCAAAAAGCTATATAGTAGGACGCATCCAAGGCAAGACCTAAGTTTTGACTTTAAACCCTACGTACAAAGTGGTATTCAACATCAGCTTATCACAGGTGGATATCTATGGGGTACCTCTAAGGGAAAATACCTACTAGGTAGAATAGAAGCTACAGGCTTACCTACCTTAGGTCAGGTAGGTAAGGGGGTATCTCACTTGTTGAGCTTGGCACAGGCACGTCATATTGAGTAGATGAGAGAAAATATCGAAGATAAAAGGCGTGACCACCTACGTACCTACTTAGTATCCTGCCACAGGGTCTTACATTGAACTGACGTTTTTCATCGTCCAAACTTATAATCTCGCTAGGCAACCTGACTGCTACCTACCGGGTAGATATCACAATTGCTTGCAGCATCTTGGAAATCATTCTCGGATAATGAGGAAATTCCCGCTAGGGTAAGTCGGTCGGCCTATGCGCGAGACATTATATGAAGCATGCGATACAACTACTCGCTACATCGACTAACTAACTATAATTAAAGCCTAGAAACGAATGTAAGGGTACGCGAGAACATGCGCCGAGAACATTGCGATGATATACGGAGATGAGGGATAAAATACCTAGCTCAGAAGACGTTAGGTTAGAATAGGCCCAAAGCCGACTACATCTTCCCTAGATTTCTATGAATAATCGTAAAGAAGGAAGGACAAGAACTTAGGTCTTCTCGCACTTGAGAGAATGTAAACTTCAACCAAACGCCAGCTAAGCACTAAGTGACTCCTCATCTAGACCTATCAACTGATCCGACAACATAGTAAGTAAGCTCCACTACCCGCTTCACTTTGGTAGGTTCGCACCCTTACTTCCCGTCCCCATTGCCGCCGCCGTCTTCTTCGCTCTTGGCGCTCTTCTCCTCCGCCGTCCGGGCCATCTCCTCCTCTCCGTCGCGACTCTTCCTCTTGAACGCCTGTCTAAGTTCGCACTTCCCCAAGCTCTTCCCACCGGCCTTGCACTCGGCACACGTCCGGCCGTGCTCGATGAGCAGGACGTGCAAGCCGTACTTCAGCGGGTCCGGCACCCTCGCGTCGAGGTGGGAGAACGCCTCGTCCCGCGACGCCGACCCGGGCCGCCACCCCATCATCCCCGTCAGCCTGTGGACGTGGGTGTCGACGGCGAAGCTGGCGCGCCCCACGCAGAAGAGCAGCACGCAGCTCGCGGTCTTGGGCCCCACGCCGCGGAACGAGAGGAGCTCCCGCATGGCCCGCTCGTCGTCGTCGTCCCCCCCGCGGGCCTCGAGCCCGATCTCGAGCAGGTGGTCCAGCGAGTACTTGCCGTAGCGCAGCTTGACCTGGTTCAGTATGTCGACGATGACGCGGCTCTTGACGCCGCCCAGCCCGCCCCTCGCGATCGCCTTCTCGAGCCTCGCGGCCCCGCCCGAAGCGATGGCCCCCCACCGCTCCTCGGAGTCCGACCCGCCGTATTCCGCGTCCATGTCGAGCTTCGCGCGCGCGCTGTTGCTGTTGCTCGTGTTCTGCGAGAGCACCGTGCGCACCAGCGCGTCCAGCACCGACGGCGAGTCCCCGCACCCGGCCCGGTCCCTCGGCGCGCTGAGCACCTTCTCCGGCCGCTTCCGCTCCCCGTGAAGCTTGGCCAGGACATCGTAGGCGCGCTGGCACTCCTCGGGCGTTGGCTGCGGGAAGTCCGGGTACGGCGACGTGTTGGCGAATTGCGAGTAGGACTTCAGTTTCTTCGCCCGGAGCTCCTCTTCCTTATCCCTGTCCCTGTCCGTACCCTTGTCCTTGCTGCCCTCTTTGCTTCTGCCTTTCTTTGCCCTGCTTGCAAGGTCTTTTCTGGGGCTGAGTGTCTCAGCTTTGACCCGCGATGGTGCAGCAGTAGATGCAGCCTTTCTTTTCGCTGACTTGGTTACAGGCTTAGCTTCGCCTGTCTCTTCCTCATCCTCATTCTTGACCCTAACTCTTTTCCTTTGGCGATTTGCTGGAGGTGTTGCTACGTTCGCAGGCAGATTTTCTTGTTTGATTGGTACATTTACACCATTCTTCCCAGCATTCCTCGCACTGCGTCGGATGGTGATAGGTTTTCCTACACTATCTGCTTCGGACTTGACAGTGGCATCAGCCATGATTGCCGAGCTTCTGGGTAAGGTAGTAGGCAGTACTAAAGCACTTCGAAAGTAGACCGATGCAAACCGCAGTCTCTGGTCTTCTTATAAGCATTGATCATAAGGAAATTAAAACGGATTAAGCAATTATAATGGAACCAAAAATTGTTGTTGAACACAATAAAAACGAATTCAGAGTCGCACCTTATATGCGACAGATGATGTCAAAGACAATCTTAGCAACTTCGAGACAAGGCCCCTTTTTAAAAAATAAAAACCCTGCGCTAGGCCACCTCATAATATGGTGGCGTTGCTTACGAGCTGAGCATAGACCTCGACTACCCCTGGCACGTATTCTAAAGTTCTTCATAATGCATGTATTTGATATTATCTCGTGACGAAACTCTCGAATTTTATTAGTTGCACTCATGCACTGATACAATACTGTTCTTATTATCATCACCCGTCTCCTTATCCCTCATTCCCTCTTCATATTGGGCAGGCCTGATCGAGCGTCTTCTTTATCGAATGATATCTCATAGTCCCTATTGACCTAGGATTCAAAATACGCCTCCCTTTTCTCATATCCATCCATTCCATAACGTCGTACAAGTGACGTTCTAGCCTGAAAATAATACACAATACTCTTACATGCTTCATTACACAGAGCCTAAAACGTATAGGTTTCGTATGCTAACACAGTATTAACTGCTTCAATTTTGTTTCGACCCAATGCTCCAGCTTGCACTGGCCTATTGGCGTCGACATCTATCCCGTAGTCTCGACAGTTCCCATGCGACAAGCATTTTCAGCCCGTCTTCGTTTTTGAATTTCCTATTCTTCCGAGACCCAACCATTTTCTCCTGCCGCCGCCCTGTGCTCCAGTAGCTGTCGTATTTGTTTGGATTATAGTCGTCGGAGTACTTGGACGCGACGTCTCGGCGGCTTGCTGTTGTGGTGTAGCTAGGTCGGCTACCCGAGGACCATTAGTCCCTGAGAGGAGCGACATACCGCGGCTGCGCATAATCGGAGGAGGGGTCGCGCTCTGAAGGTCATCTTCCACAATGCCCGGGGCACGCCAAGGCATAGTTGGCGGTGGTGGAACGCTATTCCTTCCCGAGGGCTTTGTTGTAGACCTCATCGTTTGGGGTATCGCTGACAACTGACTTGGAGTTGCAAGAGGGGCGGTCGCCTCAGTTGCGCTAGACAGGGCACTGGAGTTATCAGGTCCTTGTCTTCTAAAGAATGAGTTGAGACCTAAACCCCGTCCCTTGGACGTTTGTCCAGATATCGGGGGGTAGTGATTTCGTTTTCCAGGCGTTGTTGTCCCTGCGTTCTCGGGCTGTCCTCTAGTGTATGATGGCATGGGTGCGGCAGAATCTATACTATTACTCCTACCTCTCCCCTCTATACACTCTGTGGCTATACTGTTGACAGGATGCTTCTTAAACTTCCCGCCAGGTGGAGGTGCTACACTAGTGCTACCGGTACGCGCATGCAAACTTGATCGCCGATCAGGGGTAGGAGGTGCAGATTCCATGACCGGAGGATCAAATACTTCTGTCTGCGATGTTTGCAGTGAGCTAGCCATTTCATCGATAGGATCGCGTTTCAAGGCCGACACCGGTGAACCAAGATAGCCATTACCTCTCAGGGCTCCAAAGATAACGTCCGTTTCCCAGCCTCTAGCGTCGACCGGAAAGGAAAATAGATCAGGGGATGTAGAACGCCCGCTTCCGCGCTGTTCTGATAAATCTGTCTGATATCTATTCGGCTTCATGCTCTCTTTCATCCAATAATCAAAGCTGTCTGTTTCAGAACGGGCATCTGCGCCACCGTCCGAGTCTGAGTCCGATCCTAAACTGGCTGCCCTGGCATGGGAACTTATAGTTTCGGCCGATGAGTGTGGTCGAGGCGGGAGGGATTGTGCCAGCTGGGGAAGATCAGAAAACGTATGGGCGTTTGCGATTGACATTGGGATTTGCCTATGGCTAGTAAATGCTGTAGTATGTGCCTGTTCGTTCGAGGGAGCTGGGTAAGGAAGCTCTCTACCAAGTTCTCTACCAAGAGCCCCAATTCTATCGTAGATAGACATGATGCCATTGTTCGTCACACCTCTTGTTTGTGTGGCAAGACTATCTTGAGAGTGGGAAGAATCCTGTTGGCTTCGAAGTGTTGATGACGAGACGGTATCGGGAGTAGGAGGAAATGCGTGAGGATTAGAGAAATCTCTGTACATGGGATAATTGGTTAGAACTTTTTGCAAAGCCTCTCTTTTCTCCTGTTTGGTCTTGCCCTGCTGAGGCGGATGTATAGGGGGCCTTGGAAGAGTGGGAGTCGTGGTACCGCTACCACGGCTGGGCATAGTTTGTCTGGGAATATCGCCACCGACCAGTATTTGTTTTTCAAGTCGTTCAATCTCCTGTAAGGGTGAATGTAGGTTGATAACGTTATTTATAGGCCGCGTACGAGCTGATATTTTAGCACCTCCGCTTGTCATCTCCGGAGAACCTGTAAGCATTTGACTTGGATCGGCAGTCTTTTCGATGTAGCGGCTTTCCCCCTTCGTATTCATTGTTGGCGTCGGTGAACGATCATAATAATAACTTCCATCCATGCCTGCCACGTCCGCTGGTGCCTGTAGACCCTCCCTCTCGCCCATATCCTTGATACCGTATATGCTAACGAAAGAGCTCTCGCTGAGTACGCTTAGATTAGAGCTAGCGATACGATTAATATCACTGGGAGCAGCGCTTGACTCGGAAACTTTGCGCATATGCATTATACTAGTTCGTCCTCTCAAAACCGCGTTGCGTAGATTCTCAGTTTGCTGGCTGTGCTCGGAAAGGAAACTGGGCACTCGTCCGAGGCTATTCACATGCGCGGTTGAATGTGGCACGTTGGGGTCTACCTTATTGGCAACTACAGACGCGGCAGCAGCACCGGTTGTAGCAGATTCAAGATTGGGATGATCCGACAAGGAATGGCGATACGAGCCGTCCGCCTCAACTCGTCTGACCATCTCTCTTTCTCGGACCAAATCATCAATTCGAGCTTCTAGTTCTACTATCAGTGTAACGGCCTCGGCGAGGGCATCATCCTTCATTTCCAACTCGTGGATGATACTCTCATGAAGATCTATCATCTCGCTTTGCTGAGATTCGAGTTTTTCAACTCTCTCTTCTAACGCTGTTTGTTTCTCTCGTCGGTGGTATAACTCCAGCTTTAGATCAAAATTCTGTTTGTGTAGTGTTGACAGGGTCTTCCCGTTCGAATTAGCTGCTAAATTCAACTTGACAGGCAAGCGCGCGTTATTGTGAGCATTTCGTACCTGTTCCATCTGCCTTGCCCCCATCCCTACGTCTTTAGCCAAGTCGTCGCTGTTACCCGACCACTGCGATCGTGCTGCAGAGGTGGCACTTCTCTTGATGGGCGAATTTTGCACACTCCTATCTCGGATATCGCCAGTAGAAGCGCTCATATCAGCACTCATTTTGCTCGCGTGTCTTTCTATTCTTTCCCGCTGCAGCCGCTCTTGCAGAAAACTAGAGGCGGACGCCGTCGGTTCTCGTAATTCATTGCTGGATTCTCTCGATAATCGCGATAGAGGCCGACCCCCTATCGAGCTTCTGCTGCAATGGCTGTGGTGGTACTTGTGTATCGGGTGTGAGCCCGTATGAGATGTTTCCCGTGGATACGAGGAGGTACTAGTTGAACTTCTCGACGTCATCTGGGTGTTCGCGGTGCTAGCACTACTAGCTCGCGAAGGTGCGCGAGAGTATAAACGCTCACGTAATTCCTTCGGTCCTCCGCTGCTATCCATGATGAGAGACGTTGTAATATTCTTACAATATTTGCCTTTGAAAGCCTAGTAGTAGTAATGAGGGGGGGCGAAATAATAATTGGCAACCCTATCGTCTGCAACAATCTTATGCGACCGTGTAGAAAGTAAAAGGCCGTAATTTTCGAAACAGCGATCATGTAGTTACCAAGTTGACGAGGTTCTTGTAGATAATGGGGCAATTCGCAATGTATGGGGTCGAAGGTGGGGATTGAAGAACGTATTTGCCTGTTCGAGGAATTGAACGCTTTGATATCGAGATCGAACTCTTGTATAATGTTTGGAATAGTGGATAGAAAGATGAGTCCACAAATAGCTAGTTCCCTAGAAGAATGAATAGGGATATGGATGATGTTAGGGAGAAACAATGATAATGAACTAGATGAAAGACCAGTTTAACAATGCCCACCAGGTATCCAGGGTAATAGAGATAAAGAATGTACGCAATAACCGGCGATTATAGGATGGAGATCGTGAAAGAGAAGTGAAAGGGAAGTGTAACGTTGATGAGGCTCACAAGGCTCACGAACAATACACTAGGATGGGATCATGGGAATTACCTAGGAAGAGAAAGAGGTAGAGAATAGGTTAGGAGGTATGCACTAAATTCTTCTCTAGCCTAGTACAATACCAGAATAACTTGGGTAGATTGTTAGGCAAGCTAGGTACCTAGGTACCCTTACTAGGTAAACTCTAGCAAGGGAGACCTCTCTTGCTTCATCTCCCTGTTTCGCTTCTAGGAATGCTGAAAGCTGAATTTTTGCATTGTGAGCGAGCTGTCTGTTCTAAAGCTTCTCTGTTAAGGTCCCCCCCGTTTGGTCCCTTCGTGTCGGTACCTTTTCAAGCTAATGCATGTATGCATGTGTCTAAAGGGGAACCTGCATGTTTAAGGGTTATCATTACCGTAAGTAGCTAAGATCCATTCGTGGTTCTGCTAGCTGATATCAAATTCTAGCCAATAAATCTTGGTAAAAGCCCTGTACCTTTTTTTTTTTTTTTTTTTTTTTAATCGTCACAGCCCGCTTGAACCGGGACTAAGGAACACTGTAAACCTGGCTTCCATTATGCTGGGAAAGACTACGATTGGTTTACGATTGGTTGAAACGAGAATATTCTTACAGGGCATACAGGGTAGTTGAAGGCAATCGTTTCCGACAGTTACAGTGGACATTTTCATCTGTCTTCCATCCCCAATGTGATGTGACGTCCGACACCATTGGATCATCGCAGTTCGAGGTTCCCTTTGCTAAACGCCTAGTGTTTATAGGATGCATGTGTTTGATTCAATGTGTATGCGAAAATAGCAGTCTACATCCTGAGCAAAGATATTCAATCCCCCCCCTTTTTTTAAACCTTAGAACAGGCATCCGTGGAATAAAAGACGTCAATTTTCCAAAGACTGTACAAGGACTTCCCCACGATGGCACGAGCCTTGGCCAGGTTGGATGTCGTCATTGATGGGGGCAGTGAAGTCTCCATCGTCTTGGTATATCATTATAAGTTAGAAAAATAAATCTGATATATGATGATATTATATTGTATGATCCTAATTAAAATACCGAGTCGAGAGGTTGCAAAAAGCATCAGCTAATATGACCCCGTGCCCTTTGCCTACCTAAGGTAGGTACCTTTCTGACAAGCTGTAAGATCACGGCCAGAAGGATAAGGTTAATTCCTCTTGGAATGTCAGTTTATTCTAACTTTTCGGTTTGTTTTTGTTTTATTTTTATTTTTTTAATAATCGTTAAGGACACACCGAAACCTCCAAAAGAGCAAGCCATACTATCGTAAGAGCAGTACGCATCTGTGATATATATGACGTCTCCAATTAGTTGGTCAACAACAATTTATATTGTTCAATTTCCAGCGTCGGTCGAGCCCTGCTTGATTTGACTGCTAAGCTTGGAACAAAAGAAGCACGCAAGCTCCAATAGTCCAATCGGCAGACTTACTTACCATTGGACAGGATTGCAGAGCTCGTGAGGGTAACGTAGTAATCTTTATATGTAGGATTTCTGCCCAGTTTAGGGTTATCCTATCAGAGATACATGACGAGGAGGTATAGCTGGAAACGTGTCAAAGCATTGTGGATGCCGGTATACCGCGATTAAGTCAGTGTGATAGGTATATTATTAATTGGATGTTCAGCTATACGAATCGGCATTCCTGTTGGCAAAATGTGTTTACTCATAGTCGTATTTTGTAAAATTCCATGGGCTTATTGGGCTCAAGTAGCAACTGAGACGCGTTGCCGGTTAACACTACTCTTCCGTCAACTACTTCTACCTAAAGCATTTAGGTAAAGTTGGTTGGATTTCCAATTCCCTCAAACCCCAAGTTGTATTGTAGATGAGAGAACAGCTAGTAGAAATGAAAGTGGTGTGGCCCAAGAGACGTCGATACAACCTTTCTACGATAACGAGGAGGGATAGAATAGAACATCATACAGTATAGTAGGTTATCTTATTAGAATCGACGGTTTTATTCCGGGAGCCTTATAAGATAATGGATTGTGATTAATCCTATCTGCCTGCGTAACGCCGTTTGCTATGCCAAGTAACCAGTATTTCATAACTCTTCCTTGAAGAATTTCTCCTCGCTACCTGCTGCTTCCTTTTCCTCTTCCTCATCATCACCATTGGATTTTTTGACTTCGTCAGTATCAACCACACTATGGATTTCTCGAGCGTTGGCGTCCCCCGGGACTTCGACAACCTCGAGCTTCCAGCCCCTGTCCCCTGCTAGCTTCTGTAGCTCCTTTCTCAGTTGCTCAATCACCTCGGGATTGAGATCTAGCTTGGCCAGTTCCTCATCGGGGAGTATTTCGACCTTACTACCTTCTTCTTTGCTGGCTCCCTTGGCTAGCACCTCGACGAGGGGTGGAAGGTTAGAACTTCGGAAGTTTCGCGGCGGAGCTAGCTGGTGTGCTGCTTTCCCGTCTTCTCCCCGTCCGAGTATTCGTCGACCTCCGACTACAATTCCACCAATAGTGACGGGAGCCTTCACCTCCCCTTTAGCCTTGCCTACCATAGCCGACTGCGCCTCCAGCGTCTTCTGTGTATGCCAAGCCGCTTCCTCCGCTTCCTGTATGATGGCGCGGCAACTAATGATATTCGCCTTTTCCTCCTTGGGTGGCTGGAAAGCAACGTCTACACATAGACGAGGGGTGTGGACTACCATGAGATACGCGCAAGTTGTTACTTCTTTAATCCAGCCAATACGATCCTGAGTGCTGCCGGGACTACAGTGGTATTGTATCTCAATTGTCCGCTCTCGGCCAGTCAAGTCACAAATAGTACCGTCTGCCATTTTTTGAACTAAATATCGCTGATCGCCCTTGACCTGGAGTTCTGTATTTGGCGGCGGCGTCGTAGCAGGCTGTTCCTTGTTACCTGCGGGTGCAGGTTGTCCACGACGTGAAGAGCGCGAATTGGAATGCGGATCCTGAACTCTCCCAAGGACGTATTCTGCAGTATTAGGGTCTCTCACAGGAGGACCGCTCTTGACGCTGGCGGGATGCGCATGGAACTGGACAACGTCACGGCCATAGCAAAAGCTATAACTCCACCAACCAGACATGTAGTAGAGGCAATTGCCATCAAGGCCGCTGATGAGATCCCAGCCATGCGCAGAAGCCCTTGCTAGTTCGCGGGCCTCCTCAGCCTTAGCTAGCTCCGTGGCAGTTTTGTTAGGCGCGGGGGGAGATTCGATCACAGGTATGGCGCATAGGTAACGATGGGGAGGGGCGTTCATGATCTCGTATGATTCTGTTAGCTTTCGGTTGCCATCGTCGTCCCCAATGCTGCTATCGGAATCGGGCCTATCGTCAGCAGGCTGTATATTGGAGATGATATCAGTTTGGCCTGGTAAGTTGGCGTCATAGTTGGTGGGAGAGGGGCTGGCTTTTTCAACCAAAGCCTGCGCATCGGTTTCCGATATATATGACTCGGAGAAGACTACTTCAAACTGGAGACGAGGGGATTAGTTAGCTGCAAAAGGTATATGATATTTGTAACGTACCTGAGGATATGCTAGAAGATCGTGGTGGATGCTAAATCCCGGCTGGCGAGACTGGCTCAGCCCTAGCAAGCCGCTTAAAAGGAGTAATGCTTTCTGACGGCCCATGATGCCGCTTCGTCAGAGAGTATATTACATGGAAACGTGTGGGTTTAACTACAATTTGTAAGCCGATAAGTCAATTATAAGTCTAGGTTGAAGCTGTGTTGATTTTGGGTGTTGGTATTGTGTATTGGTAATGGTAATGGGATTGTTAGATGCGCCGGCGGGTTGCGCTTTTGGTTACGTACCTACCTAAGGCACCTAACCTAAGGGACCTATCGAATAATGACAAGGTGGCCGGTGGAAGAACGGTGTTATCTGATCCGTAAACGCAAAGCCGATAAAGACACCAGCTTACCTAACCTAAGGCAACTTCATTCGTATTACCTAGTATGTACCTAGGTACCTAACCTAACATAAATGCAGGTGCCCTTTTTGCCGGGTTAGTCACTTGGCCAGGTGTCTCCCGTTTGCTCTCTTGAAACAAAGCCGTTCTCGAAACTAGAAATCTGCTGGAGAGCAACCTTGAAGCTGACATAGGTCGTGACAATTTGTAGGTACCTAGGTACCTACCTAAATTTATTTTATTAACTACGAAGTACATGCAAATATGTAAATGAAGTTCAAATCTAATAATTCTCTGCGTTTGCACAAATTCCACTACTCCTAACGCCGGCGCCTTTCCGTCAGCCACTGGTTAGCCATCGACTCGTTGGGCACGTCACACTACGTGTTGGAGAGACCCAAGCAATAAGCACCGGAAGCACGATCTAATCTCCCGCATCACAGCTCGGCACGTTCTCGTCCTACCTCCTTACGTCAATCCCGCAATGATATGCTATCCGACGGATGACGATAACACAATGCCCCGGAACAATAGTTCTTATCGCATATGGGCTGAACCACCAATGATGTACCATTGTTAAACATCGTCGGAAGTCATACTATGTACATATTGCATTGCTACCGATAACAAACCATAGAAAATTAATTGTACGAAGCAGCCGCCGGTGACGTGATGATCGAGTACCTGAATCGACACTTTAATCCTGGAGTACGGGATATGACATGTCGACTAGGCGGACAAAAAAAAGAAAAGTAAATCTGAAATGACCCAATCTTACATTGAAAGATGCGTTCGCCGATTCAAATGTACGCCTGGGCCGCGGTAGGGCCTAGGAGAGAACGTTGAAATAATCCCAACGTCATTCATCGTTGAATTCCAACGGCTTACATGGTACTGAGCTTGGACGAACATGGTGTTTATGGACGTATGTTGCGAGAACGTTTTAGTTGCTCGATTATATACAAGACATTACTTTTAGAGTAGGTATACACTACTAGGATCTGCAAATCTACGAATTTACTAGTATCTCTGAACAGAACACCACGATTAATCCGATATGAAGTCGAATAGGATGTACGTTTATTTGCTTCCCAATGCTCATTCGCGCTCACTGTCTCATACATCTCATACATGCATAGTAATAGGGCGGCGACGGGTATAGCCAGCGATGAGTTGTTAAATGCCTACATGCCAAACCTGCTTACCTGCCTACATCGACGGTACTACTTACCTTAGGTAGGTATTATTAAGGCTTCAATACAATGTACGATGTACATACTATAGTACATAGTACGTGCTTTATGCTCTGACATGTCCTAGTAACAATGTCCTGGGGCGCGGCCAACCGTCGGCCGCCAGGGATCTTGTCCGCCTAAAGAATCATCAGCCATTCAAAAGGGTCGCGGGGATGGTCGCCTCACTCTCTAAAACCCACTTGACTCGTTGAGACCCAATGAATGTTATATTCGTCAAAAACAGGGCAAACATTGGCAACTAGGATATGCAAGCTATCGCATGCATTGTCCTTAACTCCTTGGACGATGGGCACGAGGTTTCTCCCTTGCAAACCGTTGCGCGGTCCAGCTCTTCCTTTTGCCTACTATGTACGTATTCATCGTTGGTGTTTGTTTTTTTCCCATCCGTGCTGCGCTTATGGGCGTCGAGGGAAGGAGGGGGAAAAAAAGAAAGGAAAAAAAAAAGATCAGCCAATCTCGAGTGGACCTCAATAAGCAAGATATCTCAAGCAAGAAGAGCGGCAGTTCTATTCGTGCAATACAATACTACCTAGGTACTGCGTATTATTTACGCACACGCATACTACTATGAGGTACCTAACCTAACCTAAGTACTACTATAGTCTGCACAAATTATGTATGGAATAGGATTGGAGTAGTACCAGCACTTTACCACATACGGATGTGTAACACAGCTTACGCAAACACGACTCGATAAGTCAATCCTATCGAAATGCAAGATGCAACCAGCGAGATTTTCTTTCCCAGTTCTACTCCATACTATGGTGGTACATAACCTGGGTAGTTGGTAGTACCTAGATACCTTAGGTACATATAATATACCGTTTAAGAGGTCTGAGTTATATCCATCCCTCTCTCCCTTATATGTACCTAATGCAACCCCACGTTTTTGAATGACGATGAACAGAGAACGGATACCTAAAGGAAACATGCATAACCAAGTATGTACGTGTGCGTGTGCGTGTGCGTGGCTTGAGCGAAACGAGAAAGATTCGGAAAGGTGTCTGAGCGCTTGAAGTCAATATTTTTTATCATTTTTTTTTCTTTTCTTTTGGGTTGCACATTCACCTATGAGTAGGCTTATGTGTAAGTGATGGTATTCACATTTCTTAGCCCGTCTATATCACCTAAGTATTAACATCTATAGATAGATCTAAGTGGACCGCCATCCCCTCTTCAACACCAAATTTGACAACTCGTCATTACAAAAAAATGGAACTGGCAATGGCGTACCTAGGTAAAGCCGTCTATCCAACTACCCGCTGCCACTACTATAACAGTTTTATTAGACTTCGATAGTTCTTATTAAACTACAGCCACATATGCTAGCTACAGTAGCATGGCTTGGTAACATGTCATATACACTGCTTACAGTGCCTTCGGTACTTCACCTGTTGCCCTGATGAGTTTGCAGGAAGCAACTGCGTTGGATATAATGCGTACTACATAGTATGTAGTATGTAGTGGTAAAATTGGCCGATCGCTGAATTGGCTGACTGCGTCACTCGGGCGAGGGGGGGCCCTTGCAAAGAGTGCTGGCAAAACTGACCTGTAAGATCCCGCAATAGAGATTCAAGTATTGAGCTCGCTCTACGGATTGCATTTTGCAAGGTTACATCACATGAGGCGCATCTCGAAAGGTCCAAGTTTAAAGTTCAAGTGGACTTCTTCTTGCAGCAAGAATCCCTCTATGTACAGAAGTTTGACAGGCCACGACGGCCCATCCTACCCTCCGGAAACCCCCCCTTCCAGTGGGTTAGCATCGACTGACGTCCCTCTCTAATCCCTCTTGGATCCCCCCCCAAACGCCCTGTCAAATCACACAAAGTTTCCTGGGACGCTAGCTTGTCAGCTTGTTTGGCATCCATTCGACGTTGCAAGGGTTTAGACAGCCAAACCTGGCCAGGTTGTAAAGCCAAGAGTTGCAAAGCCAAGAGTCGATCTAAGCCCGCGGGATCCTCGTAAATTAAATACCTACATACCGGTACATGCAGACTGGGTAAGCGTATCGTGGGAGAGCGAACGAAGATTTTAGACCCGCTCTTGCGCATGGTCCAAAGCCTCGTCTTGCACTGACTGGTACATAATTAAGCAACGTCCTTGAGGTTTTTCTGGTCTCTGGGTATTCCGAGTCTGTGTTTCGTCCTTCCCTCATTCCCCATACTTTTCCCAGATTGGATTTCAGTCCCTCAATAGGTATTATCCTCGCCTAATAGGTCTCGTCGGCGAGACAAACATAACATCAGCCATCCTTGTTAGGCTTTCTCCCGTCGAGGGTCTACCCCAGCGAGGGTGTCTGTCTTAGTGTGAAAAGGGGGAGAAGAAAGAAGCGAAGTGTTCTAGAAGGGCCAATTCCGCCTCATCTACCGCCTTTTAGCATCGTCAAATTACCCCATCGTCATTGATCATACTTCCCGTGCGAATTCAATTTTAGCACAATGAGCTATTGTCCAAATCCGGATCTAGAGATCAAAAAGCTCCGGGCTTTGCTAGAGCAGAGGGATGCCGCACATCGGGAGGCAATGAGAAATAAGGACGAAGACCTTCGCAAAGCGAAGCAAGAGATATCGCAGCTACAAAATTCTGTTTATCAATCTCAAATAACACCACAATTCTCGAGCCCAAGCGTACCTAATACTTCTGCTATCCATAATGAGTTTCAACTGTCGAGTGCCGCCACGCTTGCCCCGCCTGCCACGCCTGCCACGCCTGCCACGCCTTTCCATCAAGATGGCATGTCGAGAAGTAATACAGTTCCTCGCAGCAATGGTATCCACGTGCATAATCGTTATGAAGATGTTGCACGACAATCTGTAAGATCTCTTCTGACTATATCCTCGTGCATGACTGGCCAGCGCCCTCCATACTGACGAGTGTTCATTAGGACCGACATAGCAGTAATGCCTACGCCATCAAGCGCGCGAGAACCATGTCTCAACAAACACCAGTTTCGCAGAGGATGGACCGCGTCGGCTCGAATATATCTACCCAATCTGCTGGCCCTTTCACAGGCAACGCACCAATATCACCCCAATCACGCACGCATAACGGCGGTATGTATATGAGAACTGCTGGCACGGCGGAGTATGTAGACAGGGACGAACCTACATCATATGCCCTCACCCACTCACAGTCTATGCGGTCATCTCAGACATCAAGACATCGACACGACATGCCTACTCTTTCGGAAGCAGGGCCCATGACCGGCGTGATGCTCGACCCCGAAGTCTATTTTGCGCAGCATCCGTTCCAAGAAGAACCGCCTCCCGCCATAGAATCGTTCGGATCATCTGTGCCTTCGCAGAGCCAAGACGTTGACGTACCTCAGTTCAATATTACAAATGTTTCGGTTTGTGGTTCGATGACTACGGCACCTACATATGACACTGCGCCAATGACCCGAACAAATAGTTTGTTCGACAGCCAGTCCGTGTCCGGCGGTGTGCAAATGATGACTCTCGGGTCGCAGATGTCTCAGGGCGGCGAAGTATATTATCGCGAAACCTCTCAACAAAATAATGCTAGTGATAATTCACCATTAGGGAAGCGACCTTACTGCAGTGAGGACGCTCTTATTGCCGTGGGATCCAGCCTCGCTCCTCCATTTGCTCATCAATATGCTGCGTCAGCGCCTACTGACACAATTTTGGCGTCGGATATGGAACGATCGGTATCCAGTGCGAGCATGGCTAGCACTCGATCAAGCTCCTCTCTTAAGGTTCGGGCCAAGGACACTCTGAAGCAACAATGTCAGCGTGCTCTGAATGCACCGTTGAAACCGAAGCCGAGAACGGAGCAGGAAACGTCGGAGTCGCATACCACTACGAAGAAAGATGGCAAGGCAGCCATCGCGAAGACAAAGTATGTACGACCGAAGCAACCTAAGGTCTACTGCGACTTGTGCGATGAACACAAAGACGGATTTCGTGGCGAACACGAGCTTCGGCGTCATAGGGATGCCAAGCATCAGGCTACCGTAAAGAAATGGATATGCGTTGACCCCGCCGCCCACGGTCTCCCTATTGGCATACCGGCTGTCAATCCCCTCAGCAAGTGCAAGGCATGTAAGGCGCAGAAGAAATACGGCGCATACTATAACGCAGCCGCACATCTTCGCCGCACTCACTTCAAGGAGAAGCCGTCGCGGCAGAAGAACAAGAGCAACGGTGGCAACCGCGGGGAAGAAGACAAGCGCGGCGGAAAGGGTGGCGGCGATTGGCCTCCTATGAGCGAGTTGAAGAACTGGATGAAAGAGATCTGGGTGAGCAAGTATGAGCAAGACGATGACGACGGCGACGACGAAGATGTGGCAAACCTGGTTGTGGATGTCGAGTCCGGGGTTATAGAGTCGTATCCTACCGACTTCAATGTGCCACACAAGATATCGAATCATGATGCATTCGCCGAAGTAAACTACGGAAATCTAGTCGTCAATACTGATGTCAGCTATATCAACGGAATGCCATTGTCGTCCGCTGACTTCAACTTTAACAGCGGCATCTCACCTGTCACCATATCGCCTGACTTCGCCTCGGACCTTTCGACCATAATTCCCCAAGACAACATAAACCAATATAGCTCTGCGCTTTCATCGTCCGCAACAGTGACTCCTATGACCGCTTTTCATGAGGTACCGCGTATGGAAGATTTCGACTTCAGCATAGTGTACCCTCAATGATCTTTATTTGCCTGGGATGATAACAGCCTCCCAACCGAAGCCAAGCTGCGTTTCTAGTCGACTGTTTTTTTTTTTCCTTGTTTTCCGCTGTCATTTCCATCACGACATTCTTCGCTTATTGTTCAAACGGTACACATACTATTATCTTTCGCTATACATCTCATTTCGTCAGCGGCGCCTCTTTTCGACGTCGACCTGTTCTTCGCTTAGCCACGCCATCGCAGTTCCCCTAGGTTACTACCTAGAGGGGTATTAGAACTATGCTAGGTTTTCATTCGAGTTACATACGACCGCTGAATTTTCGGCTCGAGGGGCACCAAGTTACTTAGCCCACAACAACATACTCTTCTAGCAAACTTTACCGCTCCGAAACATAGCGCAGCTATCCTTGCTTGTAATGCTTATCCCCTATAGGATATCTTCAGGATATTTAAGCGACCTGGAGGCAGAGCCTCTCACATTAATCAATCCTATTACCATCGCGGCTCGGTTCTGGGTATTTGGAAATAATATATCCTTATTACTTTGCTTTATAAGAACAGGGAGCCCCCGGGGATTTCCCCCCTCCAGTGTTCGCATGTCTATGCTTGTCGCCTGGGCTGGTAGACGGGATGAAAGGGGACCCGGGAGAGTGCAGTGAGTTTTGATATTTTGGCCTAGCGCGGAGTTTTGAGGAAGCCATAGCATGGTAAACGGACAAGGCAGCTGAGAAATGGAGACTGGATATCTCTTAGAGGGTATTTTCTGTCTTCATTCCCGGGATAATTTTATACTTGGAGGGGGAGGGGTGGGGAGGAGGGGGTCATGAAGACAAGCTTTTGTCTGAGCTTGAGGCAGGTTGTCATTGTTGCCACCGGTTGGAAAAGGATCATATTAGATATCGGGTGGATATGTTGGTTTGGGTATTCATCTTCTTCCCCCTTTTCTTCTTTCCTTGTTCGACGTACTCGATTGTATTTTAATGCCTTTATAATCAGTTCCAGCGGTAGTTGGATACTCCCCCTATTTTATGGAGGAGTTGCTGTCCGACCATCTCTTTGGCGGACTGGCAATTAAGGTGCGAAAAAAAAGCACACTTGCCAACTCAGTTTATTACCTCAATTCTTTCTCGATGAATATGCCTCTCCTTGTTCGTAATGGCAACTAAGGATTACTTGAATACTTGTAGCGGCAATGTGCAAGACACGTAGCTTTGCTGTGGTCAGTAGGAAGAGTCTGGTCTACATAAGAATTACTCTTCTAAATTCCACTAGTTAATCTATCCTGGATAATAAGGAGCTATGAAAAGACCGGCATCCTTAGACCCTCTGTGCTGCTGCTATCGACTGGTCCTAAAAATATATCTATGGTAGCATCCCCCATTCTCCCTTAGCAGAACCAAAACTACAATCGGCGTAGTAGATGGATTTTACAATGTCCCACCTAACGCCGATAACATCGAGGCGCAAATAAACGCGTATATAACGGACGGAGACGTCATAGTTACTTCCACCGGCCACAGTCGGAGATGGGAAAGGAGATGGGAAAATCACAGTGCAGTACTGCAACATAGCCTTCCAAGTTGTTCCATATTTAGATGATACAGTCTTACCAGTGGCGCATGGCTTGCATCGCATTTAATGCCGACACGCAGCCGCAGAATGATTCCGCAAGCCGTTCTGTAGTATTGTACGTATCACCGTTAACATATCCTATTTCAGGGCTGGCCAATCAATCTCACCAAAGTCTAGATGGGGTAAGTCTATTATTGTTTCGTTGCGGAAGATGTCCCAGGACCAATCGAGCTGGCTTCCAACTCGAAGCAGGCCAAATCAATCCCGTTCTAAAATCGGAATCAGCTGGTACAAATACCCTACATCGTAGCAAATAGTTCCTTCTGTTACAAGGCTTGGAAATGCCATCGCACTGCATTCGTTATATGTCGTGCGAGTTCCCTAGATAAAAGTCCCGCCGGCGTGCTCGGGTCAACTATGCACTTGGAGCCCTCTTGAGAAGACACAGAGCACAGGCTTTGCACTTCCTCGTAAAAGCATTGTCCTGTCTAGGGATAATTACAGTTAAATAGTTACCCTATATATTTGATTCGCCTTCGATCGCGACCACTCGCTATTATCTCTGCTTCCATACAGAGCATATCATCCAACCCAACTCATGTGAGATCACCGTCTGCTCCGAGATACTTCCGAGACACTATGGGCTCATACGTCTCGATTGTCGAGTGCAAGGCAATTTATAACGTCACCTTAGATTGCTCTATCAAGAATTCTACCGTGGATGGAGCACCGTCCACAATGATAGGGGGTTATACCAAAGGGCAATTTCCTGGAGATCCGGATATCGCCGGGATAGGAGTGCGTTTTACATCTCGCCTCTCCCAATACGCCGCTTAAGCTTATGTGAATATAGATCCTTGGGGTTTTTGTTGCTGTTACCTCGTTTGCAATATCTGCCGGTATTATATCGATAATATGGCAGCTAGCGAAGACATTCCATTGGAAGACGACCCATAGTGAAAAGTAAGGACACAAACTTCTGTAGATTCGTGGAGTACGTTTAGCTCGGCTAACATGCCTCTTATCCAGACAGAAGGTAGAAACGCGGCATCATACAAGTTTCTCTGACATCTTAGAATCACTGGTCCTTGCCTGCAGTGACCAGCAGGTCTTCACGGGAGGCGCATACGCGCTCACACTTCGATATTGGAAAGGCTGTACAATCTCGGCCTATCACTATAACATCGTTGCGAATATGATGCTGCTCACCTGCGCTACTCACCTGATGTCGGTCACCATCGTCAGAAACTATTGGAAGTTTCCATTTCTAGCCCTCCTCCGCGTTATCATAATCACCTCTGTTTTCACAGTCACAGGGTTGCTTATGACCAACCAAAATTCAAACGCGATCATGGCGTTTCCAACTAGTATACCAGATGCAACGGAAACTAGGAGTTTGCTCTTTCTCCCAGCTGCTTGTTTCCAGGCCGGAGAGAATACGGCCTTGGAAACCTTCAACGAGGTAACCTCAAGCGCCCGTACGTTTTTCAAGGATAATCTTGCTCGGTCGACACCACGCAACAAGGTCCAAGGCTGGAACTTGTATATAATCACGATGCTCTTCTATGGGGCAGCCATAATTGCTGAAGTGGTTAGATTCTTTCGACGGGGCAAAACGAGGCCCGGCTGGAGAAGTCACGTCGGCAGTAAATTTCAAAAGTGCTGCGGCCTCGGAACACTCGCAAGGAGGCTCTTGCAGTATATATACTCGGCTTATCTTGTACTTGGTTGGATCCTGAGTTGCGCCGTAGCCGTTATCTCAACACGGTATATATTCCAACTTCGGAAATGGGTCGATAGGTCGGGATGGATTTTGCTGGTGAACAACCAGAACCCGGAGAATGACGCCAAAAGCTTTAGCCAGCTAGTTCCTATACTTTCTAGCGTATTGATCGTTTTCAGCTTCGCTCAGATTATAAGCGGTATGCTATGTCTCTCCCCCCTTTGGCGTATGTCGCTTTGGTTCGTGCTCACCCAGCCCTTGCGCCTCTAGAGAAATGCACAAACCATAATAACCGCACACATGCCGGCGATGAGATGCCAACGCAAGCGGGCAAGGTTGAATATCTCGGCCCTTCTAGGTACGATATGGTACCTCAGTCGCCGCAACAAGTTGGTAGAGATGGTCGGTTACCCTGGGGACATAGCCCAAACTCCAGTGGCGTCCAAATAGTCACGCCGCTGCTCAGCGGTAACACATATTCCGCTACGACGAAGGCTTTTCATTATAACGTCTCGCCAGAACGGCCAGCATTTCCTTCGCCGCCATTTCAGTCGCAAGGCCAAACCCGGGATATAAGCCCGGCTTCCTCATGTAATGTAATTGGAAGTTCGCATCCTTCTTCTGAATTGTTGCCGAGGCGACTAGATGAGCCAGAGAATAGCCGTGGGCTTTGGGTACGGCGTTCTTAAGGTCAAAGAAGAATCGTCGTCCATCCTGTAACAGGTACTTAGGTAGCTTTAATTATAATCACGTCGTAGTTTGAGGGGCGTCCAGTATTCTGAAAATGGCTCTTGTTCTCGAATACGTATTCATTTTTTTTCTTATGGACAAAGTTGTAAGGGTTGATACCTACCCAAGTACCTAAGGTAAAGATGTTTGTAGATGAGGTACCTAAGGCATTGTATCGTGTAATATGATAGGTCCAATACAACCTTACTCTCTTACATAAAATATCCCTTGCAGATTTATGTTAGGTATGTACAATATAATACCCCTTTTTACAGGCTTAGGTGGACAGAGTGGCTGCATTGAAACCCCTGCATTTGTGTCTTCTTTTTCGTGTCAGTCGTACAAAACACAATCCACAATCCACAATAGGTACGATACACAATGCATTACACAAAACGAAACAATGCAATTAGGTTAGGTACCTGTATCTAAGGTATTTCCCCGCATCCTTCCGTCTGCGTTCAAAAACCAACCCCGCCAAATAACGAAATGCAAATGCTTCCAACGTTATATACCAGGTAGGTACCTCTCATCACGTTATTCCGTGTTGTTCCCGTCGTTGCTTTTTATTCCACTCTTTTCTTTTTTCCTATTGTAATAACATCCATCCACCATCCACCAGCTTGAAATCACCCCATCTGCAAGCTTGATACTCTCCATCTTGCTTTTAGCTCAGATCAAGATGCTGTCTCACTCCTCCACAGTTGTTTTCGAACACATCATTTAATTCCCCGTCAGAGAGTATTTGTCCTTTTGAGGTTCTTAGCAGCATGAAAAAGGGATTCTATTACAGGCATCGCTAAATAACAGCTGACAGTAACTTTGACACCACGGCATATCTCTCTCGTTATCAGGCCGTTCTGGGCTATCGATGATCTCGTCAAGATGACAGACCACGGTGGAGATGCCCCAACTACCTCTCCGCCAATATACCAACTTCCGGAATGGGAGACGATAACCCATCCCCCCAAGCCTCGTCAGTCGTTGTTAGGCCGTATTCTTCCTTCGAGAGGTGATATTCTAGACGAACCATCATCTGCTTCAGCGCCACGGCCCACAACCGCCGATCTTGAGCATGCCAAAGAAGAGTCTGGTCGAGCGTCTACGCTCCCAGTACATACTTCATCCACCGTCGGGGATACTACTTCAAGACCCAAACTCGCTTTTTCGTTGCGCAGACGTTTAGATTCAGTGCTTCCTCCACATCGAACTTACTTCGGACGTTCGCGACGCTTTCTGCTTCTTTGCGTACTCCTACCTCTAGCTATCTTTCTCTTTGTTCTTACCCCGCTAGCCATCGGCCTGGGCGTTGGCCTGTCGCGCCGCTCGTCTAAGACCCAAAACTTACCTCTTCCAAACAACAAGAGTGTATTTACTGGGGACTTGACGTACTACGAACCTGCCCTAGGTGCTTGTGGCGTACAGTCATACAGCGGTGAGAATATCGTGTCCGTATCTCACACTATCTTCGATGCCGCGAGTCAGGGGTCTGATCCGAATGCGAATCCGCTTTGCGGGATGAAAATTAGAGTCACGAGGAATTTCGTCGAAGCCGGTATAGGGAACCGGAGCGTGGATGTCACTGTGGTGGATCGATGTGTCGGCTGTGCGGCTACAGATCTAGATCTAAGTCCCGCCGTGTTCGAGCAACTGGCACCCCTAGGTGCTGGGAGGGTGGTTGGTAGTTGGGCGTGGGTGAGCTAAAGTGCATGCATGTATGAGATCTGATTACGAGAGATGACGGGCATAATCTCTTCTGTTCTGAGGGCGTTACGTGTAAAGGAGTTCGGCTACGGGTGGCATATTATACCCTTTCCGCCTGGCATAATTTCGGCAGATGTCAGGAGTGTACGAGTGATCAAGGTACAATTTAAATTAAGTTGAGAACAAATGAAAAACGTATACCTTTAATGATAATTCGCCAGAGTACCTACCTAGGTTAAGTAGGTATCCAACTACCTACAGTAATTCATGAACCGGTTTGAATCTCTACACGTACTATGGTGTTATGGGTAAGTAAAACCCCTGTCAAAAGTAGCACGCTATAATGTGGCATATGCGATAACTTTTAACGTATTAATATTAGTATATAAATATCTTGATATTAAGACATATTATGTAAAATCTGATTAAAACGCTAGATTCCTGATTGTTTAAGGATTATTTTGATATATATTTCATCTATAAAAAGTGCAAGTAGGAATTCTTCCTTTTTTTCAAATGTTGAATGTATCTTTTTAACCCCCTGGTCATACTAGTCTCAATTTAGTATGGTGGCTTTCGCAGCTTTTTTGTGCGGTACTTGAAAGTGTCGTTTTACTTTAGCCTGATACCATAGTAGTCGGCTAAGATACGAGGTATCCCTCAAATAAAAGGCCCGTGCCGAGACTTTGGTTCCGTCTGTCGATGATCATTGCCATACTTATTGGGCCATGCCACTTCTCTATACCATGTAATACCGAAGTTTAACCTGCAGCAAATCTTGGCACAGGCTGAAGATCTTGACAGGGGTATGGGGTGGGTTTAGCTCTGGTAACTTGAGCTTAGAAACACCAAAACAACAACGAAAAAAAAGAGAAAAAAAACGTACAACACCGGGGATTCGCTGGTCGTCACCGACCCAACTACTAATCCGGCGGTATGCAGCTTATCTATGGGAGAGCGGACGGGATCCCGAGTTTTCTGCATCCTATGGTCGTACGTGGAAGTCAAGTCTTCTTTTTTGCCTTATAAGTTAGACCCTGTATTCTAACGTTAACCCCTATTCCATCCGGCCAAGTCCAAACATATCATAAAGTTTACTGACCAGTTTCAGGGAAAAGCATACTCTCGTCAAAGCTTTAAGTAAAAATTAAGTTGGGGATTAAGTTAGAGGTACCTGATTCACTGGCCATGATATAAGCTTATCCAGTGAGGATTTCATAGAAAGTTTGTTGAGTCGAAACCATCCGTGCTAGAAAGGAAAGGCTGGTTCAAACTTAATCAGGGAGTTACGATCAGACCTGCTGTCGTCTCTTGTCTGCAGTAAAAGCTAATCATAAGACCAGATTCGGTTCTTGATGCTATATCTAAAGCGGACATTCCTATCTACAAACGCTTTTTTTTTCAAGCCTGTTCTTCACGTTTTTAAGGAAGCTCACACGTTGGGTTGATTCATAGAGCAGTGCTTTTGGTACCTATTATCACGATACGAATAGGTTCATTGACGCCTTGATAAACACCAAATCTCTTTTTAAGGCCTGCTGATTTCTAACCTAGTTCTAGCCAAGACTTTTGCGAATATATGGCGAAATGTGTTAACGTACTCTTTCATTGAGCCAGTATTACGATCAACATTCGCTTTAACGTATTTCGGAAAGTAGGCATTGACAATATTACGACGGGCTTCGTCCAAATCGAAGCAGAAGTGGGAAACTTTGACTCTTATAAGAACAATGGCTTCGAAGCTACTCTCGCGGGCCAAAACGTTATGATTCATTTTGGAACTACGTTTTTTATCTCTCGCGAACCGAGTGAATATGGTTTTTAGCTACTCCAAGCCGAAAGCTCGGAACCTCAATGTAGGCTTTCACCATGGGGCACGCTTTCAAAAATACCTTTGAAAAGGGGGTGTCGACAAGACTATCGAGCGGACGAGCAATCTCTTGCGGGGTGTACCTTAGACGAAGTATCCCCACGCAAATTCGTGGGAATGCACGTGCAAGAGAGAAAGTTTATCATCTGGGACGATGAGAGACAACTGATTTTTTTTCTCTCGTGCCATCCGAGTAAAGCCAGCTTCCCCTTTAACGAGGGTCTAGAAGAGACCAAAGCAAATGAGAAGTAGGAACATGATTCTAAGAAATCTAACTATTATGCCGAAGTAGCAACACGTGCCCCATAGAGAAAATAAACACGCGAGGCGTAAGAGGTACCTAAGATATGAAACGGGGACATCGTCAAAGAGTGAGGCTACCCGAACCAGGTTTACAGTGGATAACTGTCAGGATCGCCTGTGTATTGTACCAGGTGGGATAATTTGGCTACTTGGTACCTGATAACGTTTGTAAGAAGTTGCCAGTGCCTCCGAAAATTTTACGTGCTATCTGCATGTACATAGCTAATTCCCCAACTCTCCCCCAGAGGAGATGGAGATGTGATCTAAGTTGGGGCTATTAATGAGGAGAGATGGAAGCCCCAAGCCCCAGCTTTGTTGCTTACTCTTGGATAAAGTTGAAACGGATGAGGGTACATTGTATTTCTGCATAGCATGAACGTTCTCCCCCTTTTCAAGTCCTAACATAGAAATTAGCCCCAAGTCTTTAGGGGAGGGGTATTGAACTTTGTGGAATAATTCTAGATAATTACCCCCTTCTTTCAAATAGATCATATAAAGATGTATCTCGTGACCAAGCCGTGGGGGCCGCTTAATAAGAAGGCAGTGGGAGATGATGATACAAGATCCTAAATCTGAAGGGGGGGAAAAGTGGAATATGAGATGAGGAAGAGAAAAAAAAATTAAAAATTAAAATAAAAAGAAAATTTATTAGGTACTTCCCACTTTAGAAGTTCTGGATCAGAGAGAACGCCGCAATGCGACCGGAGAAGACTGTGGGCAACCCGCGGGGTCTCCATACAGACGTGTAGTATAATGTTTGGTAGTATAACACTACCGTACCACCGTCGTTTCAATATCACCCTGTCGTCGTGCGGAGGTGAGTGAGGATGATGCCTTTTTTTCGTTTTTTTTCTTCCATCGTCACCTCTTCATCTCGGCGACGGTGAAAATTGGAATGAGTTTTGTTGAACTCGAGACCCAGGGCAGAGCCGCTTTTGCTCCACAACAGGACCGACTCGGTACTTGCTCGGCCACCCTAAAAAGTCCCCTTAACTATTTCTCATCCAATAACGCATTGTGATATCCTCGTATGCGCGAGATTTATTAGGAATAATAAGCTGGGCTGGCTTAATAGGGCTCTCCTTAGGGTAGGTTTTGGTGAGGGTGATAAGATCTAGAATCCTTTAGGATGAATTCATCAAAACTTCCATCAACTTTCGAGAAGTAAGAAAGTTGCGAAAATATCCCGCGCGCAACATAGGCTTTTTTTTATTTATTATTATTTTATGTCCTACTTACTGCTAAAGGGTGACAAGGGGGAGGGATCTCGGTGCCCGGCGCTCGTTAAAAAAACTAACGAAAGGCTAGAAAAGTCGGATCCGCCGGAGAGCGGCTCTGTCGGGACCAACCGCAGCGGAGTGCTCAGTATCTATGTGTATGAGTGCTCGTGATGGGCCCATATATGTGGGTGCGCTATGGTTCCATCGGGGCCGCCGATCTAACCTTGATAACTATCCCCGACGTAAGTACTCGCGCGACACGCCGTCACGAGTCCGATGGGGTGATGACGCAGTGGGCGCGTCTGTGGGTGAGGTCAGGGGAAAAGTAGGAAGTTTAGTCTTAGTTTCCATTTTGTAGTAACTTAGGTAGTAAACTAACTAGAGTTTCTTCAAGGTTTAAAATGAGCCCGTCGACCATGCCTTTATTAAAAGAGCACTTCCTGCATACCCCAGGCCCCCCAGGCTTATCCCTCAGCTTGCAACTCATTTATCCTCATCTTTACTAAATCATCATTGATAGTATTCACAATCTACAAGGCATCATACCTACTTAGGTAGCCAATATAGTATGCCGTTCTTAAAACACCAAACCGACCAGGTGGAAGCACCAAATGCCGGTGCTTCGGGCTCGGCAAACCCTGCTACCAAGCAGGAGCAGAGCGGCGAAGCCTCTGCGGCGAAGCAACAACGAGTGACCTTCATGGCAATCTTGCTCGGTGTCGTTGCCAGTATAGGAGGTTTCATGTTCGGATATGTCAGCGGTCAGATTTCGGGTTTCTTCAACATGCCGGATTTCGCCCGGCGTTTCGGCGAAAGGCAGGAAAACGGAGAATACATCTTTGGAGCGGCGAGGCAAGGAACGATTGTCGGTCTCCTCCCAGTCGGATGCTTGTTAGGTGCTTTGATTGCCGGACAACTCGCAGATATCATCGGCCGTCGGTTAGCTATTTCTGTTTCGGCTCTGTGGTCCTGCGTTGGTATTGTTATCGAGATCTCGTCCGAGACCGCTTGGGCGCAGTTTGCCGTCGGTCGTCTGGTTACCGGTGGCTCCATCGGGGCTCTGTCTGTCCTCGTCCCTATGTACCAGTCCGAGAGTAGCCCGGCCATAATCCGCGGTATCCTAGTGTCAACATACCAGCTTTTCATCACCTTCGGTATCTGGACCAGTTACATGGTCGACTGGGGCACTGCTGACATGAAATCGAGCGCTTCGTGGCGAATCCCCAACGGTATCGGCTTCCTCTGGTCTCTCGTCCTCTGTGTCGGCATCCTTGTTCTCCCTGAAAGTCCCCGACACGCTTACCGCAAGGGCCAAGAAGAAGAAGCACGCAACACCATTGCCAAGTTGGCTGGTGTCGACCCTCAGCACCGCAGCGTCCACGACCAGATCACTGAGATTCGTGTAAAGCTAGAAGAAGAGAAGGCTAGTGGTAAAGCTAGTTGGTTCGAGATCTTCACCGGACCCAGGATGCTTTACAGGACTGTCCTTGGTATTGTGCTTCAGGCCGGTCAGCAGCTAACCGGTGCCAACTTCTTCTTCTACTACGGAACAACCGTTTTCAAGTCCACTGGCCTCAGCAATAGCTACGTCACTCAAATCATCCTCGGAACAGTCAACGTCGCATGTACGATCGCCGGTCTATACGTCGTACAGAAGGTTGGACGTAGAAAGGCACTTATCGCTGGTGCTGCATCCATGATGGTTTGCTTCTTGTAAGTTACTCCCTGACCACTTAAAGTTTCTTGTTTCTCTTGAAACTAACTCGTATCGCGATAGCATCTATGCCTTTGTCGGTCACTTCGCTTTGGATTCGGCCAATCCCCTGAACACCCCTCAAGCCGGCTCGGCTTTGATTGTATTCTCTTGTCTCGCCATTGCCGCTTTCGCTACTACATGGGGACCTCTTGTATGGGCTGTTGTAGCTGAACTGTATCCTTCTCGATATAGGGCTCCTTGCATGGCTTTAGCCACTGCTTCTAACTGGTTCTGGAACTTGTGAGTATAAGTCGTCTACGGTCTAGTAAATCTAGAATGCTAACAAAGGTCACAGCATGATTTCGTTCTTCACTCGATTCATCACTGACGCAATCAACTACTTCTATGGATTCGTGTTTGCTGGATGCTGCGCTGCTCTCATCGTCATCGTCTACTTCTTCGTTATTGAGACTAAGGATCGAAGTCTGGAGGAGGTTGACACTATGTATCTGCTCCACGTCAACCCTATGAAGTCAAGCCAATGGGACGGCAGCAAAGTGCCAGAAGGAGTCACTGAGGAATCAGCTCATGAGGAACACGCCGAAGTCTAAAGGTTAGGATAAAATATGAAACTGTAAATGGTAGTGTTTAGGCTACAATAATTCTAATTCGCACATATCATAAATGCCTACCTAAGTTAATGTTACGGTACATTCATTCATTTGAGATTTGTTTTTGCTACAGGATAATTGTGTAAAGTCCATGCTATGACAGACCAGTTTCGCCTTCTTCCTACTTTGCTCTATCACTTTCGCACTGTTTACCTACATAGTAACTATGAATTTGTTGTGGGCCGGATAGTATTTCACAAGAAGAAAACGTGGGTAGGGAAAACTAGAATGCTAGAAGGGGGGGGGGAGGGGTGTAAGGCGAGGCTAGGTAAAGCGGGTTATCTCGAAATACAGGATGCATGTAAGAGGGAAAAAAAAAAAAAAGATTAAGTCATGTTAGCGTCAAGTGTTCTAATTAGCAATGGGGCACCCGGAAATTTGTAAAGTCTCAGACGGTCACGAGCTTCTTCACAAACCAGCTATTGAATTGTCCCCCCCTACCTAGGTACCTCTATGTGTGAACTACCTCTTAGATCGGCGACTTGTCTCCCGAGTACATAGCAATAGTTTTGTAATACCTGTAGCAACCAACTCTTTGATAGCATCCAATAATTATCCAATAATTAACAAATAACTTAAAAAGTTCCTATAGTATCCAACCGGATAACGCTTAACCCATCAACCCCCCTATTCGTCAGTTCCAGTAAAGGTTCCGACCCTTATTGTTTCCAGTTCACTTTCCCGACTATAGCCTTTATCAGTTCCTATTTGAAGGCTCAGTCATCCAGAGTTCCAACGCGTAGTTGCTAACAATCTGCTGCTGAGATAGATATTCGTGTAGGTTCATACGAGTGGGTGTCGACACTGACATATCAATCTCTTCTATGCGATCTTGAATGTCAGTAGTAATGTCTCTCCAAATCGTGCGATTTGAATCGTTCGCAGACTGTTGGCTGGAGCATGTTTGTGTGTTAGGAGGATAGGCGTTCGAACACGTATCATGGGTCGGTCGTTTGCTATCGCTATCACGACATGCTGTAGGATTGTTGAACTCATCGGCCTGCCTAAATTGTGGCTTAGGGTCGTCTGAGCTATGAATCGTACCAATATGGTCGAGGTCCCTCTGTAGCTTGTTTTGCACTGATATGTCAACAGTGGCTTGTCCTTTCTCGTCGGTTGCTGGGGTCGTGCTGGTATTATCGGGAATAAGCTGTTCATGGCTTCCCTGTATGTTACAGCACTCTCGGCTCGGTTTGCCGGAGAGAATCTCCTCCACAGGATTAGTCTAAGTCAAGTGATGATGATCCCGAATTCCTCAACTTACAGCTTGAACAGACATGTCTACTCTCGCTCAGAATCTGCCTCAACTCATAGTATCTGGGTCTTTACTATCAAGTCGCGAGTTTCCCCAAGCACCATGCTTCTGGTGCAGTTCTCGAGGGTATTTATAGTCCTTCATCTCCTAAATACATTTGTAGGTTTAAGGAGATTGTCATAAACATCCCTAACCTCCATGTTTGCGATATAAATGTGATAAGTCATATCTCATGTAGTATTCGATCTGATAATCTTTAAAAGAAATGGCGCGTCCTTTCCACGCCGTTTTATCCCTGCAATCTTACTGCAATTACCTACCTAGCTGTAGCCCCTATCGGGAAGCCGATGTCAGCAGAACATATTTTTCATGGGGTCAAAGTGATTTGTTCCATGCATATCTGCGGGTTTGCGGCCGGTAGGCTCCTATATCGACTAGGGAAGATGAAGTTATGATAAAAGGGTTATAGGTGACGGGATACATGTGGGAAACGGGGTTATTATTGGCTGTTGCGCGAGTTTCGTTGGGGATTGATAAACCTATCGTCACATTTGACTTATGCCACTACCCGCCGCGCCTTCGGGTTTGTCATGATGCTACCGAAATGTTTATCCAATGCATGGCAGGTGTCAATGCCCTGTACAAATATCTACAAGCTGGAATACTCGGCCAATTTCTCCGTTCTCGAGTACGGTCTAGTCTCCTGTTGATGTGTCACATGGACCATCTAAGAAGATAGGCAGATATTGACTAGCATGGTCTCTTTGCAAATTAATGGAAGGAATACTTATCGAAATTGATACCAGGCGATGCTTTGAACTGTTGGCTCTTCCCCTTGCTTAATATTTATATACTAATACTATACATCATCCGGCAAGATAGAAACTCGATTAAAGGAGATCTGCATTGCGTATGAGGTTAACGTAGCAGTCAAACAACTCGGACGAGATAGGGGAAATCGGCTAATTTCTGAGTTATTCTGCATTTTTGGCTTACTCTCTAGCTCTTTTGACATGAATCCTTCGAGCACATGATTGAAGTACAATACCACGTTCCAGCATGGGAAAAGAGACGCCATGTTACGTGTACGGATCGCCGATGGGGTTACCACATGTATCCTTACAGGATGTATAAGAGTGAAAATTCGATATGTCTTCATAGCCGAAGTGGCTCCATGCTAATGCTTTGGGACATTAGTACAATATGATGCTTCTTATAACGACTGAGGAAATCTGATATCGAGTCACATCGCTAGGTATCCTGACTCAAACGTGTAGACTCTTTTCTGTAGGGCTTAGTACCGGACCAATTCCAACTCGACAGGACAAGGACTTTGAGGTTGAGGCGATAGTTTGACAAGTAAAAAATGTAAATAACTTGTGGAGTTATGCGTTTAGGTAGCATGGTCCAAAATGCCGTAATATGGAGGAATTGATGCAGCAGCCTTGGCCCTTCAGTACTATCACTATGCACGAGCAGGCAGATATTTCAAGCAGCTGGCCAGAAAAGGGGGCATGCCGTAGTTCCTAATAGGTAGGCTGTTAATACTAATCATACTTGGTACCTAGTCTTCGAGATGGGTGAGTAACGCGCGGAATCTCGATCGTAACTGAATATTCTCTACCTAATGCTCGTAGATTTCCCCCTTTTCGTATTGGCCTAAATTCTTGCAATGGTCGAACGCCCTTCCTCTAATTGAACAGAGATATCCCGTGGAGGCTGTTTTCTATTTTGGCCTACATGTAATTTGTGAATATCTCGGCTTTGCTAGTCAGAATATGGTCGTCTAACATTGTCATGTCCAAGGAGAAGCAAGCCATACGCAAATCTGCTGTTGGTACACTAAGTACTGAGATTTACCAGCTACCGATTTAAAGGCCGACAGTGTTGACAGACCGCTAGGATGAAAACCATAAAATTAATCCTGATCATCTGTTACACAGCATTATGCCGCCCCATTGGTTGCGTATGAGACCTGGCATGTAAGAATACAATCGTTAAAAGCCAAGGTGCCGATCTAATGTAGGTGCTGTATCAGCTGACGGGACGCCAGACGTGTCTTTTTTTTGTTGCTGCCTAAGAATAAGCATACAATTCAGGAATCACTGGTGCGTTCGAGGGGGTCCCTGTACGTGAGTCAGACATGAAATTGCTTCGTAAGGCTGTGGTAACGCGACTGGGAGAAGTGAATTAAGCGATACCAATTTTGTCGGAGGAAAGTATTGTACCTAACAACAGATACGCCCGACGTCAAGGAAGTTGGGGATCATGGGCTGGTTGTGTTAGAAGCTTTGTAATCTAGGTAGATTTTTAACAAATCCAACGCCTGCTTTTCCTCTTGGTGTTTTTCAAGTCTCTCTTTAGGGCATCGAGCAGGATAATCTCAACAATATCACCCATACACATCTACGATCTATGCAAACTGGATAGACAATACAATCTCTATCAAGGCCATGATACATACAAGTAAAATACTTGAAGCAGAAGTACACTCAGCTCCAAAGACTTGCCTTGGTGAAGGTATTAGTACATACGACCCGCAGACCGAAAAGGAGGCTTGGAAACAGCCGGGATCCCGAAGCTCGTTTGTCCAGCCTCGAGAAAGATGAGCTGCAGAAAGTCGGGCTGTTTGGCTGGGAGGGGAGAGGGGCTGCGTCGTATGCGAGTTAGGTTACAGTACAGAGTTTACGCCCTGCCACCGCCTACCCTTTTATTTCCTTCCATCAGCCGTCATACTCCTGAAACCGCATCTTGAAAGAAAGATCGAGCCAGAATATTCCAGAGACTCGCATATTATTTTATAAACGGAGCAGTCTATTACTCGTTAATTATCTCAAGTACTTGTTTTCCTATACAATACCTACTTAGGTTAGGTACCTAGGTAAATACAAGTCGTTCAATAGGTATAATACATCTAAGAAGAAAGAATGGTGCTACTTGTAGATTGATTACCTTGCCAGTCTCTCCAGGCAATTAATCCCAGAGAACAGCTGCGTGCACCTGTCCACCAGGATCAACACCTGGTAGTAAAAAGATACTCCTATATACAAACCCATGAACTACGATTTTTCTTACGGACTTGTCATGATACCTTGGGTACCTACCTAGGTAACCAGGTTGCCTTGATAATCATGTCATAATGATACTAATCAGAATTCCAATAATAATAACAATAATATATGTAACACTCTGCTAGCAGCGACCGGCTTGAAGATAGGTATATATTTTCGCCCGGATATCTCTTCCTTTCCATTCCGATTCTTTTTTAAAAACGAAAAAAAAAAAAAAAAAAAAACGCGACACAAATAACAGATAGAAAAGAAAACACCCAGTCTCATCCCTCTTACATTTCTTCTTCGTGGTATCGTTTCGTGATTCAGCTAGTCGTAACAAAGTCAACATCAATGCCAACGTTCCTTCTGCGCCTCCCAGGGTTTTAAATAGTAAAAACACCGAGCCTGTCCAAAGATCCATGCGTTTCGACATAGCTAGCTATACATTTCCGCTCCTCTTTTTCGATTTTTCTGGTGTTCCCGTTAAAGTGACCCCCTTTTCCCCTCTTTTTTTTTGTTTTCTTTTTATAAGGATACAATTACGCCGCGGCAACACTAAAGATTTCCTGCGCTGTGTGCTTTACAATGCCACCAGTGACGGGCAGGTTAGTATAGTGCTCTAGGTATAGGTCGACCTCACGAGCGGCTTGTCGTCCTTCGTTAATACCCCTAGTTATAATTAGTATGGTCGAACCCAGTTTAGGAAATGAGATAACTTACCAGACGATTAGCGACTGTCCACGACGACAGTCGCCAGCCGCGAAGATGCCCGGTACATTGGTGGCATAGGAGCCAGCAGGAGTCTTGACGTTCTTTCGAGCGTCCTTCTCGATCTCGTCGCCAAGAACACGAGCCTCAGGGCCGAGGAAACCCATGGAGAGGAGGACAAGGTCAGCGGGGAAAAACTGCTTAGTATCCTCGAGCTTCTTCATGTCCCAACCCCCAGTAGCAGACTTAGTCCACTCGACGCGAATGGTGTTGATACCCTTGACACGACCGTTGCCATCGTCTACAAACTCCTCGGACATGATGCAGTACTCACGAGGATCCTTGCCCATGTGCTGAGCCACTTCCGTGTGGCCGTAGTCAACGCGGTAGATACGAGGCCACTGCGGCCAGGGGTTGTCACGGCCTCGTTGTGGTGGAGGCTGAGGCAGGAGCTCGAAGTTGATCACTGATTTGGCGCCATGACGGACAGAAGTACCAATGCAGTCGTTACCAGTGTCACCACCGCCAATGACCACGACGTTCTTGTCCTTGGCAGAGAGGTAAGCATTATCAGCTAGTTCGGAGTCGAGTAGCGATTTAGTATTCTTATGCAGGAACTCCATCGCAAAGTGGATGCCGTCGAGGTTGCGGCCCTTGATAGGAAGGTCTCGAGCAACCGTGGCACCAGTTGCAATAACTACAGCGTCGTTCTTCGCCTTCAAGTCCATCAAGGTAATGTCCTCGCCAACAGTGACTCCAGTCTTAAACTGTACGCCCTCGGCAGCCATGAAGTCCGTTCGACGCTTCACGACACGCTTGTCGAGTTTCATGTTGGGGATACCGTACATGAGTAGACCGCCAACTCGATCGGCACGCTCATAGACAGTAACAGTATGCCCAGCCTTGTTCAGTTGGTCGGCACAAGCAAGGCCAGCAGGTCCGGAACCAATAATGGCGACCTTCTTTCCAGTTCGCACCTCAGGCGGGTGTGGTACCATCCAGCCCATCTCGAAGCCACGGTCAATAATTGCGCACTCGATGGATTTGATACCAACAGGATCCTCGTTGATGCCAAGAACACAAGCACCTTCACAAGGCGCAGGGCATACGCGACCAGTAAATTCGGGGAAATTATTAGTCATGAGCAGGCGGTTGAGAGCATCTTGCCACTGGTTCTGGAAGACTAGTTCGTTCCACTTCGGGATAATATTGGAGATGGGACATCCCGTATCGGATTGACAAAATGGAACACCGCAGTCCATGCATCGCGCGGACTGGTACTTGAGTTCATCTTCGCTCAGACGTTGAGATAGCTCTGCCCAGTCCTTGGTCCTCGTCTTGACGCTGCGATACTTTTCTGATCGACGTTGGTATTTCATAAATCCCTTCGTCTTGTCGAGAACCAGAGCACGTTTCTTCTCAGCAGCATTGTCACCGATGGTCTCCTCGATATCCTGAAGCTTCGCGGCCTTCTCCTCCTTCTTGGCTTGGACACCGGAAACAATGGGGAGGTTGTACTCGGCACGTTTTGCCTCAGCAGCCTTAGCAGCTTCTTCTTCAAGCACCCGCTTGTAGTCGACCGGAAGGACCTTAACAAAGCGCGGGAGCGCCCTGTTGAAGTCAACGAGGATGCGAGCAGCCAACTCGGATCCAGTGTAATGGTGGTGATCTTCAATTAATCCACGGAGGAAAGCAATCTCGGTAGGGTCCTCAACCTCGGAGGCCTCAACCATCTCCGTGTTGAGCTTGGCCACGAAGTCGCCGTGAATGTCAAGAACATAAGCGATACCGCCTGACATACCAGCAGCGAAGTTGCGACCAGTACTTCCCAAGATGACGACACGGCCACCAGTCATGTACTCACAACCGTGGTCGCCAACACCTTCAACGACTGCTGTCGCACCCGAATTCCGAACAGCGAAACGCTCGGCAGCGACGCCTCGGAAGAAGCAAGTACCGCTGGTGGCTCCGTACAAGCAAACATTACCAATCAAGACGTTTTCTTCAGCCTTAAATACAGCCGACCGAGGAGGATAGATAATAAGTCGACCACCCGACAGACCCTTGCCGACATAATCGTTGGCATCGCCTTCCAGTTCCAATGTGACACCAGGAGCAAGGAAGGCACCAAAAGACTGACCGGCAGAGCCCTTAATATTGACGTGCACTGTGTCCATTGGTAGGCCAGCTTCTCCGTATCGCTTGGAAATTTGGTAGGACAGCGAAGTACCCATGGCTCGGTCCGTGTTGACAATATCACACTCGATACGAGATGGAAGTCCCTTATCAAGGGTTAATTCAGCTTCTGAGATGAGTTTGTTGTCAAGTCGGACATAGAGACGGTGGTCCTGCTTTCGAACGTTAAATGTTGCGACGCCGGGTCGGAGCTTGTGGGCAGGTGTAAGGATAAGCGAGAGGTCAATGTTGGCGGTCTTGTTAGTTCGCAGATCATCCCGGACCTTAAGGCACTCTACATGCCCCACCATTTCGTTGATCGTCCGGAATCCAAGCTGGGCCATGATGGCTCGGAGCTCATTGGCGACGTAGTAGAAGAAGTTGATAACATGCTCAGGTGTACCCTTGAACTTCTTACGAAGCTCCGGGTCTTGAGTGGCGATACCTACAGGGCAAGTATTGAGATCTGAGGTAGAATTAGTAAGTTGGATATCATTATTCAGACTTGAAGAATTACTTACGGCACTTCCTCATCATGATGCATCCCATGGCGATTAAGGGAGTCGTAGCAAAGCCCCATTCTTCGGCACCAAGTAGACAGGCGATGGCAACATCACGTCCGGTTCGGAGTTGACCATCTGTCTGGACCACAACTCGCCCACGCAGATCGTTCAAGACAAGGGTCTGATGAGTCTCGGCAAGACCAAGTTCCCAAGGTAAACCAGCGTACTTGATACCAGTCCACCTGCTGGCACCAGTGCCGCCATCACTAAAGAATCAAGTTAGTCGTAACCGCGAAGTATATTGGGAAATCCATAATAACTCACTGTCCAGAGATTAGAATATGATCAGCCTTTGCTTTTGCGACACCAGAAGCGACAATACCAACACCTGTCTCGGAGACGAGCTTGACGGAGACGCGAGATCGGGGGCTTGAGCACTTTAGATCGTAGATGAGTTGCTTTAGATCCTCAATGGAGTAAATATCGTGATGAGGAGGAGGCGAGATAAGACCGACACCAGGAGTCGAGTGACGGGTTCGAGCAATAGATTTGGACACCTTGTGGCCAGGAAGTTCACCACCCTCACCAGGCTTGGCGCCTTGTGCCATCTTGATTTGCAGTTCATCAGAATCGGCAAGATATGCTGATGTGACGCCGAACCGTCCCGAAGCAACTTGCTTGATGGCAGACCGCATTGTGTCGCCATTGGGCATTACTTGCGATCGCTCAGGGTCCTCTCCACCCTCACCGGTATTTGATTTGCCACCTAGTCTGTTCATAGCAACAGCTAGAGTAGAGTGAGACTCCATGGAAATAGAACCGTAGGACATAGCACCGGTGCAGAATCGCGTAACGATTGCCGTCCACGGCTCTACTTGTTCAATCGGAATCGGGTTGCTCTCCTCGAATTTGAAGTCAAGCATACCACGCAGTGTGCAAGCCTTAATCTGCTCATACTCCGAACGAGAGTACGCCTCGTACGATTTGTCATTCTTGGTGCGCACAGCATCTTGGATATTCGCGATGGAGGTTGGGTCATTAACATGAGCTTCACCACCATCACGCCAGTGGTATTCGCCAGACTCCGGTAAACCGGGAACTCCGACGGTGTAGCGGGAGGGGAAGCCGCGTTCGTGGAAACGGAACGCATCTTCGGCGATGAGCTCAAACGTGAGGCCCTTGATACGGGAAGCTGTACCCCTAAAACATCGCTCCACGACTTCGTCATCAACGCCTAAAGCCTCGAAGATCTGAGCACCCTTATAACTGGCCAAAGTCGAGATGCCCATCTTGCTCATGACCTTAAGGATACCACCATCGCAAGAGTGCTTGTAGTTGGCAATAAGAGTATCATCAGAAAGCTTCTTTCGGATCAAGCCCTCACGGTTAAGCTTTAGAATACACTCCATTGCCAGATATGGGTTGATAGCATCAGCACCATAGCCGAGCAAGACGCACATATGATGAACTTCTCTGGCCTCCGCAGTTTCGAGCACAATAGCCGCCATAGATCGCCACTTATTACTGACGAGATGGTGGTGTACCATACCCGAGGCGAGAAGTGACGAGACAGCCACGCGGTCGGCAGACGTCTTTCGGTCGGAAAGAACAATGATGCGATCCCTGGCTTCGATAGCAGCGGTAGCTTCGTTGCAAATAAAGTCAAGATGCTTCAGGTATCCAGCAGTGCCCTCCGATTTAGGGAAAGTGAGATCAATCGTTTTGACAGTCCATTCAGGGTGAATCTTGGACATGTTGATTAAGGAGTTGAATTCGGGAATGGACAGGATCGGGCTTGGGAGAAGTAACCGAGCGCACTGGGAAGGGTCCATCTCGAGCAAGTTACCTTGTGGCCCAACATAGCACTCCAAGGACATAACAATAGACTCTCGAATAGGGTCAATAGGGGGGTTCGTGACCTGGGCAAAAAGCTGTCGGAAGTATTCGTAGAGTAAACGAGGAGCTTGAGAGAGGCAAGCCAAGGGAGCGTCATTGCCCATAGATCCCAATGCCTCCTTCTCGTCTGAAGCCATGGGTGCGAGCAGCAAGCTGACCTGTTCATAAGTATATCCGAAAGCAAGTAGTAGAGGGTCTTCCTGGAGCCGGCTAGAGTCTGGTTTCGCTGCAATATCTATAGATTTCTCCTCCGATATTTTACCTAGGACCTTCGGCAAGCTAATAAGCTCTTTATCGATCCAAGAGCGGAAATCAACACGGCTAGAAACAGTGGCCTTAAGCTCCGAATCGTCGATCAACCGGCCGGCTTGGGTATCGACGAGAAGCATGCGGCCCGGTTGTAGCCTACCCTTCTGAATCACTCGTTCGGGATCAATGTGAATAGTACCGACTTCCGAGGCGCAGATAATGCGGTCATCGTCCATAATGTAGTATCGACAAGGACGAAGACCATTTCGGTCCAAGTTAGCACCACAGAATCTACCATCGGCGAACGTAAAGAGAGCGGGGCCATCCCACGGTTCCATCTGGCATGCCGCCCATTCATAGAATGCAGCTTTCTTAGGGTCCATGGCAGTATTACCTTGCCAGGCCTCAGGAACCATCAACATGACGGCCTCGGGTAATGAAAGAACACCGTTGATAGTAAGAAGCTCTAGAACATTGTCAAAAGCAGCCGAGTCAGAGCCACCGGCTTCAACAATCGGGTACAAATGTTCAAGCTCATCACCAAAAATATCGGATTGCATGACACCCTCTCGGGCACGCATCCAGTTCTTGTTTCCGCGGAGCGTGTTAATCTCACCTGATAGGGGCGTTAGACATATATCATAATTATGGGCATTCTAGAGCTACACATACCATTATGGGCTGCCCACCTCAAGGGTTGAGCGCGATCCCAAGAGGGGAAGGTGTTGGTAGAGAAACGAGAGTGTACAAGGGCGAAATGTGCCTCGTAATCAGCATTTACCAGATCATGGTAATATTGGTATACTTGGATGGGAGCAAGCTGTCCCTTGTAGACAATATTCTTGTTAGAGAGCGAGCATAAATAGAACCAGTTATGCAAGCCGATGGAGTGGGTAGCACGCTTTCGAAGGACATACAATTGTCGTTCGAATAGTCTCTCGTCGAATTTCTCTGGGTCCGTCATTTCAGGAGCATTTCCAGAGCCATACGCAGAAGCAAGAACAACAAAAGGTTGCAGAATGAATGGCTCGCGCGAAGACGCAGCAGGTCCAAGGAGAGAAGAGTCTACAGGAGGTGATCGCCAACCCAAAACTCTTAACCCCAGCGATTCGGCAATATCTTCCAACTGCCTCTTCGACTCCTGCAAAGTTTCCTCATCCGGCTTGAAGAAAAGGTTTCCCACAGCATATTGTCCCAGAGGAGGCAGTTTAATGCCTTCCTCCTTTTCGAAGTTCTTGATGAAGAACTTGTGGGGAATCGATGTCATAACACCAGCGCCATCGCCATCCCGTGCATCAGAACCAACCGCACCACGATGGGTCATGTTGCAAAGGAGGTTGCGAGCTATGTACAGTTAGCTTGCAGATCTGAATACGTTTTTTTTTTCTAGTTAATTTCGTTGGAAACTGACCATCGCTAACGATTTTGTGGCTCGCCTTGCCTTTGATGTGGCTATACAGGTTATTAGTCGCATATTTCGCAGATAACAAAGAGGTTGACAACACAGGTCTCATACCAGGCGAAACCGACACCGCATGCATCTTTTTCCAAGCTCGGATCGTATAGTCCTCTGAGAAGATTTAATCAGTTCTATAACCACGTAGCAGCTGGTTGACTACTCTGGACATACTGCTTCACCGGGAGGGCGCCAGCCCAGGAATCGTTGTTTTCTGTTTGATATTCATAAGGATGGTAGGCATCGGCCTCGGACTCTATATGTGTGTGTCTATCGTCGAAGTCGGCAGGAAGGCCCATGTCAGGCAAGGAAAACGGGATAGCCAGAAGGGGTGGGAGTACTGGGAGAGAGTCGGAGGTGTCTAGATTGCCTCGAGAGACGCGGCCCCGATATATGTAAGTGCGTATACGGCGGATAAGAGCAGCTGACGCTGCTTAAACGTCAGGTCTCTTGTCTAATCTACGAATTCTATGTCAGCCCCTAGTCGTTAAGCCTTGAACCGGCAGATATAGCAAATGATGACAACGTGAAAGATAACGGAGAGTAGAATTCCTTGGCTGATCCAATGACAGGTCCGGAACACCAGTAGATTCGATATTGCGGGGGGGTTTTTTCCTAAGGTGGTGGGCGTTTAAATGAGGGAAATGTAGTGCGGGGTGGTTGATGTACAAGCAAAACAAACGCTCAGCGCAACTTCTTCTTTCTTTCCTATTCTCCGTTATTTTTTTCTTTTTAATCCCTTGTATATTGAAGGAGGGAGGAGATGGGCCCTTGTGACACCTGCAGATGGAATGTATAGTAGAAACTCTAATCCAGCACTAGATTGGTGTTTGTCCAACACCTAAAAAACTTTATATTCAACAACCAATCAGGAAGAATTGAAATGGGTCCTGAACTTTTTTTTAATAGATAAAAACTTCGTAATCCGTTTTTTCCCACTTGGGCGGGAAGGAGGGAAAGAGGAAAAGTCCCAGCCAATATTAGAAGTGGCTTTGTCGATGAGGACAAGATAAAGAATAAGCGATTCTGAGTGAATGGTCCCGAATGCACCACTGGCGTCATTGAACTTGACGAGAAAGGCTACCACGACATACCCATGCAGATGTAACTTGAATCAGGATACCCTGTTCACAAAATCATGGGTATCCTCACAGTAGTGGCGTGGGGAAAAGATACCGTAAACAGCCAATGGCAGAGCTTCCAAAGCGCAACTATGCGGCTATCGATCTTGCGTTTGATAGGTTGATGATCGTGCATATGATGCTTGTTTGACCCCGATACTTCAAGTTATCATCCGTGCGATATAGGACAAGGGGGGTTTTTGTTTTCTCTTTGCGCTGGCCATTTGGAGAAGCTCACGGGTTTATCCACGGGAGACTAACTTTTTTTTTGTCTTCTACCCAGAATTGACAACCCATGAATGTGTATTGACTTATCCAAACACTGGCCGTCTCTCTCTCGCTCAATCCCTCTTCCGATTTCTAGGTATACAGAGCCCATAATCCAGGTTTTCCGCTTCCGGGTCGACTTCCGCTGATTTATCGTTGTGGTCATTGGGGGGAGGTTGTCCAATGTGTTGTGTTATGGATGTAAGAATTGTAGAAAAATGCGTAGTTGTACTTACAGATTCAAATTTTGCGTAATGCTCTCTGTCTCTCTAGCTTGATGCTCTTGAGAGTGTGCGTAGGAAAAAGGAATCTTGAGTCTCTCAAGTAAAAGCTGGGTATCTCGCTAATTGATCTGGCAAGAGAAGGAAAAGGAAAAGGAAGAGAGAGTAGCCGGAGGGGGAATGTGGCAAGAAGCCAGGCTTTTATCGATGTATGTATCAGGCAGAGTGACAGAGGAGCCAAGTCGGGTTTAGAGATCAGATCAAAGCTCGTACGCAAGTTCCCAAGTCAGTAGGGGGAAGAGAAAAAAAAGATTTTATTCATAGGGAAGAGTAACGAGTAACGAGATGGTGTAGAACCCGAACGTGGAGACGTGATCGGCCTCCTCCACTGGGTTCTTAGCCCCAGTCATCAGTAATAAGACTCTACATCTAAGTGGGGGAGGGGCAGGAGATGGCCGAAGGACGGACGACAAGTCCTTTCAGAACCCGGCATACTGTTTGCGTCTATTGGTCTAATTGGTCTGTTGGTTTAGACTGAGCGGCTAGTTGTTTCGGTGATGTTACCGGAGTTGATTTTCCCTTTGACTTTTCTCTTTTCTACATACAAAGTTCCTTTTAGCCCGCGAAGATTAACAAATGCACTCTGCTGATTGGTTTTCTATTACAAGGTCCATGGTAGTTGCTAGTGAAATCCCCATAAATTTTTTTCTTGTTTAGTCTGTTCAAAGGTAGCGCTGCAGTGCTGTCTAGACACCTAGGTATGATGTTGCTAAAATGTTGCTGTTGCATACACGCCTACCTAACCTACCTACATATACCACATACACAACACAGCATCCGGCCGCAACCTAAGCTTTGCCTCTAGAGTCATACGTGCAGGAAAATGAAGAGGAAAGGGTGATATTCGCACAAACTCGGGGTTTGACATATGTATGCTCTAGCTGTACTTACATGACATTTACTTTATAAAAAACGCATCCAATAGGCGTGATTGCTATTCTATGCGATCGAAATAGAAATGGTGTAAGATCCGGTGAATAAAAAGCAAGGGGTGTGTCATCCGTGTAGAAATTCATTGATTTTTTGTGACCTTGGGAGATTGCCATGCTGGTGTACGGGGTTACCACAACTAAAGGGAACCTAACTTGAAATGCAACATGCCATCAAGTTGAGATGATACTTTTCCTTACTTACCTACCTTCCTGAGTTTTGTTAGTTGCTAATTTGACTCGTTTCCCCTCTTCGTCCCTATTCTTCTAGCGTTGTGTCTAAGTATTTGTTTGTCTGCCTACCTAGGAGGTGGTTATGCCAGCGCTGATCTTGTTAGCACGCAAGGCAAAAAGAATTAGCACCGTTTGCGGCCTTCTAAAAGTCAAACCCGCTATATACAGACAGGCGAAGATTGGCATGTATATAAGGCAATACTGTGATGACGCAGTCTTGTACAGTCTATCCCATGGCCCTGGTTCATTGGCGGTCGGCCCCCTTAAGGACCGCGTCTGACAGACATGAATCTATTCGCTTATGAGGCAACTTGTTCGCTTCTGATTGAAGCTTCGCTAAATCGAAAGAATAAAAATTTGATGAGTGTCTGCCGTTGATCGGAGGTCTGTTGTCTCAAAAACAAGCTACGTAGCCGCAAATGAGCATCTGAGTACCAAAAACGCCAATATGGACATAGCTAAAGTCCAATTCCAGAAGTCACCCTGCGCACCCCACACAGGCATGCATATCCAGATGACAAGGGTCTTTCCCAGGTCGAGTCTCACTCTCTCACTTCCATGTTGACGGATTGGCGGATGTAAAGCAGAGCTCGCCCGAAACGTCAATTGAGTAACTTACAGCTTGAGAAAGTCCGTCCATTTAAATGAATATCCAATCAACACTCAACCTCGCACCAGAATCGTAAGAGAGACCCATGGCCCGATGTCGCGTCACCCGCTGCTGCGGCACACTAGACATTTAGACATTATACTACCTACGTACTGACAGTATACAGGGCGTGTGGATATATATGCATCGTGTCTACATGGAAGTATGTGGCCTTTACACTATGCAGCTATATATGATGGGGCTAGGTAGCAGATGGCAGGATCCGAGGAGGACAAATCCGTATACAAGAGCCTCCATTTGGGGTGTGGTGCGTGGCAGCGTGGGGTATACCATTTTTTTTTTTCATTTTCCAGAATAGACAAATACCTTGCGAGAACCAAATAGCAACGGGGGAATCAACTAAGGTGCCTCGTTCCTCGGATGTCTCACGTATGTATGTTCGTCGTTCAAAAGGGCCATGCCGTTATATCCCTCAACGACTACTAGAATGTCTTGCCGAGCTTACGTAGCTGTAGGTACCTTTTAATTTAATTCGCCTCCGAGGCCCTGGACCAAAACCTTCGCTAAGAAGACTTGTATAAATTATATCTTAATGATTTATATCTAGTTAATTCAGGACGAGTTTGGAGTTAATTTGAAGTTTCAACTTTTAGCCGTAACTAAAAGTTTGATAAATAACAGGTACTTAATTAATTTTATAAAGATTAAAATGTAATTACCAACTGACTTTGTTATTTGTTGCTACTGTTATTGTTGCTCGTGCTCGTGCTTATGCTTTGCGAGATTTGCTTAGAAACAGCTCTCCGGCTTTCCTCCCCCTTCTGCTCGGTGCTATTCTGCCAGGCGAACCTGCATTTGATTTTAAGCAAGAAGGACTGCAGAGTTACATACATAAATATCTACAGAAGTTGGATATATGACCAGGGTTATAGAAGACTAATGCTAGATGTGTCCAAGCCGCGTGACCTTCCGTACCATTGCGCTCTTAGTTCATCTCATCGGTTCGCTTTACGGGCCCTGTAAAGGTATAAAGTAAAAGAATCGACAGCAGCAAATAGTCAAATACCACCAATCAAAGTGCTTGTTTAATGCGACGAGTGTTATCTCGCACTAGGGTTCCTTATGAGCCATTAGTTAGGTCCTAGACCCGTAGCCAATCTAGATCTCGGCGAATATATGACAAAACCGCGGGCCTCTAAGTTATTCCTAAGCGTGGGTGGTGGTATAGACCACGCGATTCGGAAACCATTGTTCGTCAGATTCCCGGGCCCCGTCTGTTAACAAACTTTAGGTACAAAACATCACTCTGTCCCGCCGTCCAAACGTTTATTTCGTACTGTATCTCAGGACTTATTCAGCAAGCTCGAAACCAGAGGGATCAAGCGAGATCGGCCTGTTGAAATCGGAACAAGCCTTGAGGACATGTACATACGTAGTAAGGTTTCCCCCCAAATCCCCCTCCTGATCCCTGCTGTCGCGGAGGAAGCGGGGCGGACTTAATTAAAAAAGGCTGACGGACGGCGGGGGCCAGGTCCCCCAGCACGTGCACCGCATATGTAGGATATACTACCTAGGCCGGCTAGGTAGGTAGGTATGCAGGTAGGTGTTAGGTAGTGCAATACATAGTACGTAGTAAGGGAAGGATGTATTTGTTGTCCCTTCTAAGCGCAAAGAATTCCCACTTTGCGTTCCGAAAACTCCCGTAGCTCAGCAACAAGTCCCGTGGACCAGCCTAAATAAATGGGCATACAATCGAACACGCCTACATGCTAACATACGTAGTATGTATATATACTATGGGCCTACGGCTCGTGTGTGTGAACCGCGGCTTCACCGCTGTCGCCGATGCTCGTAACCGTACGATGAGCTTTGACTAATGAGTTCAGGGTATTCTCATTACCTGATGAAAATATATTTCGGGTTATTATTCGTCAGTAAGTGTAATTTGGGAAGACTTGACTTGCTGCATCAAAGCTCTCTCTCTCTCTCTCTCTCTCAGATGAAAAATTTCTTTATTGTCAGCCACGTTTTGAGGCCCTTATTAATATTAATTTTTTTTTTTTTTTTTTTTTTTTCACTTTCCTTCATCGTCTCCCTCGCCTTGACCTTGGTCCGTTAGAGGTACCTAATCACATGCTCACAGGACGAAATATTCAGGTGTAGTATAAACGCTAATGTCTTGAAGGTGTAAAGTGTTGAATATATTATCTAATAACCTTTAGATCTACTACAAACCTTATTATTAATAATAATATTATTATTATTATTTCTTAATTTTATAATCCTTAAACACGATAGCGATTGCTTATGATAAAGCTCTTTCCTTGTGCACTGAGATTCCCAACTGCGATTTGCACCTACCTTGGATAACTTAGGTACCTAACTAAATGGAGTGGTTTGCTTAGTCATAGCGAAATCCGTAATAATAATTCTTCAATTGGAGCCTCACCACATCCCACTTTTGAATCTTGCAGTAACGCCTTTCTTCTTCTTTTTTACCAGGACCGGAAACAAACTCATACGAAATGTCCAATTGTTCGGCATCTCGAAGAATCACTAATTAACATCTAGTCGGGGACATTACTCTCCCTCGTTCTTGTTCCAAATCCAGCTCAGCTCAGCTCGACCGACCATGTTATCCCTCCTCCCAGACCTAACACCACGCGACGTACGCCTACTCCGCCCGATACCACATCCCCGGCTAATATTCTAGCTTCAAAGCTAACAATGGTAGAACTAGTCGCACTCACTATGGTACACCTCCTCCCGTAACCCCCTCTCCTCGAGCTTCGCCTACGATGCGAACCCACACCAGCTACAACAGCAGCACCAGCCGCAGCAGCAACAGGATGGTTCTGCCGGATCCCCCTATGGAGTTAATAACTACCGTCGCGGGGCACACCTGGTAGAGCGGTCACCGCTTGCACGTCTCCGTGTCGATGAGCAGAACCTCGAGCGCCGCCGCTTGAACGTCGCCAACTTTGGCAGCGCCTGGCTGAAGCCCCCCGGCATCCCTAAGACCTTGCATCAGCTACGCGAGGAACGCCGCGAGGCAGAAGAACATCAGGAGGCCCTACGTCGCGAGCAGCTTGCTCAGGAGCTTGCTGAGGCCGAGGCCGCGGGCGTTAACGCCGTCGACGCCCAGGGCGATGATGGAGTCATGGACGACGTGCAACTAGACGGAGCTCGGGATCTTGACGAAGACATCCCCGAGGCGGACGCTGACTTTGGTATCGGGTCTGACGAAGACGAAGACGAAGACGACGGAGATGAAGACGACGAAGACGAAGACGAAGATGATGACGAAGACGACAGTGATGATGACGACTCTGACGATGATGGAGATGACGAAGATGATCCAGAGCAGAGGGCAGCATACGCGGAACAGCAGCTCATAGCGCAGCAGATGAGGCAAGCCGACGACGCGTTCCGAGAATCGGCAGCTCGCGGCCGAGACAGCAATTACTATGGGGTCGATGATGAAGTAGACGACGAAGACCAGGCCCAAATGATCGAAGAAGACGACCTGCTAGGCCACGGAGACGGCGCAGGTATGGATATGGACGCCGATCTCGACGACGACATCCCCGAAGCAGAAGACGGAGGCTATGAGCATACGGATTCTGAAGTGGAGATGAGCAGTGACGAAGACGAGGACGACGACCAAGCTGAGATGAGTTTTGCCGCGCAGGTCTCCCAGCAAGCGTCCCAGCAAGCATCCCAGCAGCAAAGGCTCAGGCATAGTCTAGCACGCAGCGACGCGACGCGACACAGCCTTGCTATCAGCGACATACTATCCCATGACGGTGACAGCATCGGAAGCAGCCCGCAATTCCAACGACGAGCCAGCGGTGCGGCACGTCGAGCTCGAGGGTGAAGGTAAATAAGGAAGCTATTGCACCTTGCATATCCATCGCATCACGTTGCATTTTCTCTAACTTAAGATACCCATCATCCCCTTTTATTACTCGTTCTTCTGCCACCTCCTATGGAGATTCTGTAGCCAGCCAACCGGTGTTCAGTATTTTCTAATGCAAAAGAGGACAGTAAAAAGCTGAAATATAATACATTTGATTACAAGACTTATAAGATGGCCGACCGGCCCATCACTCCCAAATGTACTCGTGAATTCGTACCGTAGGTATTGTGCAGTACGCCCTCCTATTCAGAGAAACCCAAGTAATAATAACCCCTTTACATATCATATCGCTCCCACACCAAACATTAGGTACCGAAACGCCTTTTTCATAATGCCTTGCTTTTCTTGTTGTGGTGTCTCCCATTCACTCTAAATCTCTTTTTTGGTCAGGATAGCATCGTTATCTCGTCTAGTCTCGTAGATAACATCCATAAACCGCAAAACTTGGATGCATAGAGGGATAGAAGCCGCAGGAGAAATCAAATCAAAATAACCAGACGTAGACGAAAATCAAGACGACAGCGGCGAAGAAGGCTAGCCAAACCTTCCAACCGACACCTGTGCGCTCGGCCATGACAAGCATGCGGTTCATGGTACCGCGTAGCCTGAGCCTCGTCGAATCGAAAGTATCGTTCATCTTCTCCGCGAGCGCCGAAGATTCTCTGATCTCGACGCCGATAGCCGTCGTCATCTTAGGACCGGGGCAAGGTTGCGTCAGCATAAATCTATTTCATATAGTTCACTTGTCCTTTGCTCATCTCATGTCTCAAACTTTCTCTTGCGCAGCTACACTGGTTGTTGCCATGTTCTTTGCCTTTTGAAGATGATATAATATAATAGTAATAAAATATCCAAAAGCAAGCAAGCAAAACCTTTCCCCCGCAACTTACGCGCAGCATCAACAGCAGGACGAAACTCACATCTTTTAGGATCTTGACCTTCCCTAAGATGCCCTCGACCTGCTGGTCGTTCTGGCTCTCGAGCTCGTTGAGCACCGCGTCGCTGTACTGGCCCCTATACATATTTCCATACCAGTTAGCTCATTCCCTTTCCCTCTCGGATTTCAGGCACAGGGGCTCTAGGGATATAGGTAGATAGTTGTGTGTATAGGTAAGTTGGTAGGTTATCCCATACCTCGAATTCGGTGTCGCCGCCCTGTAACTTCCCCTACTATCCACGCCTAGATACGTGTTGCTCCCACCGGCTGGTGCGCCGTTACTTCCCCCGGGATACCCATATCCATAACCGCCTAGGGCCGGGCTCGCTCGCCTCGTGGGGTCGGCGCTATTACGCCCGCTGCCGTTGTACCCCTCGAACAGGGCGCTGCGGGAATCTCGCTGGTGGAGTGACGAGTGGCCGAACCTGCGACGATGCGTTTCTTGTTAGCTCGACCTATACAAATGGAAATAGCTCATAAGTTTCAAGTTCTCGTGTTATACATATGCCAGGCGCATATGCACGTAGATATGCAGCCACTTCCTCCCCCTTTTCCTTATCCCACCACGAAGCGGCGCTATCTTTATTAATCTCCTAGTGTCCCAAGAAACAAGCAACCCAGGTACCGGCGTCGTATATGTTATGGGAAAAGCATGATTCGACTCTTAAAAGAAATAAACTAAGCATTTCGATAAATGCCATGCTCGTACATACCTTGAAGCCATGCTATGATGAGGCGTATTCAGAAAAAAGATGTATGGGTAAGAACAGATTGGGTGACAACGTATCTTGTAGAAGCGGCAGCTGATAACAAGGTAAGCATTAATTAATTAACTTGAGCCGCCACGTGTGGCGTACAACTATGTTAATCAATGATAGGTACATTAGATACATACATAAAAAAACAAGGTTCGGCTAGCAATGCTGAAATTGGATGACACTAGCATCAACTCAAATGATTTGTATAAAGCTTGCAGCACATATTAATAGAAAGCTTAAGTCGACTTGATATGCCAGTGACAACCAATAATTAGGTACCAAGCTATTATGTACCTGGGTACCTAGGTACTTATTTCAAACTCGTGAGAGACTTATGAGAAACTAAATCAGCAATATCTCGCATACCTCACATACCTCACATAAAACACTACAATATATAAGCAATAAGTACATCCTACAAATTATAAACTAACAGAAGTCTAAACTATAATTCGGGCAAATCTATCTTACATGTGGATGGTAAGCATCAAATATAAACCTGTCACAAAATAAAGCAAGGGTCGTATAGTCCATGGTTTATAATATAGACAATGCTCTCGTCGTGGTCTTATCATTATCGATCAGAAACACTTTCGTGTTCCTACAACCGTTCCCACACGAGACGGCTTGTACCAAACCGGAGCGGTTTCATCCAAGCCAATGTCAGTGGACTCGTAATCCCGCATCACTAGCCAGATCCGTCACCCCGTCTCTTGTCCATACGCATTCCCGTCAACTCCTCATGTGCTCCTCAATTCCTCGTAAGCTAATCAATTGAGTTGTCCCGTTTAGTAGGTAACAATGGTATCGAAAGGTGAACGAGGGAGTTGTATGTCGCTTTGAGTACTAGATAGGTAACGATGGTGATACTAGTTTGATATGAGAGTGAAACGCAAGTAATCCAAGCACCAAGAAACAAGACCCGAGACTCTGGACCATGGAAGTCACTTCAGCCGAATATATATAGTAGTTCCATATCCCCCTCATTGGTAAGTTTTTTAAACCTTGAAATTAAGATCTCCTGGACAACACATCTAGAGCAGATTCGCTGATAGAAATATCATGCACAAAGGATAGCAAGTTGTGATGCAAAAGGCCGCTGGAACTCCTTTTCGAATCCAAGGACAGAATGTTAAAAAAACGACATAGTACCGTTGCTCGAATAAAGATGTATTCTGCCCAGGTTCGGGTATCATCTGAACAGTAATGAAAAATCAGCGAAGAAAAGCTTTTAGAAGTTTTGCGAAATGCCCGTGCTTTGTTGAGGGTAGTGCGACGGATTCTCGATACGTGTATTACGTCGAGCTGGGTTATCCCGTATGACAGGTTGACCATATGCGCCATCGGCGTAGGGGTTGTTGCCACCATATTGATCTAGATAAGCCGGACCTCCGTAAGAGGCGCCATTGTCACCAGAGCCATCTGATCTGCCGGCGGCACTGTAGGATGACGAGGCATTCGAGGGTCCACGGCGAACGTCACCGTTGCCGGTATTGCCATCCGGACCCATAGCGCCGAGGATCTCACCCTCCGTTGGAGAGTTAGACCGGTCGTTCATTAAACCATCCCCTGATCTCGTGTCAGAAAAATTGCCCCTAGTTGGCGACGTTGCGTCCGAATAGGCCACACCTGCTGCACCACCAGACATAGTGGTGGAAGCTTTTCGCCCGGTTGAACCCGCAAGAGTAGTAGAACCCCAGCCACGATATCCCGAGCCATCCTCCTTCATCTCGTAAGCCCCCGGAGCAACGGCGCCTCCTACATCTGGCAAAGTCGGGTCGTTGTTCGGGTTGTAGCTGTAGTCTTCTACTTCCTTCCGCCTCTCCTCTGCAGCATCTTTCCGTTGCTTACGTCTCCTCCAGAAAAAAATACCCGCACCAACTAGCAGCGCCACGGCAGCGATTGGAACTACAACAGCAACAGCAATTTTGGCCTGCTCGGCCATGTAAGGTGAATTGGAAGCGCCCGGAGATATAATTGCATCCGATGGGCCTGTTGTAGAGGATGTTTGACTTGTTGACTGCGAAGACTGCGCAGCAAGCTGAGTCGAGGTAATCGTGACATATGAAGTGCTTCCATCTTCACCAGTGGTCACTTGGGTTGTAGTGATGACAACACTTGATGACAATGGTGGTGGTGTCTCCGTCGTAGAGCTGGATGGTGGCGTTGGTGTAGGGACAGGTGAAGTAGATGTTGATGTAGTCGTAGGCGCTGGGGGTGCAGAGTTACTAGTAGTCTCAGGGGAGCTGGTAGTGGTGGGGGTGGTAGTAGGAGTAGGAGTAGTAGTAGTTGGCGGTGGTGGCGGCGCCGAGGTAGTAGTTGATGTTGTCGGGTCCGGAGTTGATGTTGGCGGATCGGGGGTACTGGTGGAGGTGGTCTCGGGAGGAGAAGGTGGTGGTGTACTACTACTAGAAGTCTCTGCTGGAGGACTGGAAGTCTGAGTCGGGCTTTCAGGCGGGCTCGACACTGAGTCCGGTGTGGACGTATCGGCACTTGTACTGTTGGAAGACATGATAAACTGCCTCCTGGCTAACAATCCAGAGAGATGCCTAGGGGGCAACATGTTAGCATCACGGAATGGCCAAGGAGAATGGTGGTGAAGAACATTGTAGACAGCTGAAAACACAGTTTGAAATATAACGTTAATAACTGATGGCAAGAGGGTCTAAACAAAGTGGAACACAGTTCTGATGAATGGGGCGCTGGTACTTATGGTGGTCCAATGAGGTTATCATGGAATGTGTCGCAAATCGCCACTGACTGCACAAATTCTTAATGAATAACAAACAAAATGAGAAGCACACACCTTTTTACAACTGCAACCTGCTAGGCCGACTTAATCAACTCACAGTCAAATAAGACTGGGTGAGAGAGAGAGTCGTAACTCTTTTTAGTGAAGTTGACAGTCGACTTGGCCACTGTTTCGAGTTGGGTCGTCTTGAGACGCGAAGGGGAGGGCGCCAGAAGGGAAAGCAAAGAACGACAATAGGACAACAATATGGGGGAATACAGTGGCACAACCAACGGGTGAGCAGTGTTAACGAGAGCAATTGGGGAGAGCGAATTAGAACCGACGAATAGGGCTAATACATTAGGTACGAAAAGTCCACCGTGCAAGGGGTGAGCTTCCTACTATGTCGGTAAGGCGTGGCTGAGCTCTGTATTAATTTTTATTATTATTCTTTTTTTTTTTTTTTTTTTTTTTCCTTTCTCGTTCCCGCTTGTCCCTTCACTTCTCGTGTTCCCTCTCTCAGCTTATGCAAGGAAATTGGAAATGATAGGATAGGAATGCAGCAAACCAGAACGGGCAGAAGGGGCGGAACGGGTCCAGGAGTTCTAGTTTGTAATAAGTCTCGGTAGGTAGAAATTACGATAGTTGGATTCCATTTAACAAAACAAAGGTCAATTGAATTAACACATTAAGTCATAGACTTGAAAATGTCGTCAGAAGTGAACCACAATACCTAGGTAGATTGAAAAGACGAAAAAGAAGATGGAGAGAATGGGAAAGGTGAAAGAAGGTCGACAAGGGGTGCGCTGCGACTCCCCATGGGTGAAGATTGGCAGTACTATGTACCTATCATAATAAAAAAGTTGGAAATTTCAATGCAAGACGGATATGGACGATCCGGGAAGGTAATTCCAATTGAGTTTAACCTTGCAGCTTTTGTGGGAATATCCCCGGGCGCTATGATTAATTTTTTTAGTGACTTCGTTTAAACATTTTGGCCGACTTAGCAGCTGCTTAGTTTGTGCTGTACAGGGTACACTAATGCCTTAAACGTATTGGCGCTATTCTTTCCGCGCTCTTGTCCCTGGACGCTTGGCAGCTGTGGCGTAGGTATTAACCGCTCTCTAGGTAAGGTAGGTACTGCCCGGGCTGCTCAAGTAATCTACATCACTAGTGGCGAATCAGAGAGAATATCTTAAAAAAACAAAACAAAAAAAAAACAAGATACTTTATCAGGTTTAACTACCAACCAAGAATTAGAACTCGAGGACCAACCGTCTCATGTATAAGAACGACTCCATTTTTTGTCTCACAGATGTTGATTTACCCCTGACTACAAAGCCATGATGCGAACTAGTATGATATCACACACAATTGGCCAAGTAGGTATGCTTCTAATTATATCCACCAATTCGATATTTACAAAATAGAATAACAACAGCTATAAGGTAGAATATGAGATAATGTCTGCTTCTATGCGAACTACGAGACTCATTCTCCGCACTCGTGAAAGATATTGCATCAAAACATCTGTTCTTTCATAGACAAGTCAAAACAAGGATAACATAATTCACGCAACTGTAAGCCCTATACCCTCTACGTCGGGCAGGCATAATCTCAAAGAGGACAATCGATTCCTTGCTTTGGGGGTTTACGTAGGTACGTAGGTAGGCATATAATGCACGATTTATAGTTTCTCCCCAACGTCATTCCCGCCGGTCTACGATCGCCTGCGGAGAGTGAGCCGGAGTAAAAAATCAACAACTCTTACACGAGGCATCTTATAAACAAAGCGGCCCTGAATGATACATGCGCCACCGTCCAAGTAAGCGTTCGTCAGCTAATAAAGCATGAGCACCTGCGCGGTAGGTCCTAAGTCACAGAGACAAGATATCTAAATACACCTACCTAGCAAATTGTACAAGCAGACAAGCCAAAAGAATCCATATTACAACACAGTATAGGTAGACTAAAGATGAGTTAACAGAAACTATGTTGCAACGCCTACAAGAAAAGAACTAGCCACACTGATTGGTTATATATTGTCAAATAAAATCAATAAACAAAAAATCCCTAGGTATCTGTCGGTACAAAGTGAACCGATCCTTCTATATGCTTTCGCCATGCAAGGTAAAATGCTTCGCCGATCATGATTTGCTTCCCATATTACTCCCTCGAATGGAAGAAAAGCGGCATTAACACTACATATTTGACCAGATATACAAGACAGCTATACCACTGCCGCCTACGCGATCCTGACTGTATATCGAGCTTTATGTTTCATTAGTTGATCTAATTCCTCATGTTCCATGATGGTTTAAGAGTGTTGCCCATCGCCTGCTGCGTGAAAACGGTATCTCCCGGTAGACGGCTGACTCTGCCAGCACCGCCGCGAATGGCACTGAGATTAGCAGACGAAATACCGCTACGGTTGCTGACAACACTTCCAGAATCGCTCGTCGCCTCAGGATCCTTAAACCGGCGCGGGGGAGCGAAGTCGAGGGCAGTGAATGTGCCTGATTTGCGCAACAGATGCCTGGAAACTTATTAGTATTTAATATCAAAAACTCATCAGGGATTTACTTACGGGCTAGGCAATGCCGGCGTCTCATCGAAAGCACTCACTAACGGTGAGTGGATTGGCGTGTTTAGGACGTAGGGTTTACGTTCGCCAACAGGGCTTTGAGATCGACCGGCTGCAAGGTCTTTCATGGTAGGAGGAGGAGCGAAATCAATAGAGTTCATAATAGCAAACGAGTCATCTCTCAGCTTAGAAGGAGTAGGCAACGTGCTAAGCGCAGCAGGAGGGGGCATCGGCTTTCGAGGCTTTCCTCCCATTCCATTGCCCGCAACGCGGTTAGAGGCTGACGAGTCCGGGCGGGGACTCATCGGCGCCCATCTACCAGCTGATTGGGTAGAGCCAGCCCTGGGTCGTCCACGGGGTCCGTCGGGCATGTTCATGCTTCCATTAGGGCCGTGTCCGGGAGGGCCACGTGGTCCAGGCGGTCCACGAGGTCCGGATCCAGGCATTGGTCGTCGGTTACTTGGAGGGGGAGTCATAGCACGGCGAGTAACAGGCTGGGCGTACGGCATAACGAATGCATTGCTATCAGGATCGAAAAATGCGGTTTCGCCCAGATAGTTGGCATCGTAATCGTCATAATAGGCTGCTTTCTGCGCTACTTGCTGGGGAATCGGGGGTGGCTTGCCAGAGTCAGTCTTCGTCTCCTCAAAGTACTCCTTGTAGAAGGACCGAATTCTGTTGGCTCTGAATTCAGGATCTTCAGACTCGAGGAAATCCTCCGGCGGAAGAGGACGGAAACCTACGGACAGCCTTCGGTTATCCTGACCTGGTACACCCAGGCCAGCGGAGGCCGGTTGCCGAGGCTCGTTTCCGCGCGGCTGCGCGTGTCGATCGCCGCTAGCCGTCACCTCATCATCTACATCGTCAATCTGGAAATGTGCCGTGTAATTCTCATAATCATCCGCGGTGTTGGATCCAGGAAGCGACTCGTTCCTTGGGGGCCGTGCACCCGCAGGGGACGATTTAGCATTGGAGTTCTGAGAGGCGCGAGCATCTATGATACCTAATCCTTGAGCAGACTTTGCAGGAGAGCTCGTATTAACCGCGTTGACGGACTCGGTAGAAACAGGTCTAGAATTGGATGTTAAGTCCCGAGACGGAACTTGTGAAGCTGCAGCAGCCGGCTCCTGAATTTCTGGAACCTTGGGGACAGCTGTGCTATCATCAACGAAACGGAATTCATTCTTAGCCGAAATCACAGGTTCATTCCCTCCCGACTGGCGGCCTGATGATCGCTTTGCGGCAGGAGGCACTGGCTGAAGAGGAGATGGTGGAAGCCCGTTAGGTGTGTTAACACCGAGCCTCTGTCCAGGTCCTGATGAACCACGATCGGGACCTCTCTGGGAAGAGCGTAAAGAGCCCGCATCACTACCTCCATAGCTAGTAACAGGTCGGTATGGATCTTCGGCCTGATTAAGGGTCCTCGCGAGTGATTCTCGCGAGTTTTGCAAATTAGGGGGCAGGAGGTAAGGGCTGGAAAGGTTCATGTCCATAGAAAGTTGCATTTTGTGACTCGGGTCCTTCTCCTTCCCAAAGAAAGCACTCCGCCTCTTACCAGCTTTCCCGGGCACAGCGCCCTCAAGACCAAAGTCCATTGATTTATACTTATCCGTCTCATCCTCTTTCCTCTGTCTGACTGTTGTCCTGTGATGTAAATAAACCAAGACGACAAACGCAACTCCAACCGGGATGCTGCGTAATTTTGTTAGTTATGCCAAAGTAAATGCTTAAACATGGATCCTCACCAAACACCTAGGATAATTGCAATATTCATGGAAGCCCCGACTGGCTTCTCATCGAGCTTGTTTTCCCTAGGGGTTAGTTGGGCAATGGTATTCGTTCCGGTCAAAACAGAGCTGCCAATCCCGTGTCCGGTTTCTAATAGACCAGGTTGCTCTGCCTCCGAAGGCAATCCTCTTATATGAAGATGATGGTGCCCGTGGCCGTGGCCGTGACCACGACTGTGAATGGAATGCCCCGCCATGGTGTCCAACTTCACTCCCTCTATCCCTTCTCTTAAAATATCAAAGCAGGCGTCGATCAAATGGAGGTTGTTATTCTAGGCTCATACCAAAACCGTGTTCGGGATAGTCGTCGAAAATTGAAAGAAGCGCCGGTTGAATCAATAATCCCGCCCACTTTGCTGGAATCGAATAATAGATATTCTACGAAATCGGCGTATCAACACTAATTGCCTAGGCAACGCAAAGCCGGAATGAATGACTCGTGATAAGGCACAAAACGAATGACTCGGAAGTTGGCTATTAAGGAATGGCACGCCCGCTGGCAGGCAGTTGGGTCGGTTGACCGATTGTCGAGGGACTCCTGAATTAAGCGTTGGGGTGAATGGGATGAAGGAGAGAAAGAGTGCTGCAAGAAGCGAAAGGGACGAAAAGAAGGTGATTGACCGAGTACAAATGCAGAGTATCTTTTCGTTGACCGGGGTCAGGAGAACGAGCGAATGAAAGTTAATATGGCGGAAATGAATGAAGGGGTTGTGGGGACTGTGATAACTCTACGTACTGTGTAGACGGGAGGGACAAACATTCACCAAAAGGGAATTTAGGGAAAACGCATGTCAGTCAGTGCCATGTGGTACAACACTGTGCAGTCAGTACCTGGATTGGAGCAAGGGCATTACAAGGGCATTACAAGGGGACTAATGCAGGAACATAGAAGCCATCCAATCAAGTCCCACAATATTCCAAAAATGCACACAATATGACATGGATCAGCTAACTCTAATCCGGAAAGGAACTGGTCCAATTAACTCACCCCTTTTTAGGTGACTTGGTCAGCCCTGGCGAGCTCCGCTATCTTCCCCTTTTCTAACTGCTTTAAACCAGCTTGTATCCCAGCCGAAATGAGAAGACAAGGCTGCTGAACCAATCTATCTATAAAAAATAAATAAAATAAAAAATAAAAGATGCACTGTCATATACATATGTTAGGTATCGACAGACTAATTAGCTTAGGTACCTCTTAAAGGAAGTGTTGGTTTTCAATCAACCGTCTCATCAATCCTTTTGGTAGTAGCATGCAAAGTACATAGTGCATCTGTTATAAATAGGTTCAGATGGTTCGTCAGATGGCTCCGGATTTCGATCCTAAGGGTAACATGCACCATCTACTCAAGCCTGTTGGAGTAGGTCGAACGATTAACAGTAATCAAGGAAAATCCCATAAGTCCGGGAATTAACTAATTGAAGCTTAGCTACTTACATAGTAGATGCACCGGATGCACCAATCCTAAGAACAAGCTTGTTTCTTTTTGAAACTAGCCCTGGCGATTCCCTATTTGCGTCTCAGCCTCAACTGGTTCAACTACAAATATTGTTTCATAGCTTGCTTCTCTTTAACGAGCATACCTCAACTACCTATCTTGGATAGGGAGGTGTGGATATCAATAGAGCACCTAGTCCCGTAACATAGGGGCCAATACGGCCTCGACCATAATTGTCAATTGACTACCAAATTGACCAGTAAATTCTTTTTTTTTCTCGTTTGCCTCCCCTTTTTTTTTCGGTAAACTTTCAACACTTAATCTGGTAGTATTCTGAGGCATACTCTAAAAGCCACTCCTTCTCAATTTTGCTGATATCGCGAATAAATATCTTGTTTCCGGTTTCCATAACCTCGTGAAAAATAACCCAGTCTGCCTTGCGATTAAACATCAATGAGCTAGGGTGTGCATAGAGCGTCGTTCCACCTTCGACATTGCGGAAGCTCCCATCGGGTTGCATTCTAGCCGCGTGGGCAAAATAGCCCGTCGTGAGACATCGTCGAATCTGCTCTCCTTTATTGACCGGCGATGTCCTGAGGCTCTCATCTATCACTATTCCAAACCGTTCCAGGTAGCGTTTCAGTTGCGCTCTGATACTCACGGCACGGGACATGGCTTTAAAATTGAGATGGTTGTCGTGGCAGAACTTCGATTCTTTCTTGCCCTTAGTTATAAATGCTTGGTAGACATTAAGAAGCGTCAGGTGATCCCCTTCCTCTGCCGCGAATTTCCGTCGTGAAGACTCTGCCAGCTTCTTTTCTCCCTCCCTCTGTATCCATACGGAACTTCCTAGGCTTATCATAGCCGCAATTGTAAGTATTTCGCTAAGGCAACCAAATGATGAGGCTGCCAATAGGGTCTTTGCCATCATAGGCTCTACCGCAAGCTCTGCCATTCGCATACCCAACGGTCTTGTGAGTTTGGCGTACTCATCTAGGGCACCGAGAGAAAAGAGCAGCTCTGTTGCCTTAGCCATCAGTTCCGCTGGCGGCGGTGTTAGATAATCGAAGCGGACGACGTTGTCGATACCGAGCGCCTTCAGCTGCAGGATAAAGGGCGCAAGGTTAGATCTCTGTATTTCCGGGATGTTCGCATCAGGTAAGGCTTGGAAAGCCTTTTCCGTGTAAAGTCGAAAACATTTGCCTGGCTTCGTACGCCCAGCCCTTCCCGCACGTTGCTGCGCCGCCGCCTTCGAGACAGGCGTTGCTGTTAAAGATTCAATACCAATCTTGGGATTAAAAGCCCTTAACTTGACGAATCCCGAATCAATAACGTAAACAATGCCATCGATCGTCACGGATGCTTCCGCGATGTTGGTCGAGATTATGACTTTTCTTGTGTTTTCAGGCGGCCTATCAAATATCAACATCTGTTGCTCTGTTGATAATCCTGCGTATAGCGGTAAAACAGAGATTGATTGAACAGCTGGCGGAAGTTGAGCTGCTCGCTCCGCGATGGCTTGGACAGCCGCGTCGATCTCTTCGCGGCCGGTCAAAAAGACAAGAATGTCACCATGCGGCTCTTTGGCATGGATGTCGAAAACCGTAGATATCGCCTTTTCAACGTAGTCTTCCGCTGGCGACTCTAAATAGAGAACATCTACGGGATACATTCTACCTTCGATGCTAATTATCGAGCCAACTTCACTCTTGTCGCCGTCAGGAGGTTCCTGATGGTCAGACTGTTGAGAGAAGAAGTTGAGAAACTCTTCCGCCTGAAGAGTAGCGCTACTAATAATAATGCGTAGCTCTGGTCTTCGCTTCCGTATCTTCTTAAGAAGACCAAGGAGAATATCCGTGCTTATCGACCTCTCATGGGCTTCGTCAACCATGATAACTGAATAACGCGATAGCAGAGGGTCGACCAAAGCTTCTCGGATAAGTAGTCCATCTGTTAAGAACTTAATTCGGGTTGCTGCAGATGTCACATCTTCGAACCTAATGGAGTAGCCTACCTCCTTTCCTAGCTCACAGCCATACTCCTCGGCTACTCTGATTGCGACTGTTGTAGCAGCTACTCTTCTGGGCTGATGCGACATAAGTTAGCTACAAACGATAAAAAAGAAGCCGAGGACTCGTACCTGAGTAACACCAATTATCTTATCATCAGAACACCACCCCGCATGCTCAAGAAACTGCGGTATTTGTGTAGTTTTCCCCGAGCCTGTTTGCCCAACAACGGTTGTTACCGGGTTTTTCTCGATGAGATACAGCAGAGTATCGTGATACTTGGCGATGGGTAGCAATGCTGCAGGTTTATGAAGAGCAGGGATGAATGTCGAATTGAGGTCAAAGTCTGCCATGGTGAATAGTTTCTTTTCTCTTCTTCTGGTTTTTTGTTTCTTTTTTTTTGGTTCCTCTTCTTTAGGTGTAAGTCTTGTGTATTTTGGAATTACTACAAAATACTTGCGTATCCTTATGTTAGGTACCTAAGGCTCTAATAAATGTAATTTGAGGCTAAGCAGATAGTAAAATCAGCCTTCAGGACGTTTGCAGCAGGGGTGCGAACACCATTTTATTGAGGCTAGGTACCTAAGCAGCTAAGTCATAAGTATTTGTAAGGTCGTTGCGACGACCAATGGTATACCTATACCTAGGTACCTAAGTGTTATTGAAGAGGCGGAGGTAGACACATGTATGGAAGTGAGTTCTCTCTTCTTTTTCTTAAGGTTTTATAATGCATTAGGTACATGTAGTACCTGTATCACCATAGAATGCAAACTGTCTAAGATCTGTGGCGCAGTTGTTCGCAACCACCGTATTGTACAATGTACTCCAGAGCACCGCTCAGCCCTGTGGCGGGAAACGTCATCCTCCCGTCGCAACTCCTATTGAAAGTTACCTAGACTTATTGCCCCTCAGATTGGCGGAGATACATTAGGTAGGTAGTGTATATCTTACATAGGTATACCTTATTAGTAGGTACATGTATCATATGCGCATGAACCCGTAACTACCTACCTACATGTACCTAACCTACATAAGGTAGCTGGTATATTTTATTTTGTTTTATTTTAACTCTCCTGTTTTACACTTAGTTGCGCTTAATCAGGCAAATGTTATTTTATCCTTTTTTGTTTTCTACTCCTCTGTTCCTCCTCTTTTTCCTCCTCCTCCTTCAAACGATAGCTCTTTTTCATTGCTATTTTACAAATAATTGTCTATCAAGTCGTATCCACCTCCTATCCACATCACATATCTCTCTCCTATACCTTGCTTGATCCAAATATGTCGGCCCCAACTGATACGGTAAGTTTTCATGTGAACAATAGTCTGCCCTTTTCCTGCCCTTTTCGATTCTCGACCAAGATTTCATTCGCTGACATTCCATTTGGTAACTAGACCAAGGCCAGTCCAGCGCCTGAATCTCCGACCACCGTACGCCCATTCGAAATGGACGACGATGATATTCAAGAGACGGGCGTTCTAGGCGATGATAATGCCCATCAGACTACTGCGACTTCGACGGCTGTCCAACCATCCGCAACTAGCGAAGAAACCGCACCGCCGAAGCCTCCTCGTCCGCTTACCGAGCGACAGAAGAATGAGTTAATTCTCAAGGAGGCCTTTCCAAGCATCGAATTACCGGTCATCAAAGCCGTCTTGACTGCAAGCGGTGGTCAGATCGATCCAGCCTTCAATGCTCTATTAGGTATGCGTGGCAGTGTTGAAGAGCCAGACAGATTTTATTAACCGTAAACGAAGGCATGAGCGATCCAGATGCTGCTCAGAACGAACCCGCGCACGAGGCTGCCCCTCCGCCTCAACCTCCGCGACCTGCTGGGGCTAGAAGTCCGATGTCGCAAATAGAGGCAGACGAGCTCTACGCCCGAGAACTTACTCAATATTACGAGAGCGCTGGTGCCTACGAAGCAAGGACAACGAATCAGGGTCCCGGCGGCCAATATCGCAGCCAGGCAACGGGCCTGAAGCCCAATGAGATGTATGACCGAGACCACAGCTTCATCGACGATGAACTACCCATTATCAAAGAAAACCTCCGTAAAGGCTTCCTCGAGACTCAGACAAAGGTCAACTCCTGGTTTACCAACTTGAAGAAGAAGATCGACGGCGAATACGATGAGAACGAGGATGAAACGCAGCCCTCGAAACATCAGCGCCAGACTTTTGGTAGACGTAGCGGAGAAGGCTCACGGAGAAGTGCGGACTACCATCGCTACGACGCCGATCCACAAGTTCTGAGCGATGACTTCGCAGGGATGAGGCTTCGCCCAGATAGTAGTTGGTGATACCTAATTATAGTACATAAAATAATTGCAGCTAACACTAGCATAGGGCCATCTCAAGATCGACCATCAAGCAACCCAAGCATATACAGACCGTCGCCGTCTACATCTCCTAGACCAGAGGGTCGCAAAGTTGCGTTCAAGGAAGGAGTAGAAGATATTGACCAGTATAACGCCTCTCCAAGAATCCCGCCCAAAGACAGCAGCTCAACTCCACCTCCCGGCAAGCAGAGCAAATGGCAACCTTTATCTACAATTGAACCCAATCCGATTACAGATAATGACCCTTTTAGCCTCGGCGACAGCGAGGATGAGAAGGACACGAAAGAGAGGAATGGCGGAGGGATTAAGATGGAAGACACGGAAAGACTCAAGCAAGCCACAGCAGATGCTATGGCTGACAGCTTGGTTGGTGGCTCTGGTAAGACGAGTGGTAAGGATTAGCTGAGGGCTGGCCAGGTCTAGTTGATCATTGCAAGTTGGGTGATGACCGGAGAGCGATAGGGATAATGTTGAATGATGCTGATTGATTACGTCCTGCGCGGCTAGGCTTAAAGCTATGTGTTACATTGACCTTTATATCTCACATGCTTCACGTGGAAATTTCCGGTTTGTCCAATGTTTTTCTTGCCCTACGAAATCAGAATCCCGACTCCCGAATTGTATACCCAGACAAGTAATAAGCTACTGCATGCGCGGACCAACAACCTATGGTCTCGACCACGAGACAGGCATCGTACCAGACTACGGACAAGGGAAACGGGGTAGAAATAGGAGAGGGAAAAAGGTTAATTGGCTACCTTTCACGGGGTAATAAGTGGCAAAGTTGTATATTTAATCAACTAAGGCAGGTAGCTATGCAAAGCTATGTCATGCAGTCTATACCCTCGTAATAAATTGGCATATATTCTAACTTGTACCGTTGCGTCGCTATCTCAGTACGGGCACGGGCATATATAGACAGACCGGGAACCCTCCGACACGACACAATAAGTATCCGATACTACGATACCGATCCTTGTTATTCTGTAGACTATATTGCGACCTAGCCCCGCATTAAGTGAGTCTCGGAAAGATATAAGTACCTCTATAATACCTACCTCCTATACATCACGTCTTCTAGGGATCCGAAAGGCTTATATACCTACCTACATACATAGGTTAGGTATCTATGTAACTCGCCATCTATCACAGTTTTCGCCCTCGCAACATATAATAGGTGCGTATCTGTAATAAGATATAGCGATGCCGTGGATATTAGACTCGTTAGACGCTGGGATAGCCAGCGCTACGAAATACACCATTTTCGTACCTATATCGATAGCGGTATGTTTCAAAACTTCGTGGATGTACGGTAGGTAGTTGGTATGTAATCTAACAGGAGCTAATGAGATTTCTACGCGGCATAGCTAGTCATCAGCGAGATAGCGATACTCATCTACAATCTTTACTTCCACCCACTCCGTCGCTTTCCCGGTCCAGTCTTATACAAAGCATCCCGAGTACCATGGGGGATCAGGTTTGCTACCGGTCGTCAGGCCTTCTTCGTTCAAAAACTACATGATAAATATGGTCCAATTGTTCGGATCGGGCCGAACCATCTTTCCTTTACGGATCCGAAGGCGTGGAAGGATATATATGGACATCGCATCGGCAACGAAAGCAATATAAACGAGATGACAAAGGCAAAGACTTTCACCAAGCCGATTCGCGACAGGCCGGAAACCATATTAAGTCTAAACCGAGAAGACCACTCCAAGTTTCGCCGCGCCCTTTCGCATGGCTTCTCAGATAGTGCCCTGCGTCAACAAGAACCCCTAATTGCAAAGTACATTGACCTTTTAATCAGTGTAAGTTGCCCAGAAACTCTGCAAGATGTCTCTATTCTGTCTTAGGACCAAGACGAAACAGAGGGTACTCTACTTCTAACGTAGAAAGCCCAAGTGCTGCATTAATAGGCCCCTATCATTAGAACCCCTTTAATTGACCCCGATTAACACGCGTTACAGAGGTTACACGAAGAATATGACAATGGGAAGAAGAGATGTAATCTAGAAGCTTGGTATAACTGGACCACATTCGACGTTGTCGGCGATCTGGTTTTTGGGCAGTCCTTCCACTGTCTCGAGAATATTGATTACCACCCCTGGATCGAGAGCATCTTTAAAAGTGTGCGCTTCAGCGCCATCATGATCGCCTTGACTTACATCGGCCTGGGCGAACTCGTACAAATCATAGCCAAGTGTGGAAGTTCGCTTAGGAGGGCGCGGCAATATACTAGAAATATGCTGAACGTGCGGCTTGCTATGGAAGGGAAGCGCGATGACCTTTTCGAAGGCATCGCTAAGAAACGTGATGAATGGGTGTGTTTCCTTTCTTTCTTCTTCTTCTTCTTCTTCTTCTTCTTCTTCTTCTTCTTTTTTTTTTTTTTTTTCATTCAGGGCTTAAACACGGAAGTTTAGGTGCTGACATCTTTTTTCTTGTAGAATATCTCGTTCGAGATGCTGACTGCAAACGCATTCATTCTTGTGATAGCTGGATCCGAGACAACAGCAACAACCTTATCCGGCGCCACATCTCTTCTTCTGTCTCACCCAGATATCCTCGAGAAACTTCAACGGGAAGTCCGTTCGTCGTTCAAAAGCGCAGATGAGATCACGATCACTTCCGTCAACAAACTGCACTACATGCTCGCGGTCCTCAACGAAGCACTGCGGCTTTACCCCCCAGTCATGGCGGGTTTAGTTAGGACAGTGCCCCGTGGCGGCGAACAGATCGCTGGGCGTTACGTACCCGAAGGCGTGAGTAGATAACTCATTCAATATTCACCAGTAGCCATACGTGAATAGTAGAAACGAACTTACACCCATGTAGACACTAGTTGAAGTGCAGCAATGGTCGATCAATCATAGCAAGGACAATTGGAACGATCCTTGGGCGTTTCAGCCTGAGCGATTCCTAGCCACTCCTGAAGCGGCCGCAAAGGACGGCGACAAACTCGAGTCACTACAGCCCTTTAGTGCAGGGCCAAGGAACTGCATCGGACGCAAGTATGATAGGATAGCTAGCTTCTCTGATTTTTTTGTATACAACAAGGTAACTTGACTAACATCCACTTTCCACCAAGCCTCGCATACGCCGAAATGCGTCTGATCCTAGCCCGCATTATTTTCGAATTTGATATAAAGCTCTCGGAGGATAGCAAGAGATGGATTGAGCGGCAGGAAGCGTTCATGCTGTGGGAGAGGTCAGTATCTCTTTGGTTTCACCCACCCCACCCCCCTTTTCCTTTTTTTATATTACCCTGGGGTGGAAAGACAGTAAGATAGAGCTGGTTCAATGATTCGGCCACCAGTCGCTAAATCTAGCTGTTACTAATGCTTTCTGGAATATAGGATTCCCCTTCACGTAACTCTAACGCCAGTTAAGCGGTAGTCATCGTCATCTTATGCCTTGAATTAGGTAGGTATATGACTATTAGGGGGGGGGGGGGGCATATTTGGACTAGATTGTCTCCCTGAGCACGGATAAGACGTGTACATGTATGGTTGTCATTCCAAATATAATCACATCAGTATTCATCTTATCTGTATTTCCTACGAGCCTGACCAATAGGTATTTTTTACAGTTGATTAGAAACCCGCCACCATTCTCATCTTATGTATCGTTCCGTTATCGTCTACTGTAACAGGGACCGAGTAGAATGCATCTGGTATGTCTTTCATGTCGATGATATGAAACAAGGTACCGTCAAGATGGCAACCGACATTACGTAGACCAGATACTCCAACAGGCCCCTGTGGCAAAGTTGATAAGTACTCGCCGTTAGTTTTCCAGAACGTAAAAGCCGTGATCCAATCCAGAAAGAAATGAATGCCTGAGCCGCCTTGCCAGTTCACCATCCTGGACCAGAAAGATTGCACCTCGGGACTTAGTAGGCTTAGTCGAGCACGGCGGCCAACAAGTGTGTAAAACTGGCCCGGCTCCTTTCCCATGCGGGGCAAATATTCTAGCCTACGTCAAATTTTGACCCAGTCCTCTCTTTTGCCAAGAAAGGTTACAGAGGGTACCGCACATGCGAGTGTAAACGTGTATTTGAAATACTCCTGCAACACGCCCATCATAAGAACGGCAGCCGTGACCATGTCAGTGTGCGTAGTTGTGGTGAAATCAGGCATGATCCACGCGGTCAAATATGGATCAATGACATTCTTTTTTATATCGCCAGTCATCTGGATCGTCAACTTTCCAAAGTCCGAGGCGGTAATACCTCCCACGTCTACTACTTCCACTTTTTCTGACCTTCGTGCGTGACAAAGAACGGCTGTAGCTCTTCGGCATGGGCATTGATACGCGCGCTTATTTGAGCTGGAACCGTGAACTAGACGTCTTCTGAGTAGATCTTCAGGCGGTGATGGCTGCTATAGGCCAAGAAGACCACCCGCACAAATCCGTGGGGAGATAGGAATACTTGTGAGTTTTTTGTGATTAGGATTGAGGACTGGGCTTGTTCCTTCAATTTCTTTGCCTTGCTTTGGATAAGAGGCTTTTGGGAGCTCTTCAGGAGTTGCTGCTGCGTCGCTCCTTTTCCAGGCTCTAGGGGGGTTAGCGGCAACAATTTGACGTGTTTTATTAGGTATACCTAGGTAATCAACTTGGTTTACATGCATACGATATAATTTATTTATTTAATCATTCATATATAACGGACTTTTGTTAATAGTAGCTAGATGCTCCCCCTTCGCCCCCTTTACGGCATGGCCGAAAAATCTTGAGATTTTCATTCCATGATCATTATTATAGAATAAGCTTATTATTTGATGCTGGCAAAAATAACTACCGTCAGCTGTCATAAGTAGTGCTCTCGTCAAGGTAGACCTATAGGATGCTCCTCATGACTGGTAGTAGGCAGATATCCCTTTTCACCATTTAGGTGATATCCTTTGTAACTCGTCGCAACCATATTAGATCATTAGATTAGGTGTTATTATGGTAGTATTGAAACTCGATTCCACGATGTCCAACTCATTTTGGTGTATGTATATAAGCTACTTATATATATCTAATATTTAGCCCAGTTATCATCAGTCCCCTACATCGAGGAGCATACCTAGATAATATGTATAAAAGAGATATTTATGGCATTACTAGGTAGAGGACAGACAGAGCGCAGGTGAGCGTATGGAATATAGTACTTACTATTCAGTCGAACAACCTAATGAATATACGGTAAACCGTAAAGAGTAGCCATCGGGATGGCCCTTTACGTTAACATGGAAATCAATCTGGATGCATGACATGGTGTTAATTTAATGAAACTTTTACGATAGCTGCAAGGGCACATGAATATAGAGAGTTGCGGTTATGCTTGAAATGGAAATGGATAAAGAAGGAAAAGGACGTGGTGGTAGGCAACAGTAAATTCAATTCCCGAGAGGGAGGCAAAGCTACGAAAGTAAAAAAGAATGGAAAAAAGAATGGCAAAAAAAGCTCGGAGCTGGAATTGAATCCAGGACCTACGAAAAACTGCTTTGTAAATGTCGTACTGTCAAGTCACGGGCATACCAGTCCAGCATATGACACCACGGTGCAGTTTTCTCTAGCCTCCAGTCACCCAGGGATACGTCCTTTTTGCGGGGTCGGCTGGAGGTTTGTAGTTTATTAGGATATATATGTCTTGCTGCGGGTAGGTGTGCATCTACCTAGGTACCTAAAATATATCTTGTTGCCCTTGGTGAAGTCCGTGGGCGTGCATACTTATCTTTAGGTTCCAGGTGGCAAATGAAGTTACGAATGGCCTCTCAGGCAGCAACTTACTTAGACTGACTTAATAGCACTTCATTAGCCCAACCAGCTAACCACCTTTCAAAACTCTACGACCGAGAACTTGTCGCTTTACTTACATTTCTGTTCTTACGCCTTCAATCATTTTTGCGCAAATGCAGTCCGGAAAACCACTCCTATAAATGTTTCGACGTGATGTTATTGTGCTTCCTATGACTACGTAGGTATGTAGCTCCTCGGAGGTTATCAATATCCACCCCTTAGATTATAAGGGAACGATAGTAGCTGCTATTTCCTCAGAGTAGCTGCTATAGATTCGGAATCTTTGTGAAGACGACATTCATCCCCTATCTTGATGCTTGATAGGGGTAAGGGGCAACAAGTCAATATTGCGGTACCTGCTAGGCCCCTACTTCTATTTTTTGCATGGTGCGGGAATCCGACATCAATATGCCTTGGTCATAAGTCCATTATCGACCCTATCTCGTACAAAAACCTAAATAGAGAGGTCGCTATTGAATTCAGGCCCATAGCAACCTGCTCAAGCACCTAAAATGAATGCGCTTGTCGAGAATGATTGCCGTGACCGCCACTCCTTGGGAACAAAGGAGATGTTTGTATATGCTCTTCGACGTGACATACTCTTTTCCCCCTTTCTTCGGCCTAAGTGAGTTTCGCCATCCTGAGAGACACGCCATAGTTTTGTCCTTGAGCTCTGGATCAGCCTTCAAGCGAGGATGATGAGGATACTCAATATCGATCCAAGAGTACTTGTAAGTCATGGAAACATTTTCAATTACTCTGCCGCACAGTAAATTCACAGGTATGTGAGGAATAAATCTGGATTCATCTTGCAAATTGACAGAATCAACAGCTTGACAGAGTTACATAAAAAGTGGAAAATAGGGAATATGAGATCTTAGCAATAATGCAGGAGTTATTAACGTATAAGTCGAAGACCGGAAAAGACGTGGTGATGGAATGAGCGGGAGAGGACGGCGCAGCACCGGGACTTGCCGTTTCTGCCCCCGGGCTCGGAGGGTACACCCCGACAGCCCGGCAGCCGGGCCACCTAGGTACTCTCACTCAGCCTCGTGCATGAGATGTCGAAGGCCACGAGGTGCAGATGAGAGGTTTGATTGGTTTAAATTGATATATGGGAAAGAGGAGAAAGGAATAGGTAGTTGCGATGTGAAGTGGATCGATCGCCCCCAAATGTGTGGGGCAAAGCTGCAACCCGTCCCCAAAAACTGAAATCCAAAGTATTCGGTACTTAGTACGTGCGCCAGGGTTTGCTCGGGTGATGGTATATATCCGCCAAAATAAAATATAGGATCGTGAAGAGAAGTCTATTTAGTAGTGATGCCAAACGGGAAATGTTTTTTTTTTCTGTTAATATCTACAAATAGCGAAATATCCAAGTACCTAATGCAGTAAGTAGGTACATATTAGAGGTACCTAAAATACTTCTCTTACATAGTAGTCTCTGATTCTTTTGCTCCAAGTTCCCAACTAACTTAGCGCCCCACTAAAATACCTCCTAGATGAGAAAGTTGCGTTTCCCCCTCCGACTGTATTTTTAAAAAAATACTACATGCAATATTAAAATAACTACTACGAAGTATGTACATCTAAAAGACGACCCCCTCCAAAAGCTCGTCTGTTATCAATCTAGACGCTGGCACAAAGACCAACCAGGATTAAAAAAAATAAAAATAAAAAAAAACCACCAAAGGAACTCAACAAGCTCATAGGTACGTATTTGATTCAACCACTCGCTAAGCTTAAAAACAATGACTTCAGACGCTCGATCCACAGTCGGATAACCCGTACGAACAACATCATATGTCCAAACATGTGAATGTAACGCGCATAGCTTGCATACAGTCTACTACCTAATAGTCTATATAACTAGCTACCTAGTTGACAAGGTTGTAAGGTTGCAAGGCTATTGGGTTGCTGGGTTGCTGGAAGCTAACAAAGCGTCAACACTAGCTTCTCGGCGTTCAAGACCCAGAGACCCAGTCGAGAGGATTCGTAGTGCCGTATGGGCTTGACGTCGTGAAGCTATTTTTGACTGATGAGAATTTCTCCATCTTTTTCTTCTAAGGTACCTACCTTTCCTACCTGCTACCCCTCCAAGAGGAGTCACCGTCGCCATATTAAAGTCTGGGGTACGTCCTCAGCATAACTCTCCTGCGTCACACCCACCTTCATCGAACCTATCAGAGCATATCAGAACCTTCGTTTTTCTCGTTACCTGCTATTTACAACCAGCTCCAAACCCTTCTTCATCGGGGCCACCAGCCGCTTCATGTAAAGAACACCACTGCATTGCGCCCCATCTGACCCCCACATCTCCGTTTAGCAGCAATCATTGGATCTAATTCCTAATATCTTGGCCTGTCTGCGAGCTGTCTGACCAAACGCCTTAACCTACCTGAAGCTCCAACTCCCAGTGCTGGAGCGTTGTTGCACGACCGGTTTAGATCGTCGTGAGTGTGACCTTAACCCCCCATCGTCACCACTTGCTGGACCTTGGGTCGTGAGACTTCAAATCCATCCGGAAGGCGTAGTGCTACACACCGGCTACACTTATTAGGTCCGAGGCCCTCATTCTTATTACATCAATCTAGCCTAACCCGGACTCCTTTATGCAGCATTCCGAAGTAGCGGCTGATACCTAGAAGCTGCAGGTTGGGCGGGAATTCTGCTCATGAGCTTGCGCCCTACTGGAACTCTCCCCTCTCCTCAACTTGCCACATACCCGGAGCTTTAGTTCGTCTGATGTTACTTTATCCCTGGCTATCGAATTCGGTTTTCCGTTTATCTCTAGGTCGACTCTCCCGTCCCTAGTACAACCGCTCCCCTGCATTTGGTTACACGCGGGAAATAGCCGTTTAAGTCATATCCATTGAGACATTCCTTCTCTACTGGCCCCGAGGCATCTATCTAAGTAAACAGCCCTCGCAGGCTGGTTGCAGGCGCCTCTGCCGCACCATGTAAGTTTTACCCATCAGTTGCTGGCTACCTTACTTCTTTGCCTACCGCGCTAGAATACCGCCTCTTGCGCCGATAGGGGTTACTAATGCAGCTTCAGGAAGTTCGGTAAGCAAATCCAGAAGCGCCAGCTTGAAGTGCCGGAATATGCTGCCAGCTTCGTGAATTACAAGGCGCTCAAAAAGGTACGTCAACTACTGCTTTGTCTAGCATATCTCAGTCAATAATGCGTCTTGGCTTCAATGGACTCAGGTCTACATCGATTGAGAAGCATGGTGGTTCCTATTCGCACTATCTCATATGAAACTTAAGTTGTTCAACAATTAAAATTGTGTCACTGACACTGGCCAACAGCTCATCAAGAAGCTCTCTGCTACCCCGACTCTGAGCGCCCAAAATGATCCTCGCTTTACTCCCACACCGGTGGACACCCAACTTGCCTTGCAAGCGAACAAAGCCAAGTTCTTCTTCCAACTGGTAAGCTCTAATCTCCCAGGGGACAATGCACATTCGTGAGTGGTGCTAATATCGTATAGGAACGAGAGCTCGAGAAGGTCAATGTATTTTACCTTCAGAAGGAAGCTGAAGTAAGTCTAGTTTCCATAATTCACAGTCCTCCGCTTGGATCTCTTATTGACATCGACTAAGCTGAAAGTCCGGCTTAAAACATTACTGGATAAGAAGAAAGTTCTGCAGTCCCGCCAAGGTGTATCTAGACGGTCAGCCAAATTCACAACGTTGGAAGAAGGGTTTCAGCAATTTGCAAACGACCTGAATAAACTTCAGCAGTTTGTTGAGATAAATGGGACTGCCTTTTCGAAGATACTCAAAAAGTGGGATAAGACCTCAAAGTCTAAGACTAAAGAGCTATATCTCTCCCGTGCTGTGGAAGTACAGCCATTCTTCAATGCCACGGTCATCAGCGAACTTTCGGACCAAGCAACAACTAGCTTACAAGAGCTCGGGGCATGGGCAGACGGGGATCATGTTCCATTTGAAGCTCGGTCGGAACATATGGTGAGTAGCCAACACCTACTTGGAACAGATGAAGGCGATGCAGATAGTCTATTACTCGACACAGCCATCAGCGGTAATCTAGAGTCTCTGAGAGATCTTGTGTCCAAAATGAGAGCTGGTTCCAGTGCGCCATCGGGGAGAGACATCTCCTTGATGGAAAGAGTAACTCGGACCTTTCTCGCTGCCATCCACGAGGCACCGCAAGCTTCTCTGGAAGTCCTATTGGAGACTGGGCTCGTTGACATCCGATCTGAAGATGATATCAACGAGCGAAACTGCCTTCACCAAGCTACTATCTACGGGAATTCGTTTGTCCTGAATGTCGGCCTTGCAGAAGGAGTCGAGGTTAGCAGAACAGACGTCTATGGGCGCGTGCCACTGCACTACGCAAGCATGCACGGGAGATTGGACATGCTTGAGCAGCTTCTCCAAGGTAAGGACACATAGAGAACGCTGGGTCTGATTATGTTGCGTGCTAAATCTAGTGTGCAGCCGATCCAACAACAATCGACCTGATAGACCATGACAATTTTACGCCGTTAATCCACGCTATCATCCACGGCCACATCACTTGTGTGCACCGACTTCTCTCAGCTTCCTCCCGCTTAGACCCAAAGTCAGAGACGGACCATATACCACTGAATCTCGCCTGCGAACATGGGTCACTTGATATAGTTAAGCTCCTCCTGGAGCACGGTGCCCAGATACTTCCTGATGCCGAAGGATTGTACCCGCAACATCTTGTGGCTCGGTCGGGCCAGACACCTCAGCTACTTCGGTTGTTGCAGAGCTACGGCGCCGACTTGGACCAAATTGACAAGCTTTACGGTTGGACGCCACTCGTACATGCGGCAAGCGAAGGCAACGTGCCTTGCTTAGAAGAGCTGCTGAATGTGGGCGTTGACCCGAATATAGTTGATGAGAAAGATTTGCCTGCGATGTACTATGCGGCGTGGGAAGGGCATCTAGAATGCATACAAAAGCTTACGCCTTATCAAAAGGGTAAAGCAGAAAGTCCACTGACGATGCAAGCGACGGGTCCTCTCCTTGCCCCGATGGGAAGTGGAAATTCCCCTATCCCTATGTCTCTCGATGCTGATGCCATTCCAATCCTCGAGCTTCCACCGCCTATAATACCTCTAAGACGCTACGGCCATAACTTTCTCGATACGAAAACCGTAATTCAAATTAGCTTCCAGGAGGAGGGAGAGCACCCCTTGGTTTTCTTCCATGACAGCAAATACCCAGCCGCTCGACTAACCATCTCCTCCAAAATATCCGACCTCATCCCGAAGAATATCATGCTACCCTTTCAGGAAGACACCCGGCTTGTATCATTCCAAGTCGACAATCTTGATACCTTTACCCTTGATTTTGACGTTTTTCCTACTTACGGCGCGAAAATAATTGCAAAGACGGTTGCTCTTCCAAATACGTTTCGGGCTTCTTGGAGCAGCTCAGGGAAATGCTGTCTACCGTTGTTTGACCCTAGGCTTCGGGCTATTGGCCAGATCACGTTCAATACTCAAGTCATCAAGCCTTTCCAAGGCACTCCATTGGAGATCGCAGATTTCGAGACTTACTGGAAGGCGACGAGTCAGCTAGATCAAAACCCAACTATGTTTGTCACTGGTTCGAGCTTGTCTGGTGACTTTGTTCAGCTATATGTTCAACATACAAGCGATGGTATCCCCGTTGTATGGCCGCGGTGGGTGATACAATGCGGCGGTATTGATGTATCCATCTCACGACTATCATACGAGCAATTCTCTACGGTTACAGCGTCGAATTTCGGTCGAAATCAACTTCACATGATACCGTCGCACGGCCTCGATAACATTGCTGAGGTTCACCGAGCTTTGAACACCGCAGGAGTTTCTTTGGAGCAAGCCCTCTCTTTGCTCCCTAATTCGATGCACGTTGACCTGCAGATTATCTACCCGTCGGAAGAAGAGGAAAGAAAGCTCGGATTAGGACCGACTGTGAACGTAAACAGCTTTGTAGATTCTATACTAACTGTAGTATTTGACCACGCGAGGGAACAACGAGCGCAGACGATGTCGGCCCCTGATACTGTTAGGTCGGTGGTTTTCAGTTCTTACAACCCGACGATCTGTACAACATTGAACTGGAAGCAACCTAACTTTCCCGTTTTCCTATGCAATGATCTTGGCCGGGAAGACGTTATGTTGTCGCCGAGTGTGATTCAGAGCAGTGGGCGAAGGAGGTTTTCGGTTAAAGAGACGGTGAGGATAGCGCAGAGCAACAACTTTATGGGGCTTGTCTGTTGTTCTCGACTATTGGTGAGTTTTTGCTACCTACCTAAAGTAAAAGCAGCTACATACGTGATATACTAATAATACTAGAACATGGTCCCTGCGCTCGTGGATGCGATAAAATCGCATGGGTTAGCGTTGGTAGTAGACAAATCGGCCGAGCAGGCGACGGAGTCGCATATGCCTACCGATGCCTTGCCCGTTCCTAAGGGAGTTGACGGCATATTGAAGGGTAATGGGGTCTTGAGATTCAATGAGTCTATAGATGTATAGACAAAAACTATGGTTGGAATTACATGTTGGTGGTCGTGGGGCTATTCCTTCGTCCCCTTTGGGAGGTTTTTTTTTATTTTTTTTATTTTTTTATTCTTTTCTTTTATAAAAAGATATATATATATATATAAGGATGGGCTGCAGAGCTCGGCTTTATGCTGGAAACTTGTGTGCTTAGCACTAGCTTCGATGACTTGTGCAAGACTTCCAAACAAAAGATCATTTGCCTTATGATAGTGCTCTTGGGATTTAATGCAATGATACCTCGATATTTCATACGTTGCAATGGTTCTGTGATATATTCACACGTATTAAGCTCCCTTGTATTCATACCGTAACGCACTTAGATCCCTCTCGGGGTCCACGCCGCCCATAACTATCTTAGCTGCTATGACGACGGCGTACACGACGGCGGGCAAATTACTCAGCCCAACGTGGCCCCATTGCTGCGGTTGTTCCCTGGCAGAAGCTCCCGGTTTCGATACGAGCCCAGCGAGGACTAGAACCACGCAAAGCGTTATGTTAAGATACGGGAGGTATGTCGTTAGCGGGGAGTCGCGGCGGCCTTCAGCCCAGAAGGAGGCGGATGTATTATCCGTGCCAAACTGCTTTCTGCGCTTTGAAGCACCCTCGCTTCCTCGACTAACCCACTGGTCTATCCCGCGTATGCCCGTCACGCCCGGCGGCAGAGCCCACAGCATCCATGCCGTGGCCGCGAGACTCGTTAGGCTAAGAAGGGAACGGATGCGAGCGCCTGTACCTGCGCTTCCGACTCGGTAGGATTGTGGTAAGGCGACGATATATGGGATCGCGGACACGATGGGCAGGACTAGTAGGAAGAGTCTGAATTGCGCGTTTCGAGCGTCGTTTTGGCGCGCGAGAGATTGTATTAGGGCTTCTTGCTCTTGCTCGTCGAGAGCGGCGGGGAGGGAATCCGAGTCCGAATCGGAATCGTGGGTGAAGGGGCGGCGGATGCGCAGGTTGGCATTTTGAAGGGATTCCATTTTTGAAGAGAAGAGTATTGACTGACTAGCTGATTTGAATTTCCATCTTGAAGTTATTGCTTTATCTAGGTAGTGCTTATGTTTTGCGGCCAGTCTGATAGTTGAGCAATATGAAGTATAAAATATAAAATATCGTACTATGTAGTTGGGAGTATTGAAGTATTAAATATTGTAATTGCTAGGTACCTATGTACCTGTTAATTCGAATTGGGAAAGTTAGAAGTGACGTAAGTAGCAGCGTGTACCTAGGTACATTTGTACTTTTTGGTGCGGCTTGCACTAATGCCTTCTCCTCTCCCCTCCCTTTAAAAGTGTGTGTAGCATTTGCAACTATTCATACCTATTCATACCTATCCATACCTAGGCATACATAGGCATATATATATATATCATTTTTTAGATGTAGGTCTCATACCCAAACTCTCAGCATTATATCTGGTACTATCTCTATCTTGTTGAGCCAAGTGTAAGCACCAAAACGTAGCACCAAAGCGTACCTAACTCAAGTCTCAGGCGGTAGGCAGAAAAGGAGGAGCACGGGTCGTCGTTTCGCGAAAAGACTTGATATTGAAATGCTCTCAACACTGATATCAATACTGATACAAAGCTGCTATCCATTCTAATACAGTATGGTACATAATATCTACGCTGTCGGGAAGGACTTGAAACTCCCATTATCATCGTACTTCGCCTCTGCACGCATCATCCTTAGCTTCTTTCCACTTGATATAATAAAATAGAGCATAACAACCAACGATAGAGGTTTACTTACTGAAGAACGTATAGCTTAGCGTGACCTCGTTAATCCCGCGCATGTTTAAATCATTCAGCATATCCGGGTCGAGGTAGAAGAACACAGGCATATCGACCGTCTCCCCCGCGTTCAGCCGCTGCTCTTCGAAGCAGAAGCACTGGATCTTGCTGAAGTACGGCGCGACCTGCGCGGGCGTGACGCTGTATGTCGCCACGCCGATGATGTCGCTGTCGCTGCGGTTCGTCGCCGTGTAGAACGCCAGCGCCGTCTCGCCAGGTAATACTCGCACCTCCCGCTGCTGCGGTACAAACTTCCACGGCAGAACATCCGAAACCGAGGCGTTGAATGTGACACGGATGCGCCGCGCATCCGTCACGGGGATAAGTCGGGATGCCTGGCCAAAGTCTGCGTCGTCGCTCGAGGGGCCGTGGCCAGATGCGCGTATAGGCTGGCCGCCCCAGCCGGTTGTCTGGCAGATCTGTTTTCGTAAGTCGACGTCCCTGTACATTTATACGCTTCTTCTTCAATTATACACGCACCATCTTATACATCGGCACTGAGCCGTACGAGAAGGCAACGGTACCGAGTATAACGCTAAGCGTGTAATACCTATAACGCTACTAAGCCTTCCTCTTCCTTCTTATATTGACAGACGCACGTGGGCAATCGGGAGCAGGTAGGTATACATAGTCGTGCGGTTCTTATATTTGTAGTACTCGCGCACCCGTTCCATCGACGGCATCCCGGGTCCGGGGGATGTGGTAGCCTGCTGTTTTCTCGCCGAGGAATTCGCTACGGACCGGCGGGGAGGAGTCCGGATGAAGGCTCGGCGACATGACGCGCATGCCCATGACGAAGAGCCGGCTCGGAGTGCGCGCCACGAGGTTTGGTAAAAAGTCTTCATTCTGGCGGGTGAAAGTTGATAAGCTTAACTACCTAACGGTTGAGATCATCGTACCATCTTGCAGTCTTGTAGTCTTGTAGTCTTGTACCTACCTAGGTAGTCTCTTACATCGATGGGTCCAAGTCGGAAAAAAAGCTGTGCAACTAAAAGGTTAGGAACTTTAGGTGGATCCCATTAGCTTTGCAGGGCCGGACAGGGGTCTTATTAGTGGCTTACCCGCTGTAAGTTGTACATAGCAACTCTGCGATGCCCAGGGTGCCATGCCATACAATAATCATCTTAACTAGGAGGTACCTAATTCATAAAAAAAAAAAAAAAAAAAACTCTATTTAACCTAAAGCTCACCTAACCTATGCCACCAATTTCCCATTTACCAATCTAATTCTAGGCGCTTTTACCGTTCCGTTTCCTACGTCTTTCAATCGTTTCGATACTCTCTTCTTGGACCTGCCGAATACCCGCTCTAGCAACTCTATGACAAATACTTGAATCAATAAGATCACAACCCTCGTAAGCAGGTCTAGGATTCCCAATTTCGGTTGCCTTCCGCGACTATATGTCGAATCTATAAAGTGGAAGGGCAATCTGGCACCGAGATGAGCCTGGGCTACGTACAGCCCGCTGCTAAACCCGTCTTCGTGGAAACCGTACTTCGTCCATGCGCCCGCGTAGCTAATCCCTCTTGTGTTCTGTATCAACGGTAGGGCTTGTTGTGCCCGAATTGCTGCTGCATTATACAGCGGATGTGAGTATGAATATCGACCTTGTACCGTCTCAGGTTTCGGTTCCTGGATAGGATTCAATGTCACCAGGACGTCGCCAAAAGGCTGCCTCGGAATATGCTGTAGAATGTTCATATTATAAGTCAGCGATACTTGGCCAATGCCCTTCCCCGTCCACGGCGATGACATCGTGAGACAATTCCAAGCGCACCAGGAACTCTGACGTCTCGGCATGTGCGAAAGATCCGAGTGGAGAACGCAGGTATTTTCAGAGGTTTCAAATGAGGACATGATGGCCCGCTCCTCGGCTGTAGCCGAAGGCCTAATGATCTGGTATGCTTGGTCCCCATGCGTGGCTAATATGACGTGATCATATACCTCCGTCTTGTCGTTTTCCAAGTGTAGCCTGACACGTCCGTTTTTATCGTTGCTGACATGCTTAACTGGAGTTTTGAGGAACATATGGTTCGGCGGGAATCCTCTCATAACTGCATTGACGTATGACTTCGCGCCGTCCGCGAGCGTAAGCCAGTCGGGCCTTGTCGCAACTGTACTTAGAAGATGATGATTCCACCTTGGCAATGATTGATTAGTCCCGAAACTCGGATCACTTCTATTCATTCGACTTACATGAAGCGCACAAGTGTTACAGCCGGAAACTCCAAGGTGCACTTATCCGGACTCGTACTCCATACTGCAGCCGTCATAGGAATTAGGTAGTCATTGCGAAAAGTTTCAGAGTACCCTTCTCTCTCCAGATACTGGCCGATGGTTTCTAGGGGTGTAGCTGAGGCTTCGGGGTTGAGATAGGCATCCTCATCGTCCTCTTTCAACAAATCAAGAGCAAATTTATTGAACCGGATGATATCGAAAAGAAGCCTCCACATCCTTGGGGAGAAAAGGTTCCTCCTCTGACAGAATAGGGAGCCCAAACTCGTCCCTGCCCACTCAAATTTCCCACGATCCCTCGAAACGCCAAAGGTCATCTGAGTGGGCACGGTCTTGACGTTGACATGATTGAGGAAATTAATGAAGTTTGCTGGGAATGGTTAGTAAATATGCGGGTTCGTAGATTAATTATTTACTGACGGTATGTTGCAGTATTAAGAACGATGAAGCCGGTGTCGACCGAGGTGGTGAATTTGCCCTTCTTCCATTCTACCGTATTGGTATGGCCACCCAGGCGGTCAGCCGCCTCGTAAAGATAGACGTCATGATGAGTGCGATTCAATGCCCATAGAGCACCAATGCCAGCAGAACCGCTGCCAACGATGGCGACCTTCTTCCTGGGCACCCAGTTAGTCGACGATGTCATCGATTTCTACAAGATAAAAGAGTACGAAAGCTGAGGAGTTGCTAAGAGTTTAGACAATAAAATATTCATAAAAGATATATTATGGAAGAAAGCGAGATTCAAGAATGAAGCATGTGATAGAGCATGAGGAAATACTCCGAGGAATAGAAGGAAGCTAACTATGCAGGTAGACTCCGTAGGCGACCACACAGCGTGGTCCAAGTTTCGATAGTCATACCAGATCGGCAAAGTGATGGTTGCAAACAAGAAAACGCGATTAACGCGAATGGAATGGAAAAGTTTCTGAACGAACAAATGAAGGAAGAAAGATATATGTACAATGTATTATGTAACAATGATAGTGACAATGACAATGACAGTGAAAATGACAATGACGGTACAGGGGGAAACTGCATACATGTATGGCAAGTACTACACGGACTTAGCCTCACATGCAAATGCAAATGCAAAATGCAACTGCAACTGCGATCGCAACTTACATATAGGTACCTTCCATACTATGTTATGTTAGGTACTATGAAGACCAGAGTAAGTAAGATGCGCTAGCACTATTCGGGTGTTGAAGCTGGATTAAATGGACCTTTGTTGCCGAGATGAACGTATGAGAAAATAGGAGAAGCCCCAGTTCTTATTTTATTCCTGATGTTATTTCATCTCACATCACGAACCTGTATCTTTGAACCCGTTTAGAGAATGATAAACCAAGAATGATAGACCAGGGTTTCCACCAGCCGCCATATTTTTTATTTTTTTTTTTTATTTCTGAGACAACTGCATTGGCATTGAATGCATCCATTTGGAGCTTGCACAAATCTATACGGCGCCGGATGATTTACCATCCGAGACACGTCATTATCGAAAATGGCCGATTCAAATACAATCGAAACCACGCACACACACGCACCCATAGCACAAAATTATATATACATGTATCAATAGGACTTATATCAATACCTAAGCAACAACCGACTAATTGGCTTGTTTATCGGTACTGGTCCGACAGATCAGTTTCTTCGCCTATTAGACGATTCAACAAAACTTCCGGACAATCCAAACATAAACCTGAATGTTTTGCCCAAAAAAATGTCGAGGCTCAACGGGATCGAGTACTCATAGGCGGCAGTCCGAAAACCATCCGTCTAATGCCCAATTCTTAGAAGCTCCATGTTTTAGTCTGCCCGGCTAATACAACTCCACGTCCGTCGTAAAATAGAACGCAGAGCCTAATTATTCTGCTTTCCGGGGGTTCAACTTTCATGGAGAAGAAAAAAAAGAAAGGAAAAAAGAGAAAAAACTTCGAAAGCCTAAAAAATGATTGAAATAGTTTTTTTTTCTTGTAAGATGTGAATCCCCACTATTACTTACGTAAGGGGTCACGTATAAAGTATGTGGCTAAATATGCAAGAAAGATCCACTTATTAAAGCGTTCCACATGGTACATGGTCTGGACCACATTGACGGATCTGGGAAGTTGTAAGAGTCCCCAGTCCCCAGTCTCCAGTCTCTCCTGCAACCTTCATTACAATTACAATACACTAGTAAGCAAACAAGCAGGCAGGCAAGCAGGCAGGGCAGACAGGCATACATTTATCCTATTTCTCATTTTGCAATATCCATTTATCGTCAGTCTTTCTCCGTGACCCTTCCGAGACGACAGACCAGAAGCGATAGACGTAACCGACCTTGCCCATCCATCATGGCCAACCCACTCGACACCGACGCTGGCTCTGAGCTGTTTAGCAGCTACGAAGCCGAATTCAAGCTAGTCCAAGCCGACCTAACCCAGAAGCTCGATCAGATTCCCGAATTAAATGGCGAACCCCGCAAAGCTGCAATCGCCGCCGCTGAGCGCGCCCTCGAGGAGGCCGACGAATTGGTAATGCCGCCGCCCCTCCCGACTCCTCTCTCAGGTTCTTCATGCACACGCTAACACGGTCCCCAGCTCGGGCAAATGCGTCTCGAAAAGCAAAACATACCCTCCTCCTCGCGGCCCAAGATAAACCAACGTTTCCGGAACCTCGAAACCGACGTAGACGGCTACAGGCGCAAACTGCGCACTCTCTCCGATGACCGAGCCGCGCTCTTCGGCTCCCGATACACGGACAACCCGACGCCCTCCGATCTGCAGCTCGAGCAGCGGCAGCAGCTACTCAGCGGGACGGACAGGCTATACCGCAGCTCGCAACGTCTGCGCGCGAGCCAGGCCCTCGCTCACGACACGGAGCAGATCGGCGCCGGAACCCTGGCTGACCTACACCAGCAGCGCGAGAGGATCGCGCATACGTCCCAGATCTTATACGAGAGCGAGGGTTATGTCGATCGTAGCGTTAAGACGCTGAGGGGTATGGCTCGTAGGTAATGACGTTTTGCCCTTCCCCCTTTTGCTTTTTTTTTTCTTTTATACGCATCTCTGTAGATAGGAAGGTGGGTAGGTATAAGATGAGGAAAGAAGAAAAATGAAGACCTATGGTGCTACGTAAGAGGATAACATGGCTAACGAAAGGAACCGCGTAGGATGGCTACGAATCGGGTGATCACCATCGCTATTATCGCTGTCCTCGTGATCCTGATCTTTGCTGTGATCTACAGCAAATTCAGGTAAAGACGGGAGGAGAGAGGTTTTATCAACTGGCTGGCTGATTAGTTGGCTTAGCCGACCGGACCAGCCAGCCAGGATAGAAACACCCTGTGTAAAAATCCCCCGCTTGCGCGGTCTCACAAAAGGTATCAACCAACTAAACCAACCACGGCGTCCGGAGCGTAAACAAGGGGAGGGCCCTCGACGGAAATATTGGAATAATGATCACGGTCGTTTTCTCTCGTACATATTCCTCCTCGAGTTGTTCGTTATCGTTGTCGTTGCCACTCTATTATCATGTCACGATACTTGTCGGTTTTGCAGTCGTGGGATTGATTGTTTTGTTGTCTTTTGACGAATTGGGTTGCTATGGAAATAGCTAGCTAGCTTAATACGAAGGATAATGATGTATTGTCATTCCGCCGTTAGTTTAGTAAAGAGAAAATAGGTATGAAATGAAGTATATTTTCCTAGTCCTTTGTGAAACCTGTTACGCCGTAACCCACTCAAGGGAATAGTGTATAAACGTTGAAACATGTAGACATGAGAAGTAGACATCTACATAGATCAGCTACAGCTGCATGTGCAGTAGCCCACCTACTTAGTTAAATCTGCGCGTATGCGCTATAAGCGGGTATCAAACTCGGATTGGCATCGGGCGTCTGTATCCCCCAGCCAGAGAGTTAAACGGTTTATCTCCTCCCCGGAGACTTCGGCTTCCCGACCTTTCCTCCAAATGCCGGACCGTGCCTCTTCTCTTGCCCGAGGCCACGTCTGCCCGCTGCGATACCACCTTTTCCGCTCCTATTCCCGCCGCGCATTCCGCCGCCACGCGTAGGTCGGCCTCCCCGAGAACCAGCACCGCCCCGGCCGCCGCCCCTGTTGATATGCGTCTTGATAGTGGAGATATTCTTCTCATCGACGTCCATCTCCCCGTCCTCGTCGTCATCGTCTTTGCCTCTTCTATTAGAGAACTTCAACCTGCCGCCTCGGCCCCTCCGCCCAACATCCTTGCTCTTCAGCGCAGCGACGTACGCTCCAACACCAGACTCCTCGCCGCCTTCGCCAGGGGTATCGATGACCATGGCATCATCGGCACCGTCCTCTTCGCCGAGGATTAGCTTGCCGTCCAAGTCCGTCTTAGCTTTGGTCTTGCCCGCCCTACGCAGCTTGCCCGGTTTCGTGGACGAGATACTTGCGAGAGCCTTGCGGTCCAAAAGATCTAGGGGCTCGTCCTCGTCTTCCATGATGTACGTGGAGCCGCCCTTCTGTGCTTTGCGTGATTTTCCGAGGACTTCAGCGTCGGAGTCGTCAGAATCATCCGACTCTTCACTACTGTATAGAGCTTCGTCGTACTCGCTTTCGAATCTGCTTCGTCGCCTTCCGCTCCGCTGGTTTTCATCCTCGTCGTTACCTTCCTCCTTAGCAGCGTCCTTCCGTCTCTTGCTGCGCTCCTTGGTCTTGCGGATGTTGGTTAGCAGCTTCCGGTCAATCTCGGGGCAGTTCCGGTTGACGGCGTCGAAGCCAAAACGGCGGACCATTCGTTCTATAATATGCTTAACCTTCGCTCTAAAGTGGCCCTTGTGCTCATGCGCCCACACCATCAAGTTCGGAACCATAGACGGTAGGCGAGGTATCATCATCTCCGTTGGCAAGCTAATGACACACACTTTCACGAACCCTAGAACACTCTTCACGATTTCGCGGTTGTTAGAGGTCAAGAAAAGATCCATCGTCTGTACAAGGTCATTCAACACGTCCTTGCTGACAATCTCGCGGAACTCGTAAAGGATGCGAGTAAGAGCGGTAATGGAAGCAGATATCATGTGAGGTGTGCTGCCCGCCAGACCGGCGCTAACCATGGTAAAGTATTCCTCGATGCCTGCGGGAACTGCCGGTGCGTCGTTTGGCATATGAGGAACCTTGCTGTTATCGATCAACTTGCCTTTCGCTTCCGCTAATGTCCGCCCCATGAGAACAAGAAGCTCGAAAGCCGAAGTTCTAGCCTTTTCGTTATTCTCCTTACAGCAGATAACCACCTCGGAAAGTACTGAAGGAATAAAATGGAGCGACGTATCCGGGATGAACGGCATCATTGCACTAATTGCCGCTAAGCGTTCCCTCCGCGCAGGAACTGAGACTTTCTCTGCACTCGACAATACCAATTCCTGAAGCTCTACATGTCGCTCCTGAAGCGCTATTTTACCCTTGTTGGATTCAGCAAGTCGTGGGATAAGTTTATAGGCTTTTTTCTGTAATTGAGGGTCATCATCCCTCACAATGATCAAAGCTGCAATATTGAAGAGGGTCCCGAAGCTTTGGCGAGGAAGGTAGATAGATATGGTAATCACCAAGTCCATCAAAGTTTGAGCTGTAGAGGGCATCTGGTCTTTTGACTTTTGACCCTTATCTTTACCAGCCTCGCCTTTAGCTTCGTTCAACGAAGAAGCTAGCATCGTGCTGACACGATCAAAAGTTCCAATAAGTTCCTTCTCAGGGGTGATACTCAAATAGGCATTAATAGTCTGGAGTATAGGACCTCTAGACTGAGGAAGCGTCTGGCTGTAGACGTTGAAAAGGACTGCCAGGAGGTTGCCCGCAAAGGTCCCGAGGTACGCCAGATTTTTCTGAGCATCTTCTTTAGAAACTCGACTTCCGAGGATTAAATCATCTTCGCTTTCCACCGAAACCACAGCTTGATTAGACTCGACAAGGGCCTTGAGTGCTCGGCAGACGTCAAGTCTGAGATCGACCTGTCTATACAGAAGATTGGCAAGCATCTCGGCAAATTGCTGATCGAACGCCACCGTCAAATCCAGGGGGAGGTTGCAGTATCCCGGTAGAATCGACCAGGTCTGATAGACTATGGTCTCAAAGATCTTAGTCTCCATCGTCTTAGCATCTCCATTGTCCATAATGCGCTGAAACATTGCCTCGCTTAGCGGAATGAATTCCGCCTTGAAGTGCTGAAGATTGGTATTGGCAGTATAATCTCTGAGTATTGGTAGCATCCAAGCTCGACCAGGTTGACCTGTAACTGGCTTGACAAGGTTGAGGGGGAGGACGCTCAGAACGGCTTCAGGCCCCATCGCCAGGATTGCCTTTCCAATCACCTCGTCCGCCTCCTTTTTACCCATGAAAGAGTCGTTTCCGCGGAGTTCGCCAACCGCTCGCACAACGTTCAGCATCATCGGGTTGGCGCGCCACCTAAGCGCATCAAAAATGGCACCTAATACGTTGAATGTTTCCATCCAGGCGGATTGGTATTTGATACTGAGGAGACTCTCGGCAATCTTAGCTATCTTCTCAAGGATCTTCTCGTCGTATATCGAAGGCTCGATTATGACTTGATCAGGAATACAGTTCACCATGAACGAGATTAAACATTCCGAAGCGGAGACCTGTATGTTGTGCGAGGAGGATTCCATAAACTCAGATACCATGGTAAACAGATCCGGGAGCTTTTGAAACGTCTCGTCCGGCTCCATCTGAGAGGAAACATCATAGCCTCGCGATAGTATGGCAATCCAAGGAGGCAGCAATTGAGTGTCATTAGACGAAGGGCGCAGCTCGGAGATGGTCTCGAGGAGACGGGGTAACTTAGCAGACGCAATCCCATCCGCCATACCCTCGAAAATCATCTCGAAGATTTCAAAAACAGCCATTGTCATATGTTCATTCCCGGTCCTGGCGATACCAAGCAAGAGTTCGCATAGCGGCTCAATGTTCTTACTCGGCCAGCCACCGGTCGCCGCGGCTACTGTCCTTACAAGCTGCAGAGCATGTATAAGTGCGGGATCATGTTCCGACGATGATTTCTTCTGCTTCCTCAATGCGGCAGCTTTGCTCGCTATTTCGGTCAAGGTCCTCATTGCAGACTCGGCGCACAGGTCCGCTGCGGGATGGTCCAAGGACGGACTCGGGGGAGGGTTCTGGAGGACTTTTCGCAAAGCCATCTGGGCGCGCTTTCGTACTTTCGGCCTATAGTCCATCGCAAGATGTAGAAGACCGGCGACGGCTCGTCGCGGGCTTATTTCGCTTGTCGGTAGTTTCCATGCTGCTGCATCCTGCGCAAGAAGCAGATTTTCAAGGCACCCTATCGAGGGCCGCAGTAAAGGCGCCTCTGCATTTTGAAGCAACAGGACAGGCGCTAATAGCGTGAGAATCTGTGTGAATTTGGATCTGAGCAAAGGTTGCGGCGCGTAAGGCGTAACTACATCGAGTAGATAAACAGTTGACGGTGTCAACTCGTTGTTAACCTTCCCGCTCTCGAGTGATTGGTTCAAAAGGGCCAAAAGCGCAGCAAAGTATCCTGTAGGCGTCGGTTGGGTGCCCTGTTCCTTCAGCGTTTCCTCCACAGCTTTGAGAATAACTACGGTCTAGCATGGTCAAAGTTAAGTTAGTAACCTAGAGCTTGTGCTTCAAGATGCCGGTTCTACTGACCTGTTGTTGGCTCTGAAGATTTGGCGACCGGATCTTGTCCAGCTTCTCTTCCAGAGTCGACATTTTGAAAATTGCAATCCGTAGATGCTTGAATTTGTGAAGTTTCGGGACTCTTGCCCGTCAAAGGAATTTTAGATTTTTTTGCTTATCAGGTGTTATCGCTTATCGATCAAGACGACCCCCACCATTGGTCACCTATACCTTCATGTACGTACCTACCTAGGTACATCAGGTAACTAAGTATCAAGGGAACACCAATGAACCGTGCTATAATTAAATACTCACTATATTCATAATTCCTGTAATAACAATTTCAAGATTTATCCAGAATAAATTCGCAGTAATTGAAGACTAAAAATTTCAATCTCACGGCCCACGGGGTAGCTTATATTAATGGAGTTGACATGCGGAAGGATCATCTCAATACTGGTCCATCCCCGTCATGAGCGCCCTCTGGTCTTGTCCAGCTCATATTTCTAATCCAAGCAACGCATGAGAACTCCATCTTACTAATCACGAGATGATGACGGTGACGGTGACGATGATGATGATGATGCATTATCGTATTTGTCACGCGCCCTACCCATACGCCAAAACATCAAATCCGGCTTGCACTTGTCACAGAGCCTCCGCTCTCCAGTTTATAACGCCACAGGTCTGTCTAAGAGAAGTCCTCACCGGCCTCTTCGATGCTATTCTTAACCCGTACAAGAATCGTAGTCTTCCACTTGTCAAGTTTGCTTAGTTGGTCGTATTGGAATAGTTTGTCCGTAAACTGGTCTTGGTCACCAGCATCGACGGCAGCGGCCAGATCCACTAATAACTGATGTTCTCGGGTGCTCGGGAAAGTCGGGTCTTGATCTCGATACTTCTCAAGTGCTCGGTTTGTAGCAACCATATCACCTGTCGCTAGGTGGCAGATACCTGCCTTCAGGAAGTAGTCCTTGACCGAATAACGCATCAAATTGTTATTGATCGACGCCGCCGCGACCTTCTCGTAGTGTTCGATCGACTTATAGTAGTCGCCTTCAAGGGCAGCAATATCTGCTACCTTAAGCCATAACTTGTTCGCAAGCCTGGTTATTCGCATTAGCTTCCAAATAACTTATCATGGTCATAGCATAAGAGGAGTACTGACGCAGCCGCATTGTCGCCTTCGTACCACCCGGCGGCAGTCTCGTATGCCTCGAGCGCACGCTTGGTATCACCAATCTCGGTCTCGAAAACCTCACCCATGTTCTCCTTGTGCTGCGCCGCTCGCCTGAAATTCCCCTTCTTGCAGTACTGGCTGACGGCGACCTCAAGGCATCGCACGGCGTCTTCCGGATTCTCTTTCCGGTAAACTTTGAAGGCGTCTACGAGGGTATTTGCGGCATCGTCGGGTTCGTTTAGTTGCTTGCTCTGGACCGCTGCCGCCTTCTCGAAAGCCTGACCAGCCTCCCGGTTCATCTTCTGAATCCTAAAGGCATTCGCTGCCTCAACATACAGATCCGCTGCATTTTGGTATTTCTCTTCTCGACCACCAAAAAAGCTAAATCCGCCGGAAGCGCTGGAGAGCGCCTTGTCTGCCTACGTTGACGATCGACGTTAGCGACCGTGTAAGTGGGTATGGGGGAGAGGATGATGGCGGGGCAGGCCAACCTTTTGGAGTAGCGCACGAGGATCTCCAGCCATGGTGATAGAATTTTATGTCGTTGGTATATTCAAGGAAAGAAGAATTTATAGTAATAGTAGATGGATGGTTTTAACTTTCAGTTCACGCCAATGTTCAACGTCGACAAAGGAGTGAGAATGAGTAAAGTAGAAGTTTCGGATTGCGACGAGGCTCCCTGACGTTAGGCAAGTACCTGCTTAAGCTAAGCTTAGGTGCTGTAGCCTGTAGCCTGTAGCCTGTATGACATCGCACCTTGTCTCACATTGAACCCTTGTAAGTACCTAACTTACCTAATCTACCTGGCTGGCTTTTAGGTTACATTAGGTACAACGTAGGTACCTCAAGTCAGGTAGATATGTACCTAACATACTTTGCACATAGGTAGATAGGTACCTAGGTATTCACATTTCACTCAGCATGGGGTGGGTACATGGCCGGCCCAGCCTCGAATCTATTACCACCTTCGACAGGGATGTTCCATTTCAGCAAAGCATCTCCACATCAACTAATTAAGCTACATACCATACCTACCTACCTACCTAACCTCACGGAAACGTTCACACCTTAAAGAAAAAAAAGAAGAAAAAATTTGAGTCTTCTTATATTAGGTACTATTCAGTCAAACACGAATATCAATGAATTCGCGAATTTGTAACCATTGCCGCAAGGCATTATACCAATCCCTACAAAATCACCAACTACGTACACTATCCTCAACCACCACCCGCCAAATTTCTTCCTCTTCCGAGTCCCTAGCAGCTCTCCTCTCAAAGCCAACCTGGTCTGTCAGGTCCCTTCTCCCAGAGCCATCCTCGAACTCCCTAGTAGATACCGAAGCCGAAATAACCCCCCAGACCCTACATCATCTCCTGCGTCTATCCGCTCTCCCCCCACCCTCCTCTCCTTCAGAAGAAGCGCTTATGCTCTCAACACTCACCTCGCAACTGCACTTCGTCCGCGCGGTCCGCTCTGTCGACACAGCTGGCATCGAACCTCTGCGCGCGATACGCGACGAAACTAGTCTCGGCCAGCGAGAGCAAACCATCGGGTTAGAGCAACTAAAGGACGCCCTTGCGAACGAAAACGTAGTAGGCCATGCCCGACGCCCGCGGCGACGACAGCAGCGGCAGGGAAGCAGTGATGTCACAAATCCAGAGGCCGAAGCATGGGACGTGCTCGCTGGAGTCGGCGAGACTGCGGGGCGGTATTTCGTAGTCCGGACGGGATCGACCGCTGGTCCGGCACACATAGATGCAAGACAAGAAGAGAAGACGAAAGAGGCCCAGTAATAATCATAACGTAAAATGACTATCAACTGCGACTTGTGTAAGTATATTCCTCCAATCTACTACTGCCTTGTCTGAATATGCTGTCCTGTTCCCTGTACATACACCTCGAACTGCTTTTAATACGAAGGATGATGCTTAGACTATCTTACAGCGCAATCCCCCATAACAAAATCCATCGCAACTAATAAAAATGCATTGATGATGCATTGTAATTTGGTCAACACCAGCCCTCGGAACTGAAATAGTATGCGTCCTTCCGTTATTGCAAAACTTAAAATCCGGATCAGTGCGTCCCAGGAGGGCGTTGCTACTTGCTACCCAGCTTCACACCTTTCATGCCCTTTATGATCGCTCTGGTATCTTCCTTGAGCTTAGTTTGGATCTTCTTCTCCCGCTCTTCGTCAAGTTTCGCTTCGGCCTTGATCTGGGCGTTTAACTTGTCCGTCTCCTTCGTGATTTCTTCATAAGAGATGTCCTCCCAGCCGAGCTTCTTTAGGATACCGCCGACGAGATGCTGGTATCGAAGGTGATTGGTGCCTACCTCGGTCATATCGAAGTTTTCGACATTTGATACACCTCGAATCTTCTGCAAGCCAGCAACACCGTATTGCCAACTGCTGCTGCGATAGAGGAAGCCTAGCGTGTAGTCTTTGGTGGAGAAGACGTTTACCAGTCTGCTGGCAACAACGCTCTTCATCGTTGCCCAAACGCGAACTTCGGATGGGCAAGGTGCGCCTATAAGAACAGCGTTCTCTACCAGCCCAAAAGCACGTTTCTCGGCTAGAATCATCAGGCAGCAATAGATTATACGGGCCCCCAGGCTATATCCTATCAGGGTAACAGGTCTATCTCCGTAGATTCTGTTGATTAGAACGTCGGCAAGCACTGCACCTGCTTTTTCAGCTCGGACTATCCCTATACACCAAGGATTCTCAATGACCTTGCTGATCTTCACAAGAGGCGCAGGCCATATAGACTTCGTCAGCCTGTCGAAGACTAGAATGAAAACATTAGCTTGTATTCTGTCATAGCATAGGGGGAGTATTTACCAGTCATCGAATTAAGTTCCTTTTTTGCTTCTCTCCAAGCTGAACTCTTTGTGAGCGTCTCTAGCGCTATCCCTATCTTCGTCAGAGCCTCCAGTTCCCATCTCATTGCATAGGCCTCGATCTGGTGACCGAGAAACTTCCAGGATTCAAGGAACTCGTCCGGGTTGGTGAGCAATCCGGTGATTCCTATAGTAACTCGCATTCTACGATTCTCAGCAGGCACATCCTTAGGGTCGATGATCCCGGACGTATTGGTTACGTGCAAAGGTATCATGCCGAAATCCAGGATGTCCTTGCCGTGCGCGTCGATCGTTTTACTTCCTTGTCGGGCTCCATACAGACCAAACAATGTGCCAACGACGACTGTGTTATCATTCACCGGTCCTAGCAGAGTAGCTGTCGCCGACGGATCAAGCCCCTTACCCCCAAAAACGGTACCGAGCCTAGCGGTGACGAGAGGGGCTGCAAGGACGCCGGGGTTTCCTCCCAGTGCTGCACTGGCCATTCCCGGCTTCCAGCGTCGGGAAGTTTTGGCTTCCTCCGCTCGCCGTTGGGCGATCTCCTCGATAGGGATGCCCAAGACAACCTTAGAGAGGGCTTGGGAGGCTCTGTTCTCATCCTGCAGCAAAACCCACATGGGGACAGTCAGCGATGAGGCGAGCCTTATCATTAGAATTCTTGAGTATAGGGAATATTGATCAAGCCCGAGCAGAATTAGCAGTATGCAATGCAACATTAAGCCTCGTTTCTCCTTGGGGCAATCCTTGAGGGGCGTAGGAATGGGGGGGTACAGTCGAACAAGAGCCAGCGAGGCAGCCTCAGCAGCCGCATTGGGTCCTAGGTTACTCAATTAGCCCCGAATAGAAAACAAATATGGAATATTGAGAGATTAGGAGGTTCAAAATGTGCATCGGAAGGGCATGACTATTCAACAAAAAAAAGAAAGAAAAAAGGAATTATGACGTTTGTTAGCGGCAAGCCTCTCGAGGAAGAACTTACCACTACCACTTGGCAACAGAGGTCTTCCTCTTGTGGCATTACCTCCTGATCGTCTTGTATTACCTAGTGGTAGGGGTGCCTGGCCGCCAATATTGCCAGCTGTTCCGCCGTTTTTTATCACGATATCCTGAATACGCTTGTGCAAGTTCACGCGCCATTTGCCGAAGTGCGCAAGAGCGTCTTTTTTAAGTTCGGCAAGACTTGAGGTTAGGATATCGTTTTCCGTCTTTTGGTACAGGTGGCGAACTTCCTCGGGAGACTTGGGCAGCTTTTTCGTGGGCTCATGTGTTTTTGCTGTGGTGCCAGCTTGATGACCGGGTCTCTCATTCTCCTTCTGGAGACTAGAGCTGGTGTTCTGGCCCAAGGCATCATTGCTATACAGGTTTCGATATTTCTCGCTACGGGGATTAGGGACGGTGTTGCACACTGGTTTGGGTGAGTTGATTCCTTGGTCGGGTGCAACGTAGCCAGGATCAAGATTCTCCAAGTTGTCGCGTATCTGTGTATGCATTTCTTCGGCAATGGTAGTGATAAGTTTTTGAAGAAGGTGTTTTTGTTCCGTGTTCATACAAGCACTGAGGTCAAGCTCAGTACGCTTGGGCGGACGCCCTCGCGTTGGGTTGTTGTTATTGTTGCGAGGCATTGTTTGGCCTTCGTCGTCGGATGAGCTGGTATAGTTGAAGCTATGTTCCATAACTGCAATTCCCCTTGGGCAGAGGGAAATTCGTCTAGATTTATAGGCGGGTACGCGGGGTCGCTGCTGCCACTGCTGCCGCTGTTGCGGTAGTCTCGATGTTTCTTAGGATGAGCAGGTACGTTGCTGTTGCTGAACTGACAGTTGCAAGGAAGGAGGTGACGAAGGAGATCATGAAGGAAATTACGGAGGAAGCAACGGCGAGCGTACCTACCTTTTTCTAGGTAGGTATCTACTTATCTACTACCTAGGTACCTACCAATATGGGGTTTTCATGGCAATACCTAACAAACCTCAGCGTCAACGTTATACAACACAGCTCGGCACTGTGCCATGCTCAATCCTATTAGTTACCTACCCTATGTATGCATGTGATGTCTGTAGGTACGTGCCATACAGGTCACAAGCGCAGATTGCCTGATGATAGCGATCTTTGGATGCCGTTAACGCTGCGGCTATCCGAATCCCATGATGTAACTTGTCCGTCTTGCATTAGGTAATGGGCAGGAACATAAGGCATATAATAGTAGAAGCCTATCCAACAGTATAGAAGATTGGGGACATGATGCCACAAAGGGGCATATACCTATGACACAGATAGGTAGAGTGACTCAGCTATAATCTTGGAAATTCACCAAGATACGCTGCCCCATGTTGAGGTTTGTAAACTGATTTTGGTTTCGGATATGAGATGGCTGGTAATTCTTTAGATTTCCCTTCTGTTATTCCTTCAAAGGAAGAGAAATATTTAACATGTCTTGCACCAAGGTAGATGAAGTCGGAGCTACCTACGGGAACAGCTGGATACAGCTGGACACACCGGACAGAAAGCATTTCTATGGGCAGTACATCAGATGCGGTGACGTTTCTGTATTACCATGCCGTGTTACCTGAGCAACTCTACTAAGGCACTTCATCGCGGCTACCTAATGGTTAAAAGTTGCGTGGTGTAGAGTTGAGGTCAGCTGCATCTTTCAGAGTTGAGACTTTAAAAATTCAAAGACGATCTATCTATATCTTTTAGCTTTAGATATTACAAAGGCTCTAGTTGTCATTTACAATCGCTTTTTTTGGTTTGGTTTGTTTTCTTTTCTTTTCTTCTGTGGTGTCTTGTTTGTGGTCTGGTCTACCTAGTCTGCTTGTATCGCAAACGAGACTACGGGCGCTTGCTCAGCTTGAACGCAGGGGTAATAAGCTCCTGTTCATTAATATGGATACTTCAAGGTACATCGGGTCCGCCACGAGGGCCCCTAGTAGCAAGTGGATATAGTGGGTTTTTAGCGCTTGGCAGCTCCAATAACAAGCAATTAACAAGGCTTCAGGTCCAGTAAATCCGTATACATCATGTACAAAACCCAATTTATCCAACAATAAAACAATAATTTCATGTCGGCTAGCTAGGCTGGATGTACAATCGTACACACAATGACTTTACATGCTCCTCCAGTCTCCAGTGCCTCAAGCGGAGGGGGTGCCAATTCCCTCCCGCACACGAACAATTGGATTTAATTGGATTTAATTCAACCCCTCGACGTCGCATCACGACGACGGGACCGAACTTGGATATAATCCAATTTCATGATTTGAACCTCCAAACCCCCACTCACCGATTCCTGAGCTATTGTTTTTTTCTGTTTCGTTATTTTTCTCGTTACCTTTGAACTTATTATACTCGTATAATCCCGTATATCCAACCCATTCGACACGCGGCTGGCCGAGGTCGAGTATCTCGCTTCCTCGCCAGAAGCTCTATTACGGAATTGTCACCCAACTCCCGACCCTTTTCTTTTTTTTTTTTTTTTTTTACGAGGGGAGTATCGTGTCTGTCGTGTTGGTAAGTATTCGGCCCCGTGGTTGCGACGTTGGTTGGGAATTAATATCCGCGATTTACGTTGCACGTTGGACCGCGTAACATTACACAGCCTTTTTTACTTGGTTAAAATATCTCCGCCACGGCCATCTGTCGGTGAAAGTCGTTTCTCGTGTCTCTCGCTTCCTCGCTCGTTCGAGTTCCCTTCGGGTCTCCTGTGTATAGTCACACCAAGACCTCAGCCCGCTGGAATCACAACAAGTGCGTGTTACATTGAACGATAATCTATAACGGCCTCTGATGAATCGGATGCTAAATTTCTTAATAGACTCAGGTGATTCGACGGCGTCTCAATTTACCAGATCCGGCCGAGCAGCGGGAGCGAGCCAAAGCAGCCGATTTTTTGCTCTCCTTCACCCTTGATGCCTTCGTCCCTGTCTAGCGCCGCCTCATCCAACCTCGATCCCCTTCACGGTTCCTTTATATATCCTTACTCGAAATATATCTCTTAATCCTTCGCTCTTAGGGCATTTCAAGTCTCTCGCCGCCCGATCCCCTCCCGAATATTATACCTCGGCACCTAGACAGTGTAGGCGAATTGAAGCCACGACATATACTTATAGTCATGAGAGCTCTTCGGCAAAGTCCTTATTAGCCCGACGTAGAGAATTACTAATTACATGACCTCGGTGCTCTACAATTGTCAGCTAACCGCATACTATTTGTCACAATGGAAAGCATCAACATCTCTGTCATAGGTGCCAATGGTGTGGGCAAGTCCCATTTCATACAGAGGGCGATGTCACTTTCTCGTCCGCCCGGCCCTAATCCTACGACAGCTCGTATCAATATCGACAACGTACCTTACGCTGTTACACTGTTTGAGTTGGATCTCGAATACTTTGACGTGGACCCCGATCGACAGATCAAGTGGCCTAAGCAAGCAGGCGGTGCTATCATCCCTCGCGTGAATGGAGTCTTGCTTTTATACGATGTGATGAACAGAGAGAGCATCATAGAGTTGCCTCAGACCTTGAGTAAGTGGTCACTCATCAGTGCCTTGCTCGAATGCGGGGAGGGCGCTTTAGATGACGAGCGACAACTAATTCGACTAGATGCTCTTGTGAATTCTTCACTACCCGCGGTCCTTGTTGCGACAAAGTGCGACAATCCTGAGAAGTTACGCCACATCGATACGGAGGCGGTCGCTGCCGCATGTCAATCTTGCCTCGCAACTTTTAAAACGTCAGCCAATAAGCCAGAGAGTGCGAGGATAGCTTTGTCTACGTTGTTAAAAGCATTGGTGGCAAGGAATCAGGGTAAGTACACCACCCCGAGGAAGCTCTTTGTTACGAGATAGGGCACCGGGGTTGTTCATCTATAGCTCAAGCAAAGCTTAGCTGCGTTTTATGGTCTATCATCTAACTATGAACTGTAACCGTAGACGTCGACAGCGTGGACGGGATAAGTAATTCAAGACGAAGGGCTGCTTCGGCTGCTCACCTTGATTTTCAAATAGAACCTACAAATACGCGACCGATAAGCCAACATAGCAAGCATAGCCGCGCTAGCTCGGATATGTCGTTACTTCGAGGTATATCGAACCAACCGGGAACGGATTACCGCCACTCCTCGAGACAACCTCGTCATGATCTTGCTGGAAACCAATTTTCAGAAGCTGCAGACGAAGATTCTGCTCAAATTATCTCTAGTATGCCCCGCACCCCTGGTATTAGGCTGGATCATACCCAGACCACCTCATTTCCTGATATTGACGACTCAGATGCGGACTCTATGCGATACGACGATATACCCCTGCTGCAACGGACCGATGAATCGGTATTCGAACGACCGGCGAGGAAAATAGGCGTTACCTTCGAAGAACTAATCGACCGTCTCATCGCTCCTAAAATGTCTAGAGCAGACAATAATTTCTTGGAGATCTTCTTGTGCTTGTACCGCAAGTTCGCCTCTCCGGGACAGCTCTTTTCATCCCTTTCGTCACGACTGGACCGCATTAAGGACGACAAGTCCGTCCATTACCTTACCAAGATATCCTCCCAGTTTCGAATTATCGAAGTGATCGCCAAATGGGTCGCAACCTACCCCGGGGATTTCGCGCGGCCGGCGACAAGAAGAAACATAGAAGACTTCATAAGACACTTAGCCACGGAACCGGCATTCTTTGCGGCCTCACAACAGATGCGCCAGACAATGGAATACGGCATAATCGAGGCTGATGACACAGGCTGGGAGAAGGCTGATAGCCTCGAGGATGTGCAACTAGACGATCGCGAGCTGAGTACAAGAGATACCAATAGGAGGTATGCTGAACTGTCAGAAAGTATGAGCTCTCTTGGTGTGGACGATCCGATCGAACGACGGCCCTCGGCTAGTTCGTCATTCCAAATGGATACTGGACCGCCATCTGGGCCTGCTGGGAAGATACACTCATTCCAGTCTCATTCATACGAGGACTACGAACGAGAGGCGGCGACGATGGTGCCCACATATACATTACCGCTAACTAAATTTCGGTACCATATATTCATGGACACGCAGAACGACGATATCGCCGATGAGATGACAAGGATTGATTGGGTTATGTTCTCTTCGATCCGGATACGCGACTTGATCCGCCATGTCAGCTTGTCCGCAGAGCAGAAGGAGAAGTGCAGAGCTATGAAGAACGTCAACCGTATGATTGCTCACTTCAACCATATCGCGACTTGGGTATCCAATATGATCCTCATGAGAGAAAAGGCCAAGCATCGTGCCCAGATGCTGGAGAAGTTCATGAATATCGCGTTGAAACTGAGGCAGCTAAACAACTACAACGGACTCGCGGCAGTACTGGCTGGTATCAATGGGACGGCTATTCATCGCCTGTCGCAGACCCGAGCGCTCGTACCAACGGACGTGCAAAAACGGTTTGCGCGGTTAGTGCTCTTAATGGGGACGCAGAAGAGCCACTTCGCCTACCGACTAGCATGGGAAAATTCACCATTACCGCGTATCCCCTTCATTCCTTTGCATCGTAGGGATCTTGTATCGGCGGAAGAGGGCAGCATGACAATGGTGGGGCCCCAAGGCGATCGAATAAACTGGAAGAAATTTGAAGTTCTAGGGGAAATCCTCTTGCCAATCATGAAGAGTCAGGGTACTCCATATCCGAACCTATCCAAGCATGATACGGCAAGGGAACTTATCTTAGATTGTTTGATGCCTACGGACGAAGAGGTGAGATAGAGCTTTGTCAGTTTTGATCAAATTATAACAGCGGAAACTAACGCAACGCTTGCAGGACATTTACCAACGAAGCGTCCAGGTAGAGTCGCCGAGTGGCGTCTCTTCGGATGCCGGGAAGAAGAAATTCCCATGGTTTGCGAATTCAAAGTGATAGCTGGCGCTGGAATTCAGTCTTCAACGGGATGATTCGTTTCGATATTGATCCCCAATCCCCCCCCGAGAAGCGGAGTTGGCGTTGGGAAGAAGATATGAACCTATATTGACCTTATCGCTGGACATGGTATTCTTGTAGGTGGATTTGAGCGAATTTGGCAGATATCTATTGGGTTGGATATTCATTATTTATTTATTTATTTTATATTTTATTTATATTATTAGGACTTCTAGACTCTCTTCCCCCCCTCGTATCTGTGACTTATTGATGGAAGCTCGCGAGGGAGTTTTGGTAGAATTAGCTCCCTCGGTGCTACTCGATAGGTGGTCATTTTATTTTGCGGTTTTATCATTCGAAAGTGTGGATCGTGTGTTGTCCGTGTTTAGCAGAATAATACCACATTTACACGTATGTACTATAACGCATGCACCTTACCTACATGATGTAGGTGGCATATATTGACATGTGCCCCGCTGTGGTCCACGTACATTATATAGATTGCCTACTACAGGTACCTATCAATGCCTGCCTAACCTAATACCTTTATTTATTTACCTATATATTTATCTTGGTTATATACAAACCTACCTATGTATGTATATACGTACATCCCTTACATAGGTACAGGTATAAAGTGCTACAGACTTACATGTGAATGTATGTGATACCTATATGTAAGCTACCTGTATTATGAACCACATTAGGTATAAACCAGGGCTATATGTGCATATGTAGGTAACTGTGTCTTTACGTACATGTATCCTACCTGGTTGGGTATACACATTTCTGCAAGTACATTATGTATTGATAATAATTTCTATAGGTACCCAATGATGATGTCATAGCTGCCCGCACCTATAGTTTACCCCTCCTCTCCTTGCTGATGTTGTTGTTGTTGTTGATTTTTTTTTTTTCCTTCCCCTTATCACGGCCTCAAGTTAGTTTGATAGGCCTTGACGCAACAACGTCCTCGTGCATCGCCGTAGCTTCAATCTGACTAGCTCCCTCCAACTCACTCTGCCGCTAACCCATCGGCTTACCTGAATAAGATAGTAGAATATCAAGCTCTGCAGCTGCAGGCCTACCTGAAATTGATCTACAAGTCCCAATATCTCCTTTCTCTTGTCTTTCCACCTTTTCGTTGATATTAACCTTCGTGCCTTGTGTGCTGTTGAACGCCTAATTGCCTTTCCGCTCTTACCTTGGTAGTCAATCTTCGCCATCTATCTTGCTTGTGCAGTTTGTTCTATCAGACTGCCCTTCCAACATGGTTGTAGTCGACAACCACGAGTACCTCACTGAGGAAGAAAAGCGTCTTCGGGAAGATAGGAACCGCGTTAAATATTGGAAGAAATGGGGTCCCTACGTTGCCGAACGACAATGGGCTACAGGCAAGCAGAGTTGATGACCTCGTTCCGACCAGCTATTCAACTGACCTTTTGAAACTTAGTCCGAGAGGATTATAGCGCAGATGGCGATGCTTGGAGTCGTAAGCGCTTCTCTCATAATCTACCACTCACCTGTTAATTCGTCTCTACTCGCAGATTTTACGCACGACCACGCCCGATCTCGAGCATTCCGCTGGGGGGAAGACGGCATAGCTGGAGTGTCAGATACGCATGGCCTACAGAACATTGCATTTGCTTTCTGGAACGAGCAAGAGTAGGTGTTAAGCTCCTTACGACTAACTTCTTACTGACGAATGATAGCCCCTTTCTAAAGGAAAGGCTTTTCGGCCTAGCGAACCCGCAGGGTAATCATGGCGAAAGTATCAAGGAAGCACACTTCCACCTCGATAACACACCTGTAAGACTCAGATGTAACTAACACCGTGGCTGTCGCTAACGATATAATTGTAGACAGTAAGAAATAATAAGACAAACTCTACCCTCGGTCACTACTGACGTCCGCCCAGCACTCTTATATGAAATACCTCTACAAATACCCGCAGAAGGCCTTTCCCTACGAGGATCTCATAGAAACGAATGGGAAAAGGACGAAGGAGGAAAAGGAATACCAGATCATTGATACTGGGATATTCGACGAGGATAGATACTGGGACATTATAATCGAGACTGCCAAGGAAGCGGATGATCCCGAGGAGATACTCTTCCGAGTCACGGCATGGAATCGAGGTCCGGATCCAGCTCCACTCCACATCATTCCCCATGTCTGGTTTCGCAACACATGGGCTTGGGGAAGGGAGACAGCAGATAAGAAGCCAGCTATCTCATACTTCACCGAAAACATGGCCAAATCGAGGCACCATAAACTAGGTGACCGATACATGCTATTATCACCCTCGCCAGGTGTTGGAACTAGCGGAGAGGATGTTGAGCCAGAACTTATCTTCACAGACAACGACACCAACTACGAGCTACTGTACGACGGCGAGAATCAAGTCCCATACGTCAAAGACGCATTCCATCAATACATCGTCGACGGGAAGAAGCAAGCCGTGAACCCGGCCAGGACGGGCACAAAATGTGCTGCCTGGTACCAATTTAACGAGTCCGGGGGTGTTGGCCCTGGCGAATGTGCCGGTACGCTGTTAATGAATTCACAACTTAACTATATCCGGGGTGTCAATTAACACGCATGATAGTTGTTCGTTTCCGATTTACGAGGAAAAATGAGAGTTACCTAGACGAAGAAATATTCGATGATATCATTGAAAAGAGACGAGAGGAAGCAGATGAGTTTTACTACAGGATCAGCCCCTTACCGATGTCTGAGGATCTTCGCAACATCCAACGCCAAGCATTCTCGGGCATGATGTGGTGTAAACAACATTACCAGTTCATATGGGACCAGTGGGCTAATGGCGATCCCTCCCAGCCACCACCTCCCCCCGAGAGGAAGGCGATTAGAAATTCCCAATGGAAGCACTTACATATTGACGATGTCCTGTCCATGCCGGATTCCTGGGAATATCCCTTCTTTGCGGCATGGGATTCTGCGTTTCATTGCATTCCGCTTGCTATGATCGATCCAGAATTTGCGAAGAAGCAAATTGATCTGTTCACCAGAGAGTGGTACTGCCATCCAAATGGCCAGCTTCCTGCGTACGTGCTAATGCGAGAGAGAGGGCAAACAAGTTCTCAACACTAAAACATATGCTGACCTGATTACAGATACGAATGGAACTTTAGTGATGTCAACCCACCAGTCCATGCTTGGGCGACTTTCCGTGTGTTCAAGATTGAGCGCAAGATGTACGGAAGACAGGATCTCGACTTTTTGGAGAGAGTATTCCAGAAATTACTATTGAATTTCACCTGGTGGGTTAATCGAAAGGATATGGACGGAAAAAATGTCTTCGAAGGAGGCTTCCTTGGGCTAGACAACATCGGTCTCTTCAATCGTTCCGAGCCCCTTCCGACAGGAGGTGTTTTAGAACAGGCTGACAGCACGGGGTGGATGGCGTTCTACTGCTTGAGCATGCTCAACATCGCGCTCGAGCTTGCCAAGCATCGGAGAATCTACGAGGATATTGCCTCGAAGTTCTTTGAACATTTTATATTCATCAGCGATGCCATGACATTCAAGTCAGGTGAAAAGGATGAGAAGTCGTTATGGAATGATGAAGATGGCTTCTATTACGATGCCATTTCATGGGGCGGGCCTTGGATTCAACAACTACCTGTCCGATCACTCGTGGGGTTGATTCCGCTCTACGCAACACTGACTCTAGAACCGGAGCTAATCAACAAATTACCTTCGTTCAAGAAGCGCGTGGATTGGTTCATAGAGAACCGATGCGACTTGGCCGAAAGGAACATGGCAAGCATTCGGAAAAGGGGTAAGGGGAATCGTATCCTTCTTGCGATGGTAAGCAAAGATCGATTGGAAAAGATTCTGAAGCGTATGCTCGACGAGGATGAGTTCTTGAGCGAGCACGGTATCAGATCGCTATCGAGATACCATAAAGAACATCCATACTCTATGGACGTCAATGGTCAAAAGTTCACGGTGGGATATGTCCCGGGTGACTCTGATAGCGGGCTATTCGGTGGTAACAGCAACTGGAGAGGTCCTATTTGGTTGTGTGTTAATTTTCTCCTGGTGGAATCGTTGCAGCGATTCTTCCTCTTCTACGGCCCGACTTACCAAATCGAATGCCCTACCGGATCCGGTGAATATATGCACTTGGGACACGTTTCCGAAGAGATTCAACATCGGTTACAGCACCTATTTGCCCGTGGTGATGATGGACGTCGAAGTATCAATGGCGGAAATGATATGCTGGACTTTGACCCGAACTGGAGAGATTATATGTGGTTCCATGAGTTCTTCGACGGCGACACGGGTCGTGGACTGGGAGCTACGCACCAATGCGGTTGGACGGGCCTAATCGCACGTATGATTCACGATACAGGGTAAGCTCTTCCACGCACACACACACACACACACATCTTCCGTTCAGTTATATTAGGTACTAAACCCGCAATAGTATAAGCTGCCGCCTTCCGCAGACCCCTCGCACACCGACAGCCGGTATGTCGCACTACTTCGACGACATCCTACATCGACACGTGGGTATCGGCATCAGCAAACCGCAGCGGGGCCACATGCGGCGGTCGTCCACAGCGCGATCCATCAGCGCACGCAGCGACTTCGACGCATCGGTTAACGGCGAAGAATTCGATGTTCGCAGCGTGGTACCGGATGACTCGGAACGAGAGGCCCAGCGTAAGGAGGCAGATGCTCATCTGCACCAGTATATCTCGGAACAGCTTCAGCGGGTTAAAGACCATGATGACTTTGAGGGATTGGCAGACAGGGATGAGTACGAGACACATTTATAAATCTTACAAGGATTTAAAGGAAGTTGGTCATAAGAGAATTACTATATGAAAGATTGGATGACGGGGATGAGAAGATGTAGAGAAGAAAAGGGAGAAAGGAGGAGAGGGTTTACGAATATACGCAGATCAGATATACAGATATAAGGCACATAAGAAGCTACGGCTATATTGTTTAGTTGGTTAGAAAGAATACGATTGTGCTCAGCATATGATGGGATGCCTTGACTCCTTATACAACAAAATGTCCAAATCGTGCTACGTGATGTAAATGAGTGAAACGTCATGCCGGCTAGGGCAACGTACCGTGAGAGTTAGTTGCAAAAATATTACGGAATTCATAGCCCGGTGGTCTATACCCTCAATACGGTCGTAATTCGAATAATACTATTCGCGGTAAAGGTTCGTTAGGCAAAATTTGGACGGGGGACGAATGCTTCCTCTATTTTACGAGCCTATACACAAATAGTATCTCCACAGGGACACCAGTCTTCTAGCCACGATCGCCTCTCCAAAGCAGGTTGCCATGCTCTCATCAAGATAAAGGGAAGTTTATTTCACAAGGTGTCAGTTAGGAGCTTGTTCAGCTTGGCAATCTTGGCCGAGACCGAGAGGTCGATTGTCCTGTCTCCGATCTCCACGACGAGACCTCCGATGATGTCCGGGTTAACCTGGTTGGTGACCTTCAGCTTCTTGCCCTGTCCGACGTAGGGGGACTTTGCGATGGCGTTTTCGATGCGGACGAGAGTCTTGTTGTCCAATTGCTGTGACGAACGTTAGCATATTTATCCCGTGTAACCCCCCATCGTACGCTCCGAGTTGGGAGTTCCGTACCTGCGCACTGGTAACAACCAGCTCCACTTCGCCTCTGGACGCTCTCACGATCTGGTTGAACTTCTCGGAGACGCCCTGAAGTATTCCCAGACGGTTGTTCTCAGCCAGGGTAGCGAGGAAGTTTTTGACGGTATCATTCGAGCTCGCAGGACCTATGCTCTTTTGCAACTCCGCAACGATAGCGCTCTTCTCGCTGTCGGTAAGCGTAGGGGTGTTCAGGATAGTGGCGAGCTTGGTATCCTTGGCAAGGAGGTCACCAAGGGCGCTCAGAGCCTTCGCAGCCGGATCGAGGGACGAAGTCTTGACAGCGGCAGTGTACTAAATAGCTCATATCAGTCAAAAGTTCGGCTTTATTCCGGGATCGACCAATGACTCCGTCTATAACATATCCTCCTCAATTGGACCCTGATGTACATCCCGGGAGCAAGCATCAGGTTTCGAGAGGGGGGTTGGCGTACCAAAGCAGTAGCATAGGTACCGTCGAGGCCGTAGACGGCAACGGGAGGTTTGACATCCTGGGCAGCAGCGGCGGCGGCGTATGAGCGTACGGGAGCGCGGGCGAGGGTCCGCTGAGGAGCCGCAGCTCGGACTGAGCGGATTGCCTGTCGGGCGAACATGGCGGCAGTGGGTGGGAGAGAAGAGAGGAGTATTACCTAGTACGAAGTACAAAAGGATAGGTTTTTGTTCGTCGATTCGCAAAGCTCGGCTTCAAAAGACGTTTGCAAGAAATCGATCCCGCGGTTTAAGCGGGCCAAAACAGACTTAGAAAGAGTGGGTCAGTATTTACTAACTACATAGGTACATCAAGTACCTAACATTACAAAGCCACAAAGCCACAAGGCCCCCCCTTTGAATTATGCACTACATGTACCTTACATAAACGTACCTAGGTACCTAGGTAGGAACCTTCCTAAAACATTGAAATCTCTGTTGTCCAATGTTCTAATCTAAAGAAAGTACTGACGTAGTGTACTTGCCTACCACGTGCCGTTAGCAGCATTCGGTTAGGTACCACAATTACCTCTCAGGCGCCCCCCCCGCCCCCTGTGGCAGGGCTTCGATTTCCTTCAAATTGTCAGCCCGAAACGTTCCAAACCCTGGAATAACTTCTTCACCGTCTCACAACTCTCTACAAAGTACTCGTCAACCCCAGAAGAGAATATACTTTGGGCGCGTTGCTTTGCCTAACCTCCGGTGTTCTCTCTCTTTTTCTTTCTTCTGTCGCCCAACTTAGCAGGCGTGTTGATTTGCTTCATATTCCTCTAGGTCCTTACGTTCATCTTCAACCGACATCCCACAAAAAGTTGTTTTTGTCTTGATCGGGTTGTCTGATATACTTGGGATCTTAGAGACTGAGACGCATATGCATTTGGATACGATACGGTAGCCGTGTCGCTGTAGTCCATCGTATTTTCTTTCAAAATTGCGCACCAGTATCGCAAAGCCAATCCATCCTTTTATTCTATTCTATTCTATTCTATGGTAAGGTTAGCATTACAGCCGTGATGACGAGGGAGAGGAAAAAAGCTCCGGCGACGGCCCGCGGTGTACGGGCCCTAAACCGCCGTGTAAGGATTGAGAAAACACAAAGGCAACATGATAACGCGTGGCGAGCGTTAAATCCATTAAAGGAACCGCCTAGGATGAAGCATAAGACAACCTTCGAATTGGTCGAGAATACCGACAAAAAGAAGAAGCTCGAGTTCAAGGTAAAGAGGTGTCGCCAAAAAGGCTGGCTGCCATGAGCAAGCAATACTGACTAACAACAGATCACGATCGATCGACACCCACCTCCTGGCTTTGAATTTGTTCCTGTTGGATATCCACAGTTGACGCAAATGTGCAAAGAGTTTTCGAGAGAACAAGACGCCATGATATTTATTGTTTCAGTACGCAGGTCTGTTCCTCTGCGCCTCGGTTTGCTAACAGTGGTTCCAGGACTCCAAGAACCCGGACAATCTCGATCACCATGTAAACCGTGTCGGGTATCATTTTAGACAGATGATTGTTGACCAAGCTCGTTCGAAACTAGCAGCTACTGGACAAGCTGTCCATATCCCCCCAACCCGTAAACCTGGCGAACCTGAACCGATACCAAAGAGCCAGGCAGAAATTGATGCTCAAGCAGATGCGGTTCTAAGGGATCTTTTCCCAAGAATACCTAATACCGATCGACGCGAAATTATTCAGCATGCGTTTCAAAAAGTTTGTTTTTTTCCCTTTTTCTCCTGCTCTTTTCTCTTTATATATTGTTCTCGTAAGAAAATATACTGATACGATATTCTATTTATAAAACAGGATGGAAAATTCCATGGCGAGTCAAAAGTTGGCATGGTTAAAGAGCTAACCCTAGCACGTCGGGTTCAACTTGCGGCGATCGCTCACATCAGGCACAATCATACGCGCTATGATGAGTTATTAAAGGAAACTAACTGGCACAACGCCCGAAAAGCTGTAGAAAAGCCGTGTCTAGACGTCATCGTCAAGTGGCGAGGCGACGAAGAGACCGGTCGTGACCAGCTTGATGAGATACTTCGTGAGGTCATCGAAATATCTGACACCGAGGATGAATCCGAAGATGAATCTCCCAATTCGGAGTCCATACCACCCCGACGCGTTGTTATGATGCCCGCTAATGCATCGGCGGGGCCTATGGCAGAGCTACAAGGTAAAGAAGCTGTTGACCCTGAGCGGCAAACCCATTGTTCCACTCGCAGTCGCAGTCGCGGTCGTGATCTATCTATTCCGAATGTCCTTGGGCCGTCCAAGCAGAGAGCAATAGCAAAGGCCGAGAAAAGAAGCGATCGGAAGACGCAGCGTTTTAGGAGATATGCCGCCGCCGCCGAAGCTCTTGCAGGTTCGGCTGACCAGAGAGTCTATGCTGATGTCCCGCATGTCGCTCCTTTTAGTGCTGTTCCAATCGATCTTACTAGAAGTCCGGGTTCTGCCCACTATATTGGCTCGAGTTGCGAGCCAATAGGGGCGGCCCATGGTACTCGTCGTATTGAACACGTGCCGCGTCATTCTGAATTACGACCAGATCGGCCGCATTTCAGAGATGGCCCCCTGAGGGAGATGATTACCATCACTCATGGTCTTCCTGAAACCGGTGAATACGCGTCTCCTCAGCTAATGCACACTCCAGACAGCCACAGACCCAAAGTTGGGCATGCAACAGCAAGTTATAGTCATCTACCCGTTCCAGTTTCGCCAGTAAGAAACGGATTGCAAGATATGGTATTGCAATCTATCGAGCCTGCGTCTCCTGTTGTCCACAGAGAGCCTCAGCGCTTCGCTGAGGACCCTCGCGTCGTTTCCGGGCCCTTCCACAACCGTACAGGTTTTGTTTCACGTCCCGAATCTCCTAGAGTCGTGAGTCATGGTAATGTGTTGGTAACAAGACGCCTTCATAGTGCAGACTATTCCTCTGGAACTCTTCATGCGTACCCTAATTCGTTTGCCCCAGCAAACCACCATGTTCGAGGTGAGGACCCACGGCGCGTGCCATCTGAGTACTATCCAGACCAGCCGCCACCGTCATTTAGGGCCTCAGGCCAACCTTCCCAGAATCAACCTTGGCCGGTTCCTAGTGAAGGGACGGTGTACTATAATAGTGATAATTCTCTAAGGACCAGAACAAATCCGATTATCATTGATGACGATGATCATATGCTTCGCAGACCTCGTCAAGTGGTTGGAGTGCAACGGCATCCTGATAGAGGTCACCCTGTTAGCACGTCAGGACATGAGGATTTCCACGGCGTTGTCCCTCGGGAAGAAGTGTACTTCCGAGATGAGCCCCGAGTTGTATTAACTGATCTGCCGCCCACTCGACCTGGGAGCTTCTTTGATTACCGCCGGCCTGTCAGCGATTACAATTCCGAATTGCCCTCGTGTCACAAACCCAACATGTCTGGGGCGGCAGCGCCTGATTTACGCCATCATATAGACGATGCCGCCCCTGGTCCTGAACACAGACATTACAAAGAGCGTAGCCAGCACTTGTATGAACCGAGAGAGTGGTCTACACACGTCCCTCGGGAGGCTCGAGCTGCTGTTCCTGTCGGGCTGGCTCGCCCCGGAATGTAAGTGGACTAAAGCCTATAAAGAAAATATACGTACTATTCGTATTCGTGGCTTCATTAGGTCCTTGCAGACGTGTCAAAACATAAGCTAACCTAGACGTATAGACAGCATGGCGACGATGATCGTCATTTTCAAGAATATTCGAATATTGCACCAATTCCACACTCGCAGGACCGATGGGAAAGGCATGACCATAGATCATATGAGACAGCAGCGCTTCCGCCGCAGCGGATACAGTATCAGCATGACTACCCCCCTCAGTTTGTAGCTACTCCTAGCCACGGTCCCTATATCGGAAGTCGCGGGTCACCGCAGTTTATTCCCGAGCAACGGATAATCTGGGTGGATCGTTGATCTTCAGCGGCGTGCTGACTCGAGATCGACAAGTTGATGAATTTGGCAACATTTCTCTGAGTTCATTATCAGGGCCAACGAGTGGATGGACATGGAATGATACGGAGTTACGCTGTCGGTCGGTATGGTTTCAACAGGACGGTAGCATTTGAGATACCCCCATGTGGCATTTTGCCATTTTTTTCAAGTATGATTGCATGGCAAGGCGTGGTCGGTACTGGTATTACAGCATTGAGTCATAAAAGCGGCAATATGTTAGCCTTGCGGGCTAAGGAGTTTTATGAATGTATAATTGGCTTTTAGCTATATGGACTTGTAAACTTGGTTCGTTATCAAGAACCTTTATTACAAGTATTATATGTATACTTACGAAAAATATTAAATTTTTCTTTTCTAATATAATGCTTATTATAACTAGCTGAAGTACTTATTATTCCCATCCCATCTCTTTTAACGCTCTAAACTTGCTAGAATGGCCATCCGACACGCTTGGCTTTATCTTATTTAGTGCGGCCTCCCAATCCTCCGGTAAAAGCACATCCGGCCCGCCTTTGGAGTCCGCTCGCTCGACAGCCGCCTGTCCCGCGGCAAGGTGCAAGTTATCTAGATCAGCACCGCTGAACCCCTCGCAGCGTGGATCACGGGCGACGGCCTCGAGGACGGGGTAGTCGGTATAAGAAGGCAGAAGGCGCTTTATTCTAGTGCGCAGGATATCTACGCGGCCGTTGGCGTCGGGTAGGTCAACAAAGATGTTGGTGCCGAGACGACCCGGACGCAGGATCGCCGGGTCGATCATGTCCGGGCGGTTTGTTGCGCCGACTACGTACACACCTAACCGGCTACCGATGCCATCGAGCTCCGTGAGAAGCTGATTGACGACGCGGGCGCTGGCGTCGGGCCCGTTACCGTCACGGCGAGGAACTAGGGCGTCCAGCTCGTCGAAAAATAGGATGCAGGGAGCTGAGGCGCGTGCTCGGCTGAATACTTGGCGGACTGAACGTTCGGACTCGCCGACATATTTATTAAGGAGCTCAGGTCCTTTCACGGAGATGAAGTTTACCTTGGACTCGTTGGCGACGGCTTTGGCTAGGAGAGTCTTACCACAACCGGGAGGGCCCCAGAGAAGCACACCGGAGGGGGCCTCGAGACCCTTGCTGGTAAATCGTTCGGGGTCCTGGATAGGCTTTACTATCGACAACATGAGTTGCTTCCTCACGTCGTGGAGCGCGCCAATGTGGGCCCAAGTAGTATCTGGGATTGTTGTGAAGCCTTCTCTCTTGGAGGACGGCTGGACCTTCGCAATTGCGCTTAACATGTGATCCATTGTTAATATAAGTGAGTCGCTTGACACGGCCTCGTCCGGTGCTCCCAAAATTGCAAGATGCAGCTGAAGTCCCGGAGACATCTGGTCGTCAGAATCAAGATCCATTTCTGACGGACCAGTTTGCGCCAGTTGGGTCATGGTCGCTCTGACCATCTCATTTTTGGCGATGGAAACAACATCCTTCAGATCGGCCCCTACAAATCCTGGCGTCCTCTTTGCCAGTAGTTTATAGTCTAAATCAGGGGATACACGACCGTGCTGAAGCATTTTGCGCAAAATGGCCTCTCGAGCACCCTCATTTGGTATCCCAAGGCTTATTTCTCGATTGAAACGTCCCGCTCTTCGAAGGGCAGGGTCGATACTATCCGGTCGGTTCGTCGCGGCTAGCGTAACGACAATTTTGCCTCCTAGCTTTTGAGGTGAGAGGTCGTCCATACAGGTTAGCATTTGAGCTACTATTCGCTTCTCCATCTCCCTCTGCGCATTCTCACGTTTCCCCATAATGGCGTCGATCTCATCGATAAAAATTAAACAGGGCGCAAGCGACTTAGCCTCGTCGTATAGCTCTCTGATCTTTCTTTCCGACTCTCCTGACATGCCAGCAACGAGAGACGGCGCAGAGACGGGTATATATGAAACGCCGAGTGAAGCGGCATATGCATTGGCAAGCATGGTTTTTCCACAGCCTGGAGGCCCATGTAATAAAACACCCCGAGTGGCTTCCAAGTCGTTTTCTAGACAAATCTTCGGGAACCTCACAGGGAAAGTGACTGATTCAGCAAGGACTTTGATAGCGTCATCCATCCCTCCGAGATCCTGCAGAGAAACACCGCTAGGCGGGCTACGATCTTCTTTAGACTTCTCTGTTCTCCTCTTCTTAGGCCGGGACTCTCCGTTAGGCTGTCTGTCATTCATGATGGCAACAGGTGCTAGGTCAGTGCCAGAAGCATTGCCGCCCGGAGTAGTGGCTTCAGATGGTACTGTGGGTTGGGCCTTGGGTATGTTCCAGGACTGGGTAATGTGTTTGTTCATTACGAAATAGTCGCGTTCCTATATGTGTTAGCTTAAGTATCGATGGCTAGGGACTAGATATAAATCGAAAACCTAGAAAACTACAGACAAGGAAGGAGTTTACCTTGGTTTTCGGTGATTCTGCGGGGGCCTCTTCTAGAGTTTCTTCCTCGTCTTCCTCCTTTCGCTCCTCCTTCCGGAGGCGAAGAACCCGCTCGATAGAGTCTTCTAATGGACGTTTCTTTTGACGCGAGAGACTAGAATTTGATCTTTTTATGGAGTCGTAAACCCCCGAGACGGTAAATTTAAGCGGCTTCGAGGGAGTGTTCCGCTCATGATCATCTTCGAGTTTTCTGATAATCTGATAGACATCACGGTCTAAGCCGTGGAGTGTCCTGGCCATTATACTTACTGTATAACAGGTAATTGAAACGGCTAAACAATGTTTATAAATTCTATGACAGAACGCAGTTATGCATAATCTTTTTTTTTTTTTCTCCCTGGGGTTTGAAGCAAATACGATTGTACAGTCAAATGACCTTCAACAATTCCAAAATATCTAAATTTCTTTAAAAAGTTCAACGCATAGAAACTAAGTGGGACTAGCTTTCTTTAAGCCAAGTCAATGTACCTAGGCGCCTATGTAGCATGTACACCCCTAAAAAAATGGTAAGAAGTAGGTACCATAGTTAGCTCCACTGTACTTTTTCTAAGGCAAATTAATGCAAGTGCTTACATATTTTATACCTTTAAAAGGATAGTCAGGTAGGTACTGATAAAGACAAGCACAGATGCAACAGGCCCTCCCACCCCTGCAATCGATAATGGAACGCCCGCTCACTTAAAAGCTCGTGACAACATTAACGCCCTTCAACTCTTTCGCCGTCTCTAACTAATAACGCACACATGCTCAACAAACTCGGCCGATCAATCACTAAAAGAACCAGGCTGCCCTGAGAAGGCATCTGCCTGACCATCGCGCTCTTCCATCAATCCTCGGTATTGCTAGACAATGCGCGCTTCGCATCTCGGAGCAGATTCCAGGGCACGGCGAACATGGGTAATAATTCGAGCCGAGTGACGGCCCAGGATAAGTAAAGGCTTCCTTCCTTTCCTCCTTTCCTCCTTTCGCTACCCTTATATCACCTTACACCAACTAAATACCCATTCCTCTATTGTTGATAAACGTGCTAACACTCCAACTCCGCAGGGCAATCCTCGACCTCAAATTACAGCGAGATAAATTGCACCAGTACCAGCGGCGCATCACGGTACTAACCGATAAGGAGACCGCCGTGGCGCGACAGATGCTAGCAGCTGGTGACAAGAAGCGCGCCTTGCTAGCTCTGCGCCGCAAGAAATACCAGGAGTCCCTGCTCGAGAAGACGGACGCACAGCTTGCGCAGCTGGAACAGCTAACCCGCAACGTCGAGTTCGCCCTCATTCAGAAAGACGTCGTGTTCGGCCTGGAGCAGGGTACCAAGGTGCTCCGCGATATCCACGCCGAGATGGGCGGCATCGAGCACGTCGAGAAGCTTATGGGCGATACAGCAGATGCGATTGCTTACCAGAAGGTGTGTTTCCATCCACAAGAATATTCCTGCACCGCCGCATTACATACATACGTGTCCATCAATGGATCTATACTGACAGCTCCTTCCAGGAGGTGAGCGAGATGCTAGGCGGCAGAATTACAAACCAAGACGAGGATGAAGTCGAAGACGAGTTAGCTGCCCTCGAACAGGAAGTTAATGGACCCGCGAAACTACCTAACGTTCCGGATACTAAGATCCCTCCGTTGGAAGTTAAAGAACCACAACAAGTGACGGCACAGGAGCAAGAAGCGGGACAGGAACCGGAAAGGAGAGCTATGCTTACTGCATAACATTGGCGCGAACAGTCGGAATATTAAGAAGCCGCCAGTAATTACGACATTGGCGAATGGTTACATAATGAATTACTGCTTGGAAACTAGAAGAAGAAAAAATGCGTTCTTGGGTTTGGATATCTACACAAAGACACCGGTCCTCTTTTTTTTTATTTTTTTATTTTTTTAGTAGTAACACTGACCTCAACGCTTCTTGCTAGTCAGCGCAGGTAAGCATTCTGCCAGAGTTGGGGAAGAAGGTACCTAGGCGTAGATGGTGCTTTAGGTTAGATAGTATCGTGAACACAAACTGTTGGGGGGTATTGGCCGTGTAATGCACAAATAAAGTAACACGGCTTCACTAATGCTTTTGTGACCTAATTCATCCTGTTGCCGGTACTATTATAGCTTATTATAGCGGGCCTACTAGCCTAGGTATTAGATTGCCAAAATGCTGACAGCAATTCAAATAATTCAAACAAACCTCATTGGTCAATGGCCCGTTACCCACTCAACTACGCACAATTCTTGTAAATCCCAGCGTGCAACTACGTCATGAGGAATGATCACAGCTCTACGCAAAACCATGGCAACAATGACATTCCCGCACGAAAAACTTGACAGGCGGCAATACCGTAAAATTCTGAGAGGGGAAGCTCTTTTCGCGTCTATTTTCAATTACTCGCAACAGATTTTACATGATCCGATCCAAGCCTTCCTGCTGAAGCCTAAACTCCTAGCACTCCGACCGGGTGTTTAAAATGCTAGAAAAGGGGAAGAGGAGATGGATATATGATATTTCGCACCAACGTGGGCGTCGCAACGAAACGGTCTAGTGGTCTATAAGTACACAACTGGCCGGTCCCCGTCTATGCTATGATGGTATGCATTGGTACACGTCTTTCTCGTAACTTCGTTTATGCCGTAGCCTCTTTAAGGAAACTGTAAACAGAATTAGTATGTCAAGTCTCAGGCATCTTCTTTCAACTTAATAGGAACTCACGTAATGAGGTCATTCCGGTCCTTCTCCTTCTTCAGACCACCGAAGGCCATCTTGGTACCAGGAATGTACTTTTTAGGGTTCTCGAGGTACTCGAACTAACAAAAAGAAAAAGAAAATTATGTTAGTGAAGTCGCTGGACTCATGCCTCTAGAGGTTACATACCAGAGAGTTCTCGTCCCAGACGACGCCCTTCTGCTTGTTGGCATCTGTGTAGGAGAAGCCCTCAACCTGACCGGACTTTCGGCCGAAGAGACCGTGTAGCGCAGGGCCGACCTTGTTGCCCTCACCCTCCTTGAGGGTGTGGCACTGGGCACATCGGGTCTTGAAGAGGTTGGCACCCTTCTTGGAATCACCTGAGGTAATTGACACGTTAGTAGAAGCACTTTGATCATAATGCGTGTGTGTACGCTGCTTGTCTTCGATCATAATAACAAGCCCTTCCCATCGGAGAGACATTCCGTAGCTAAACCCAAAGGCCGCCCACGCCGTATAGACCCATGTGCGACTGCGCAATAGCAGCGCTCAAAGCCACCAGGTAAAATGGCGCACGTAGCTGTGACATCCCAGGCCCCAAGTCTCAAACACACAACAGGCACGCAGGCGAGTAGCCGATACGATAGGGCTGAGGACATTGTACCTCATAGACCATAATCGCAGCCATCCTGGCAGTGGTGGTGGTTCAATGGCTCGAAAGGCGGTGACGTGTGGGCTGTCATGACGGGAGGAAAATTCTCGCAAGACGCAAGGGACTCGTGTACATACCGGGAGAGTAACCCATCTTGTCGTTGGAAAGTAGGGACGTGTGAGAGGAATAATATTACTGATTAGGTGTGAGAGGACACAGTTGAACCGTTCGCTCTGTAGGAAAGAAAAGGAGGTCGTCTAAAATATGAAGTTTTATGTGACGGAGAAAAGGGAAAGGGAGAAAAAAAATCGGCGCAAGCTGGGAATTTTTAAAGCGATGAGCTCAGCGGGCAGTTGGCAGGCATTGGCAGGCCTGGCATTCGGTACAAGTAAGGTTGTACAAAGTTGAGCCACGAATGTGGCGGGTGCTCCTTCTTTCTAGCCAATAGGGTTTTAGCTGAAGTAATACGCTTCCGGGGACAGCCGATTTCAAAACCCTTTTAGGCCTTTTTCCTTTTTTTTTTTTTTTTTTTTCTGTCTTCTTTCTGGGGCGGGTTGATTCACAAGCTAAATAAATAATAGTGGGGCAATGGATCGACCAGTGACGGGGGACGAATCTCGGAATTGTAGACCATGGTGGAAGTCTTGGGAAGTTTTTCGACAAACCCAGGTGATGTGGAAATTCCTACGTTACCAGGCTACACGTACCTAATGTAGTAGACCGCCAGCTCGAGCCCACTATAAGCTTATACCTAGGTACCTACGTAGTAGGTAGACTGTAGTAAGTAATGTGCAAGATGAGTTGTCAAAAGATACAACAACCAAATTGCCAACATAAGTATTTATCTCCTTTTTGCCGCGAAAATAAAACAGATGTGTTTCGTAACGTCACCTGAGGGAGATATCATATTCCGTGTAGAGGTCCGACGAGAACACTGTCGTTACTTCAGTCCACACACGTACCTTGTCCTATCGGTGGACTAGCCCTGCAAGCTTTCGTAGATGTATATATAAGGTATATATATATATATATATATTGACAACTTCCCCTGCCTCTAGGGTTATATAAGCAGGTGGCCGTACGATCTTAGATGTATAGGTGGTTGAGAAAGAGCTTTGGATAAGTGAGCTATGCCCTTTTTTACTGGCATTTATTCCGCATTACTTTTACATCACACTGATGCTAAGTGGCTTCTTATGTCACACCTCCTAGTTGGTATAACAATATTCTTCTCTACCATCTTGTCTCCCTCTCCCCTAGGCTTAAGCTTATACGTCGCTCCCCACCCCTCCCCCCAATTTCACCGCGGCACGGCTTTCTCGATCCAAAACCCTGGTTCCGGTTTCCGCTCTTCGCGCATCTCCTTAGGCGTAAGCACACGTTCGACCTCGGATACTTTGACCAGCTCTTTGACTTTGAGGATCATACCCGCCGCCTGTGCAGAGACTGGGTGGAATACGGTCTGCGAGCGTTTGCGCAAGCCAAGCGCCGCCAACACACCGCGCGTGCGTTGCGGTAGACCAATAGCAGACCGGTGAAGTGTTATGCGAAAGTACGACATCCTCCTTCCTCTTCCCTCCTTGCTCGCGTAGGTAGACAGAGCCGGGAGATCTAGCAAGTCGGACTGTAGGTACGAGCGAGGGTAATTGTCGTCCAAGTAGCACTACGAATATTTGACCTGCAAGGACTGATAGAAGCGTATCCTTCGAATCTGTTTCGCCCTGGCGTGAATAAATCGACTTGACTGGCGTAAGATCAGTTGATAAATACCTTAAAAAGTTTTCAAGGGAGCTTCGGAGGACCGCAGAGCATATATATGATGGAGTTTAAAGCTCCTAGAGCCATGGGATGAGTATCACATACCTAATTTATCACAGAAAATCTGCTTTTCAGGTCTACAAGATCGGATCTCGAAATCGACGATTATGCTTGGCCTTGCGACGCTCAACTTTGAGATCCGTTGAGTTTAAAGTGGGTTACCCGAAGTTTTGCCTACTGAGGTTACCGACTCCCGAGTGAGGTCCCACCCCCAAGTACCTAAGGTAGGTACCTAACCCATAGATAGAGTCTTACATAAGCCCAGCTAGGTTGATAACTTCACAATTCCTGCATCAACTACGCAGTATGAATGAATGAATAAATGAATAAATAAATACCTAAAAAGATCATTGCCATAAATGAACAAATAAATGAATAAAAAATCAAAGTATTATACTACGTAATGTTATAAAACCTCTTCTAATATCACCATGACTCGATTAAGGGAAATAGAAAGAGAGAGAAAAAAAGGAGTTTTACGATTTCATATTATGTGACAAACGTCAAACATGCTCTGGCCATGCTTCTGCTGAACTAAATAGTAAATCTCCCCTGAAGATCAGCCTCGAGCTGAGCTATAATGTAGTTATCTCTACCCCTGTGCAACTATCTAGTAAGACTCGCCCCGTTTGTCAAGAGAAAGAGTGCATTGTAATGCGATACCTCTAAATACGCCATAGAATACAACAGCTGTTCATCTATTTCACCGAGACCTCAACTCTGCCTTCACCAACCGGTCCGGTCTTTGACAGAGTCGGGAGCAGGTAGGTAATATCATCCCAAGGATGCCTGTACAGACTGGTGCGTAGTCGCTTCTGGTCAAGGTAATGGGCAATCAGACCAATGCTGCGGCCTAACACGAATAGACCGTTCAAGACGCCCATCTTCATGTAGTCTTCGGCCTCTTCGGCACTAAAAGCGCCGCAGCTTCTCATCAAGTCAACGAAACAGACGGCAACGCAACCATCGACGTTAAGGATGAGGTTATCCTTCTTCGAAGTGGTTACTGTCTCAACTGCTAGTGCGTAATCTAACAGCTTGTGACTTGGGAACTTGGCCAGAACATACTCCTTAACCAACTCGACACGGAGGTCAGGGTTGTTCCGCGACTTGATACGGTGACCAATACCCGGAATGAGCTTGTTTTGCTTGCGCATAGAGTCAACAAATTCACGGGGGCTGAGGCCATTGTCGGCAGCCTTGGTGAATTCCTCTGCAGCACCGTCAAGAGCACCGCCGAAACGGGAACCAATAGTGAGGAGACCCGACACCAAGGAGCTGATCAGATCTTTACCCGCACGAGTAGTGATAATAGTGTTCATGGCACCCGATACCGCAGGGCCGTGATCGGCAGTAAGCATGAGAACCATCTCCAGAAACTTGGAAGCGTAATCAGGCAGACGACGACGGAACCATAGGAGGGACATGACACCGCCAATGCCAATGTCCTCTCTGAAAACGTCAGAAATAGGCATACCAGCATAGAGAAGCTCCTGTCCACGGTCGTCGGAGATGGTGGAGATGAAGGCAGCAGGCTTCCGGATGAGACCAAGCTCCTGGGCCCAAGAGTAGTCGATGGGAATTTTGGGTACGACCGGCTCCGGTTGGGGTATAATGGTCTTGTCTTCGACAAGCTTCTTGTAGACAGAAGCAAGAACCTGAGGAAGATCTTCGAATGTATCTGGCACGTAGAAGCCAGCCTCCTTCATCTGCTTGTTTTTCATAGCAGCAGTCTCTAGCTGTGAGTTGGCAAATGAACCAGCGTGGCCAAATTGAACCTCGGTCTTGAACATGCTCGCGCAAGTGCCGATGGCCCAGGCAACGATTGGCTTGGTGATGATACCTTGCTTTACCGCCTCGATCACCTTATATTCTTCGACGCCGCCAACTTCACCGAGTAGTAGCAGTATCTTGCATTCCGGATCTTGTTGGTATCTCAGCAGATGGTCGATAAACGTGGTTCCCGGGTATCTATCGCCACCAATAGCAATACCCTCATAAACGCCATCCGTATTTTGTGAGATGATGTTGTTTAGCTCGTTCGACATACCACCGGACTTGGAGACGTAGCCGACGGAACCCTTGCGGTAAAGCTTGGAAGCAACGATGTTGTCCATCATGCCACCAGTATTGCCGATCTTGAAGCTACCGGGTTTGATACCACCAACGGTAGCAGGGCCAATGATAGTCACGCCCTTCTGTCGCGCAACGTAGGCAATTTCTCGTGCTCGCTATTTTACTAATTAGGAAATTGCTAGTTTGTTAAGATCAACCGGTATCATTCACTTACCCGCTCAGGCACACCTTCAGCAATGATGGCGATGGTCTTGATTTGGGGGTATTGCATCAGCTCCATTGTCGAGCTAAAGACACTTCGTGAGGAAGCAAAGTTGACTACGACGTCAACATCAGGGTGCTTAGCCATGGCCTTGGCTGTCTCCTGGTAAACCGGGAGGAGGGTCTCGCTGGTTCCCCAGTACATCTTGCTGACAAACTGGCCACCGAAAGTGTAGATAATGCCCGCGACTGAAGGTGTGGGCCGCTTGCAGATGAAGTCGAAATCCAGCATACCCTGGACAGCTCGATTCTGGAGACCGTAAACAAAACATCTTGTCTTGTTGTTGAATAAGGCATGTGCGGGAAGAGGACTGAGAGGTCGGCTAGGAGCAGTGAAGCGAGTGATGTTATCATTCGCAGATAAACCACCGCTTGCGGCGCCGTTAACACCGTTGGCAGCAGCTGAAGACATCGTCGTCGTTGTCGTAGTACGAAATCCGCAAACTTCCTCTAGAATTGGTGACTTGAGTTAGCCAAGAATGTTTCCTAACTTGGGTTGAGCACGGACAATCGAGTGCAGGTTCGCTAACACAGGGGAAACTACTTGGGCTATTCAGCAGTAAAAAAGCAGTAAAACAAAGCTTTGGGAATCTCGGTGATTTTCAGGACGGCCGATTCAGCCCGTGCCTGCACTGGAAGGATTTAGTAGGACCGTCAGTGCCGAAGCTGAACAATATCAACCGAATCCGACCGTTGCAATAGCAAGTTTAGGGCGACTGACGAAATATGGGCGACGCAAACAAGATAACATGCAATTCGAAAAAGGGAGCTGTTGCAAAACTGACTTACCTCAAAGACTGGAATTCACTGTCTCGTCAAACTGGAGGCTGCACAAGTATTAGACGAAATTGCAGTCACCAAGCTAGTGGGGAGAGATGCTATCCCGGGGAAAAGGGGTATTTGGGATAGAATGAGTATTGAGAAGAAAGAGGGAATAGAGGCTGTGGACAACGATGGGTTTTTTTTTTCCTCAAGACGAGGTGAATTGATGCTACCACAGTGAATGGCTCAACAGCGGGGAAAACGGGGTTGGGATATGCCGGGTTTACGATCAGGACGGAACATGGATATGAATACAAAGTAAATACGTACCGTTTAGCGTTGAGCTGTTGACCGATTGAGAGATGATAGAAAAATAAAACAAGGAAAGGGAGGCGATGCAGCCGCGGTTTCCTTCCGTTTCTATGCAATGATCTGGGTTGTTGCTATTCGCGACATAGAAAATGAGCCCACAAAATGTCCGGTAGAAAATTGGTCTTGTTCGGATTAGTTGGGGTAAATTTTTATGTGCGTTGTTGTTGAATTGGACTCCTTTTTTTTTTTTTTTTTTTTTTCCGCCAGTGTCAAGGGCCTGGCACACTACTATGTCGGTGGTGCCTTGTTGGTCCAATTGTGGTTGATCCTGCGCAATCCTGCTTATGTTGGCGACCGGAGGATGCTGGTTGGGTATATCTGATGAGACCACCCCACCTAAGCTTGAGTAGTGAGGTACCATTGAACAGGTACGCATTGTACCTAAGTAGCTGGCTTGCCAATCCCCGCCCTTTGAGGTCCCCATCTTTTTTGTACTAGTACCTAGATCTTAACATCAACCTCGTGGTTACCTATTCTTCTTTTACCACCAGGATTATCTTCCGTCTTATCCATCTTACCATCCTAAAAGAGGGAAGAAAAGGACAAGAAAAAAAAAAAAACCTTGACGACCGATTGGCTTTCCTCCATCCAGGCCAGCAAAATGTTGACCAAGAGTAAATGAAAACAAATAAATGGTCCTTTACAATTATTGAATAGAGAATAATGAAACCATATCAAACCTGCAAAGACGAGACGGGATGTTCAAACTTGTGAACAAGGCCCCCTTCACTTGAACGGGATGTACTCATTGCCATATTTCACCGGATAATCCCCAATATCCACCTCCGGGGCAAGTCCGGTACGGGTGTTGTGTTGCGGAACGTCTCACCAGGCAGTAGGCGATGCAATATTCCCCTACCTACCTGGTGAATCACTCGCATAATCTCTCAGCTGAGGCTGATGACAGCTTTGTCATCAACAGCGGATGAATCTGGGATGTGAAGGATTGGATACCTCGAATGCTGACAGATCCTTAATCCCTTCCAAATTCCAAATTCCAAACCCCAAACCCCGAGTGATAAGGCCCGATCTGCTAATGATAAAACAGAGCCCGGGTCAGATCTCGGATAAGGAATCATTGATGTGTGGGTATAGGGAAAATCCTGATGGGAAAGTAATAATGCCGATGATAGAGAGACAAGTTACAACGGATAGCTTGCTATCTCTAATAGACGTAGCTCACTAAAGAAAGGATAGTTAGCATTAGCTTCAATGTCTCGGTATCTAAACCAAGAGCAACATGCGTATAGAAGCAATGTGCGTAGAGAAATATCAATCTCTTCCTTTTTTGGTGCAAATTGCCATCAATATGGCCGTGCAAGAGACAATAATCGGAATCGATCGTGGTGGTATTGCCTATAATTGTTGATGTTGGGGTACCGGTACAAAAAAGCCTCCGATTGCTGACGAGGCTGCCGGGATCGCCCCAATAGTTTTGGCGTGATGCCTTCTGGCTCCCCCCCCTAAGCTATCGTCTAGTGCCAGTACTGGTCTAGTGCCCCTCCAAAAAACCCAATGCGGGTATCCACTCGCACCCACCAAGTGGCTGGATCCACTGTATTTAGTTGGGCACAGACCAGCCAGCAGTACCTTGTACCGGGCAAAGAAAAAAAAGGGACGGGACTGGACCTGCGTTGGCGGGGAGCTTCGCACCGCACCATATCGTACCGCACCTTCATTAGTCTTTTCGAGAGGACCAATATTCAAATCGTCCAATTTCTTGTTGTTGTTGCTGCTGTTGCTGTTGCAGACTTCAACATTATTGCTTTTGCAGTCAAAACTTTACCACAACCTTCACCACAATCCTCTTGGTCATATTGTGTAGCCTCCAACCCACTGGATTGAGAGATATTCACCTGCGACTAGGTAAGAAGAGAAAGAAAAGAAAAAAAAAAAAAAAAAAAAAAAAAAAGGCCTTGCCAATCCCCTCATTCCGCGGGCCTGTCCACCTGCACCAGATTCTGGGTTGCACGCACCTTTATTCCCCAACTTCGAACTCTCTACGAGTCCAAATACGCAATCTTTCCCTTTCCACACTCGTGGTTAAACCCCAAAATATCGAAAACGTAAATACTGATTACCCCGTCTAGAAACGATCTTGGCAATAGAACAAGAGTGTAATTGAGCACATACCTCTCTTCCGTATAATTTCGTTTCTCTTGCAAACATGTCCGCGAAGGCAATCTACGAGGCCGACGGCAAGGCCATTCTCAACTACCACCTCACCCGTGCTCCTGTCATCAAGCCGAGTCCTCTCCCTAAGCCTACGACGCATAACCCGCCGCCGAAGCTAGCTTCACTCTACTTCCCCGAGGACGCTGACGTCAACGCAGTGTTGAACCAGGCTGAGATCACGTACCCGTGGTTGCTTCACAGCGGCGCCAAGTTCGTCGCAAAGCCCGACCAGCTGATCAAGAGGCGAGGCAAGAGTGGCCTTCTGGCCCTTAACAAGACCTGGCCTGAGGCCAAGGAGTGGATTGCTCAACGCGCCGGTAAGGTACAGAAGGTTGAACATACCGAGGGTGTTCTGCGCCAGTTCCTCGTTGAGCCCTTCGTACCTCACCCGGATGGCACTGAGTACTACATCAACATAAACTCAGTTCGAGATGTAAGTGCGCGGTACTCTCCATTTAACCATTTTTGCCCTGCTGTTGTCGAGCTTTGTTTTATTCCCGACGCTCTCTTCCTCGGGCGAATCATTTCCGTCAATAGCGGTCAACCAGTGTGTGGCTGCAAAAATGCTTGGAAACCCCAGAATGAGGAGGTTGAAATAAAAGAGTAAAGGAAGGAGAGATGCGAACGGTACCCAGGAAGTCCCGGAGAGGTTGCGTTTTTTTGTTTTTTTTTTTTATCACTTATGGAATTATGTGCCCCAAATGGACGCTGCCATGCTCTTATTTGATTGGGAATCAAGGAGTGAACCGGTGTGTACGGGCGAACGGAAGGCTAAACCATATGCGCTTCCGTTGCATCCACTTTCCTCCTTCGTCCACTCATCACAGCCATACCATTACCAACACATACCAGCCTTGTCCACACCTGTTATCTCTTCGAGACCAATATTATCATTATCCAATCAGCATTGAGAAATTACTGACTTGTTTATTAATAGGGAGACTGGATTCTCTTCACCCACGAAGGTGGTGTCGATGTTGGTGACGTTGATGCTAAAGCCGAGAAGCTACTCATTCCTGTCGACCTTTCACAATACCCTTCTAACGAGGAGATCGCCAACACCCTATTGAAGAAGGTACCCCAGGGTGTCCACAATGTCTTGGTTGACTTCATTACCCGCCTATACGCGGTATATGTTGACTGCCAGTTCACCTACCTCGAGATCAACCCGCTAGTTGTCATCCCTAACTCCGATGGCACGTCAGCTGAAGTTCATTTCCTCGATCTAGCTGCCAAGCTAGATCAAACCGCCGACTTTGAGTGTGGTGTGAAATGGGCTATCGCGCGGTCGCCTACAAACTTGGGCATTACCGCTGTCTCTAGCGCCGGTGACAAGGTCAGTGTTGATGCTGGCCCCCCGATAGAGTTCCCCGCGCCTTTCGGCCGTGAACTCTCCAAGGAGGAAGCCTACATTGCCGAACTTGACGCCAAAACTGGTGCCTCCTTAAAGCTCACTGTCTTAAACCCCAACGGCCGCATCTGGACTTTGGTCGCCGGTGGTGGTGCTTCCGTCGTCTACGCTGATGCTATCGCGTCTGCTGGCTTTGCTGACGACCTAGCCAACTACGGAGAATACTCTGGCGCCCCCACTGAATCTCAGACCTACTACTACGCTCGCACTGTGTTAGATTTGATGCTTCGTGCTCCCATGGACCCTAAGGGCAAGGTTCTATTCATCGGTGGTGGTATTGCCAACTTCACAAATGTGGCGTCTACTTTCAAGGGTGTTATCCGGGCCCTGCGAGAATATTCCAAGCAATTGAACGAGCACAATGTACAGATTTGGGTTCGTCGTGCCGGGCCTAACTACCAGGAAGGCCTCAAGAATATGAAGGCTGCGACACAAGAACTTGGTCTGAAGGCCAAGATCTTCGGCCCTGAGATCCACGTGTCCGGTATCGTACCCCTTGCTCTCATCCCCGGACGATGGGAAGAGAGCAAGCTTCAAGAGTTCCAGGGCTAAGCGCCTATGAATATAATAAACACGATTTTCCGATTTTAAGGCGTAAAGCACGTACAGGTATAAGTTGGTGAGATGGATTTACATGTGACTACCCAGTCACAAAGTTGTACGCTCAGGGGTAGAGAATTGAATCAGATTAACAGAGACCTGATCATGAAGCATGAAGCTCCGGAAGATACTGGTTTTACTAGTTTATAGAAGCCCGTTCACGAGCCAAATGCAATAGACTGGAGTAATTCGCCATGCCTTAACCCTTTGTGTCTCCCTTCTGTCCCTCCCTCCCTCGTGTCCCTACCTCTTGAACTCAAAATGCATTTCATAGCATTCTCCTATAAACTACTTTTTTAATTAGGACAGCTTCTATCCTGGTTTGCACCCATCAGGCCAGAAGTAGCCAGGTATCATGTTCTTTGTATTAGTCTTGATTGACAGCTGAGTCCTAATCTACTAATGTTGCAGTGGATAAACTCATTAAACCCCCATGGATATGCGAGCTACCTTTCTAGCCGACAAACCATACCTCGAGGTACGGACGCTGGGGTCGACATTGACTAATCCCTAATTTTCAAGACAGCCTTGCCAAAGTTATCGCCTTTAAGCATTCCCACGAAGCCTTCAGCAGCATTGTCAATGCCCTCGGTAACGTGAAGCTTGGCCTTGAAAGATCCCTCTGCAATCCATTTTTGTACTTGTTTCTGGTGCTCTTCAAAGTATGCAGGTCCGAATTCAGGGTCGAAGACAAGAAACCCTTGCATAGTTATGCGCTCCACGACGAGTTGCATGAGGTTCTTGACGCCATATCTCTGGTCAGGTGGTGAGTTATACCCCGAAATCTAAATGTTCGTTAGCACAGGCTTGGACTACCCGAAAGGATAGGGAGGGAAGACGGCACCATTCCGCAGACTGGAATACGCCCGTGGGTATTCATATTCTCTAAGGCGGCATCGAGATGCTCTCCACCGACATTCTCGTAGTAAATATCGATTCCATTGGGTGCGAGGCGCTTGAGCGCATCAAACGGGCTCTCCTTCTTGTAGTTGAAACCACCGTCAAAGTCAAGCTCATTCATGATATAACTTAGCTTCTCATCAGAGCCGACCGAGCCAATAGTCTTGAGTCCTGCATTCTTCGCGATCTGAGCCACAACCTGTCCAACAGCGCCCGCGGCCGAACTAATAAATATTGTCTCCCCTTTCTTCGGTTTTCCAATCTTGTGAAGACTGGAGTAGGCCGTTAATCCAGGCATGCCTAAGGGACCCAGAAACATACCAAGGTCCAGATTGTATGGGTTATTGATCTTGCGCGCTTGGGCGGCGGATGGGTCTGGGATTATGGCATACTCGGCAATAGGAGTATACGCAGAAATTATGTCTCCCTGGTTGAAATCTGATGTGCCCGACTTCAGAACACGAGAGATAGTACTGTTCGTGAAGGGGCCGTTCATCTCGAAAGCCGGCGTGTATGACTTGACGCTAGCGTCACGCATCTTACCGCGTAGATATGGATCGAAGGAGGCATAAAGTATTTCGACGATTAGGCCACCTTTTGGAGGTGCGGCCTCAAGGTCGAGAGGTCGGTCCTCAACAGCAAGGTGTTCTCCTGGAACCGGAAACCCTGTAGGAATCTTCTTGAAAACGAGGGTCTTATTTGGTGCCATTTTCAAGTTATGTAAATGCGACTATCGACCACTCGAATATTGACAGGGAAGTATAAATAATATTAGGTGATGGATGTCTAGCGAGGATACACTAAACGATGCTAGTCTAGCAGTAAAGGCGATTTGCTACCACTTCAAACGTAGGTATGTAGGTATGTAGGCATGTAGGTACGTGGTCCGTCTACTAGGTGAGGGTTAGAATACCTATATATATATAAGGTATATAATACATCTTGGTCAAGGACGATGAGTGAAAAAAGGATGACGTCTCGATACATCTACGGTCAACTACTAAATGGGCCTAACCCGGACACCACGGCTTTCGGATTTATATCATACATCGTAATCAGGATTCATGGTTTTTTTTTTCGACGGGTATCTATGGATACCATTCTACCAGCCTAGGCTATGAACTCTAAGTCCCACATGCCTAGCAAATTCTTCTTACCTAGACTAGGCAAATTACTATTTACAATGCCGATGCGGAGTTCTCTGCCATCGTTGATGTAAAATACAGGATAAAAATCAAAGAAAAAGGAGAAGAAGAAGAAGAAGAATCAGGGGACTTACGAGGTAGGTATCTACGTCCTAAGGCCCGTGGTGTTAGCGTCGTAAGAGTAATATTATGCTAGACAACGTTGGACAGCATTAGATGGATAGAAGTTGAGGCTACTAGTTTGTTATGATGCGATGGTGAGCATTTGCTACTCTTGAGGGGGCCCATAAGTTCCCTGATGAGTCCATACTCCATACGTCAAGCTCTCAAGCCGACTGCACTACAACTCCTGGTCGTCTCGTGTACATCTCCAAAAGGATGGTAAGAGTTAGCGGCTCCATTGCCCCATACATATTTTACAATTAGCTAGTTACTAGGGGTTTTTTGTATGAGAAATTCCCTGGCCTTTGCTTGCTAATCTAGAACCTTCAAGACGTATTACGTCTAAGTGACTTGGCTATCACGATAAATATCAAGAATGGAATGCAGTGCTTTGTGATACTAAGGAATGTTAGAACGCGTGATATAAGACAAATACGATTAAATAATGTACTAGCCTCACGATATTTAACACAATAGCTACCTAGGTAGGTAGCTTTAATGAAAATACCAGTATTCGAATCACACTCATTGAAAAGTCAGTACAGAATAGCCTCATATTGATTTAGTGGAGATGTATCTAAATGTTGGATTTTGATACGTCAGGGCTAACTACCTAGCAATGCGCTACTGCATACTAGTGCTAGTTAAGCACTCCTTTGCACAGTCCTTTGCAAATGCTTTGCTCCATACGAAGCTGCCGTAACGACACAGGCCGAATTACCTGATTTGAAAGTTTCAAATGATGGATTGAATCGCCGTGACACTAAATAGTGTTAGGATCCAGCAATTCCATCTCAATGATGCATCTGTCGCCACCACGCTTAACGGTAACGCTTTGCCATGCCCGAATCGCAGGAGGTGGCAAGACGATTTCCAGTGTTCCTCTCCAAGTTATCACAGACGCCCTGCCCCTGGGTGACTGATATCTAAAGAGCATCGCCAATCCCTCTCGTCCGTTCCATATCTCCATTATTTCGAGTCTTGGCATCTTCATGGCCGCCGCCGCTGCTGCTTGGAGCATATTGGCGACTTCGCTCGGGCTTCCATCAGGCGTCAAGAGCTGTGAGGTCAGCGCAAGCGAAGTCAAATTAGGCCACTCCCAGGATGGTTGGCAAGCATGGAAGAAATGACTCGCATCCGCCATAAACGAAGCCGAGAGATACTCAAGCCTGAGGCTAGCTATGGCGATCGTTTGGCTGATCTGAGAGTTCGGCTTTCTAATAGGCTTGCACTGCATAACGCTTGAGTATCCTTGGTTGAAATTCTCAAAGATGATTAGCTTTTGTAGCTTGTTAGAAGTAAGGGATTCAAAAAGCGACCGGAAAGCTAAATTTAAGATCATAATCATTAGTATGTAATGGTTCTAGATCAACAATAAGGTAGCGAGCCCACGGGAAAGAAGCTCGAATAGATTCCGTAAGTCCTACCCGAATCTGTCCACCTCTGTTAAATACCATCGCCCCATTCCCTCCAAGGCTCGTAGTAAATCTCCCGTAGTCTGGGAAAGCGGCCGAACATGTGTAGTAACGATTTCGGCTTCCATCGTCGACGGGTTTGTTGCCGTAAAAGCACACCTGTGATTGATGGGATTAATGGCAGCTGGTCCAACCATTGGAACTCCAGCTCGTCATCGTCGAACGGTCCTTCGCCCATAACTTCGTCGAAAATTTTGTACATGCAAGCCGACTCGGCGCAGAAGCTCGACTGCCAGCAATCCAACCATGCCGTTGGTCATCAGATTTGAGTAGCATCGGCAGCTCCTCGCGTCGATTTAGGCCACACTCGTCAGAAAGTATATCAGGTCCAAAGGTCAGATATTTGAACCAATGCTCTGAGTCACTGGAGGAATGAACGCTGATATCGAGCAGCAAGTTGCCTTCTGGGTCACATTGACTGAGAGTCGAGAATAGATCCTCGAGAGCTTTGGAAATTAGAATACTGTCCTCCATATTCATGCCCTCCATATCTTTAGGCGCACACTGAGAGCAATCGTATTTTTGGAGTTCCAGACAAAGCCAGATATAGCCCAACTAGGCCTCTATTACGGTGAGTAACGGGACCAAAGTCGGCTAGACGTGACGGCGTCAGCTTGATTCGAGCGAAGTTATGGCGTTCGATGATGGTCTGCCATTCTTGCGACACGGTGGCGTAACCAGCCAGGCTGCAGCCGTCCTGCAATAAAATTTCTAGGACTGTAAGTCGGATCTCCGCAGGGAAGTCGTGCCAGGACATTTTGTTAGCTCCCAATGGTGTTACTTCGAGCTAGGCTAAGTCGGCGTTGTGCAAGCTATCGACAGGTAGTGTTTATATTTTGTTTGAAGAGTTGATTTTGTCTGGCTCTCGCCGCCAGGCACTTGAATAGACGAGAAGCAGTGCCCATTTATAGGTACCTGATTGACAACCATCAATACTTTACCCAATTGGACTGGTTACAAGTTCGAGGTCTTGAATCTTAGTGCAAATTCTGTTTCGAGGACAGAAAGTATAAAATCAGAGTCAAATTATGGCTTGACTTGCAGTTAGACCTATTGCAGGCGATGTCCGTGACAACAATATAGTTGTTAGATCGTGTTAGATCGTGTTTTAACGAAGGCAATGCCATGGCCTTTAGCCCAGTTGTTGAGATCTTGCATCAATTCGTCGATCGTTTCGTAAAAAGGTAAAACGACCAGCTTTTGCACATTATTAGCACTGCAGAGTGTCCCCTATAGGTTAAATAATACTAACCGGCCTTGTATCAACCGTGGTTCGTGTATGTCCTTACGATATTCATTAGCTATAAGAAAATGTAGATAGCGCCCAGGTCCTAAGCTTATAAATCATTCGGAACAAGGGAATCATATTTACCTGGCATAGCAAGTAAAGGCATCCATTGCCGTAGTTCAGGTTAGGTAGAATTTAGAGCCGTTGATACCGAGTTAGTTACCTCATTATAAGGTGGATCAGGGGTTGCTGCTCTACTGCTGTATTATGTATTTACGTCAATAGGAAAGTTAGAATTTGAGGACGGTACGTGGACGGAGGTACGTAATGATTGTCAATCTATTACATCGAACGTTAGGTTGGGTTAGGTAGGTAGGTTCATAACCGTATGAGCTACTAAAGTCTAAAGCATGTATATCGAAACATGTCGAACAAGGCGGTCTCACGCACACTCCTTTTCTTTCCGCCTGTTTTTTTTCTTCTTTTCCCACATACCGTCTGAAGCAATATATGCATATCCATCGTATCCCACAGTAAAGTTAACTTAGGTACTAACAGTTCCTATCGGTTAATAAAAGGTAACAATGGCATCTAAAATGAAAGCCCTAGTCACTGTCGAAGGAAAGACAGCGCAGGTTCAGGACGTAGATGTCCCAAAACCTGGCGGAGGAGAAATCATAGTCAAAACCCACTACGTTGCTCAAAATCCTACGGACTGGAAGAGTATGCTGTCCGTGCCCCCCGGCCGAATTTTAGGATGCGATTTCGCCGGCACAGTTCATGACAGCAACGGTTCCCACTGGAGAGAAGGACAGCGTGTTGCCGGCTTCGTATTCGGATCCTCCACCAACCCAACTCGAGGGGCCTTTGCAGAATACGTCGCTACAGAGGCGAGCTTGGTATATCTAATCCCAGACAATATTTCCTACCAAGATGCCGCCGCGATCCCCCTAGCTTTTGCAACCGCCGTGCAAGCTCTATTCCAGAGGTTGAAGCTGCCGGAGCCGAGCAACCCAGCTAAAAATGTCTTCCCTTTCCTCGTCAACGGGGGTACGTCAAGCGTCGGCCAGTACGCCATCCAACTAGGCAAACTAGCCGGCGCCTTTGTCATTGCTACCGGGTCCTCTCAGAATCACGAGTTGCTGAAGTCGCTGGGTGCTGATGCTGTCATTAACTATAAGGACCCGAATTGGACCGAAGAGGTTCGAAAGCTCACTCACAACGGACTCGAGCTCGTTCTCGATTGCATCAGCCAGCCTAGCACGGTAGAGGCAGTTTCAAAGACTCTGTCTCCAACGAAAGGCGGCCACATCGTTACCACCCTCGCTGTCGACAAGATCAGGGAAAAGATCGAAAACGAGAAAGTTAAACTGGAGAGCACTATCGTGTATACAGTATTTGGGCGTCCTATAAAGTACGACTCATTCGACAACTGTGGAGAGCCGACTCCGCAGGATAAGGCATTGTGGGAGAAGTACCTGGCCATGCTCCCAGAGTTGCTCTCTAAGGGTAAAATCAAGCCCAACAAAGTGAGAGAGCGGGGTGGCCTTGATAGCATATTGGCCGGCTTAAAGGAGCATCAAGAGGGCAAAGTCAGAGCTGAGAAGTTAGTTTACAAGATTTCATAGGCTATTAGCGTCAAAAGAAGTTAGGAGGTACATAGAATCGTAGGCACATGTCACCTTTTCATATCACAACTTTATGATTCTATTTTATCGTTACCACCCCGTACGATCCCTGGTCAAACAACTCAGCATGGCCCTATTAGCTTCTTCTTTGTCATCCCAGCCTCAACTCACGCTGCTGTCTTATCTGCATGTTTCTCGGGCGGGAATGGATTGTATGTGCCTCGGTCGGCCCGTAGTCCCCGTAACTTCGTGACCACCTCATCCAGAGACACAGGCTTACCCCGGTCCTGGGTCGATGTGTCGTCCCGATAACGCACATTTACTTGTCGGCCTTTCATTTCCTCGTCTCCAACCACTAAATTTTGTCGACCACATCAGCACTCTGATAGACCTAGATGAGAGACACCTAAGGCATGCGATCCTAAGAACGATTGTGGAATTTTTTTTTTTAAAAAAAAGGAAAGCTTACCGAATATGAAGTTATACTGTGCTAGCTGTGCGCTTCGCACCTTTTTGGGGAGCGTGTTTCCACTAGTATCGATATCGACGTATATCTTCTCCTTCTTGAGGATATCCCTAACTTCCTGTGCATATGACACGAATCCCATTCCAACTGGAATGACCATCACTTGACGCGGGCTCAGCCAGAAAGGCCACTTGCCTGCAAAGTGCTCGATGAGAATGCCTAAATAGTTTAACATCAGCAGTCCAATCACCTTCATGCTTCTCAGATCTTCTTACCCATGAATCTCTCTATAGACCCGGCCATGGCGCGATGAATAATCACCGGGCGTGCGCAACCGGGACTCAACGGTTTGATTACCCGTTCTCGTTTCGCCCCAGCCCCCTCTGTGCCCGCATCCGCAGCAGCAGCACTGACTGGCTGGACTTCGCTTGCTTTGGCTCTCGCGGTAGGTTCTTCCTGCTTAGGTTTCGCAGCGTGCGTCTCAGCCGTGACGTATTCGAGACCAAAATCTACCATGTGTTAGCGGCGAACATGTTAAACCACTAAAGGGCAGGAAGCAGTACTCTCGGGGCCCATGAAGTCAAGTTGAATGGTAGCACATTGCCACTCCTTAAAAATAATGTCAGTTCGGTGTTGTAAAGTAGACACACATGCAGTCGAAGCGTAAAGTAAACGCGATTGCCTATATCACGGTCTAGCCACAAAGTAGGGTAAGGGGTAGACAAACTCGGTTCAAACAGTCTAAGATCTTGATATCGATCTAAATCAGCGTTAGTGAAGCTGTACCCGGATATTTTTGCAAGGAAAAACTACCTTAGGTCCATAGAAGGCGCCGTCCCCCTCATTAAGAGTCCATGAAACACCATTGGGACCGGCAGCAAACCCATCAAGGGCCTCCTTAAGCATGCTCTCTGCCTTGTCCCAAGTTTCAATTTGGCCCATGAACTTTTCAGGGCGCGTGGATAGTTGAAGCTTGAAGGTAAATCCCAGAAGGCCATACATTTCGGATAGGAAATCGAACAAGTCGGTAATTTCGCTCGTAACTTGGTCAAGACGGCAAAATATATGGGAATCGTCTTGCTGGAAACGACGGACGCGAGTAAGACCAGATAGGGCACCGCTGGCCTCATTTCGATGCAGGACACCGAAGTCAGCAAGACGCAAGGGCAACTGGCTGTATACCTTAGGACTATGAGCAAACATGAGGAAATGGGCTGGGCAGTTCATGGGTTTCAGGCCCCATTTCTCCTTATCCAAATCTATGACAAACATATCATCCTGGTAATAATCCCAGTGTCCGCTCATCTTCCAAAGCTCCGAGTTGAAAATATTGGGAGTAATAACTGAAATGGAGAGTTAGCTAAATATAGAGGGACTAGTATTGGAACTATACAGACCTTCTTGGTAATCACGTTTGTGATACTGGTCACGAAGATATGCTAGGAGGGTATTATAGATCCTCGTGCCATGAGGCAAGAAGAAGGCCGAGCCAGGGGAGAGCTCGTGAAACATAAAAAGTTCTTGCTCTTTACCGAGTTTACGGTGATCTCGCTTGGCTGCCTCCTCCAAGAATTTTTTATGTTCCGCCATCTTCTTCTTGTCCGGGAAAGAAACGCCATAAATACGCTGGAGCGAGTCATTCTCCTGGGAACCTAAGAAGTATGATGCCGAGTTCTTCATGATGGAGAAAGCCTCTATACGGCCCGTATCAGGTACATGAGGCCCGCGACAAAGGTCAATCAAGGGGCCATTGCGGTATACTGTGGTAGAGGTGCCATCGGGAATCTTGGTGGATATGATGTGTTGCTTATATTTGTTGTAGCTGAACATTTCGAGAAGCTCGTCCTTAGTCATCTCGAGACGTTCGAATCGCTGTCGCTCTTTGACGATGTCTCCAACAATACGCTCCAGTGGTGCCCAGTCGCTTGTCTGGACAGCAGCTCCACCTGGTAGAGCCATCTCATAGTAAAAACCATCGTCAATCGGGGGTCCGATACAGAGGGAGCAGCCGAATCTCCTTTCGCATGCTTCACCGAGGATATGAGCTGAGCTGTGCCAGAACACTTCCTTTCCCTTAGGATCGTCGAAAGTTAACAGTTCGAGTTTACAGCTTTGTTCCAAGGGCCTCTCCAAGTCCCACAGTTTTTCTCCGTTTATTCTAGCAACGACAGAGCGTTTGTACAAGCTATTCGACACACCCTTCGCAATCTCACCGGGGGTTGTCTCCCAGCTCGTCCCTATCTTAATAGAGCCATCGGGTAGGGTAATTGTAATTTGCTCTCGCGGTCGCTTGGCAATGTCTTCGTCATACTTTTTCTTGAGACGATCAAATAATTCGAGACGTGTCTTGAGGAAATCGGGGGGTGGCGTCATTTCGAGAGGACCAGAGATAGCATCTTCGGCGGCTCCTTTGCTCTTCTTGTCCTTCTTTGAAGGCTTCGGTCCACCAACTACGACCTTTCTGACATCCACGGAACCGGCTTCGGCCATAATGCCTTATTGTTGTAAGGGAAGCCGAAAGTTTTCCACGCGCAAAGCGGAAATTAATATTGCGGGCCGCGACTTCAGAAGGTAAAAGATTCAAAGAAAGATTGATTTGAGTCACAAGGTTACGACCAATGGCACTGATGGAAGGAACAACCTGGTAAACGTACCGCTGTTGAAGAGTTCCAAATACAGTACCAGGGCAGCGCTTGCTTATCGTAAAATATTATTTTTAATAGTAACGCCTTTTAACCCCGCTAGCCCCGCATCTTTATGTTTTGCCCGAACTTATTTAAAATATTGCTCGTGCCCGAATTTGTTCGGGATATTATATTAACCCAGCTTGTCCGAATTAGGTAATTCGGCCGTGCGTAACGTTTTAAGTGTTTTTATTAAATGCATTATAAAAGAAAAAATGTTTTATTAAATGTATTTTTTAATAATAAAATTATTATAATTTAATTATATAATTAATTTTTATTATTATAAACTTTTTTTTAATAATAAAAGATTTTCTTTTTTATAATTTTTTTATAATTTTAAAAATATTATTATAATAATAATATTATATGTTTTTATATATATATTTATTTTTTATATAAATTTTAACCATTAAATATAATTATTTTTACATTTTTAAAACATATATATTTATTATATATTAAAAAATTAATACATTATAATTTTATATATATTATAAAAAAACATTTTTTTAATATATTTATTATTATGTTTTTATAATAAAATATTAATTTTTTTAATATAAAAAAATTAAATAAAAAATATTTACGTATTTAATTTAATAATATGTTTAATAATAATATTTTTTTTAAAAAAAGTTAATTTTCCATATATAATGGTTACGTGACACAAGTACGTACCTCGTTGCAGTACGTACCTAATAGAAAAAAGTACTTATGTACCTTAAATTATACAAGGATAAGTTTTCCTTTATCCTTTTTTAATTTACTTTTTTTTAAATATTAATAATATATTAATTTTACTTTATTATTAATTACTTTTATTATTTTTTATTTTTTATTATATACATATTTATTAATATTAATTAATAAATTTAAAAATTATTAATATAAATATATTATATATTTAAATATTTAAAGAAATAATAAATAAATATTAAAATTAATTTTAAGGATTTATAATAATAAATTTTATAAATATATTAAAACTATTATAATTAATATTTTAAATTACTTTAATATAATAAAGTATTTATATAAAATAATATAATATTAATTACGTAAAAATATTAATTAACTTTATATTATTATATAATTTATTTATATAAAATTTAAATAAATTAAAAGTAATTAAATAAAAGTAATTTAATATATTAATATAAAGCGTATTAATATATAATATTAAATAAAAATTAATTTACTTAAATGTATAAATGTTTATACGTATTTATATTATATTATAATAATAATTAATAATTTTTAATTTTTAAACGTTAATATATATAAAATAATATTTAATAATAAGTTATTAAAAGTAAAAAAGGATTATATTATTATTTATAAAGTTAATAATATATATTACAAGTAAAAAAAGGGTTATTTAATTAAAGTAATAAATTATATTAATATTTTATATTTTACTGCCCATTTAACTATAAAAGCTTATAACTTAGTCCTTTCTTTATTAAGCGCTTAGCCTTTCCTTTACCTCCTCCCCTCCCCCCTTTCTCCCTTAATAAAATAATTAACTAAACTTTTAAGTACTAATTACCTCCTTTTCTTTCTTTTTTTTCCCGTAAGGAATTACTGCACTTCCTTAAGTTACTTCTAGTAATATTTACCTTAATAATCTAATATATATAATTTAATAAAAATATAATTAAAGATATAATTTTATATATAATGATAATTTAATATAAAGAGCATAATTTAACTTATTAATTTTAAGAAATGTTTTTAAATTTTTTAAACTGTTATTAGGTAATTTATATATAATATTAACAGTTTTACAAGACGTTAATTAAAAAAAAGGAAATTACTTTATTAAAAACTTTATTTTTTTTTAAATAACTTTATTACTTATATAAATAAATAATTAATAAAATGATAAAAATAATTATATAAAAAAACTTTATAATATTTTTAAAAATAATTTCTTTTAATATTTATTATATAATTAAAATATAATAATTTTTATTTTATATTATATTTTTTATTATTTTTACCGAAAAAATAATTATTTATTTTTTTATAATATATTTTAATTTTAATAGTAAATAAAAGAAAATTTAATATTATTATAATTAAATATTTATTACCTTTTTTAATATTAAAATAAAAAAGTAAAATAAAGGAAAAATTAATATAAAAATATTTTAAATTTTTTTTAATAAATTATTATTATATTAAAAAGTATTAGGTTTTAATTTTAAAAAGGAGTAACAATTTATTACGGCAGTATATTAAGCTTATTAAACTGTACCTTAATTGTAGTATATTTTCTTAAGTTATTAATATAATTTAAAAATTTAGTAAATAAATTTTAAATATTTATTAAAACTTATAAAAGGAATAAAATAATTTATAATAAATAATAATAATAATAAATAAATAAATAAATTTATTATATTAATTAGAAATATTATTATTATTATTATTATTATTATTATTATTATTATTATTATTATTATTATTATTATTATTATTATTATTATTATTATTATTATTATTATTATTTATTATAAATTATTTAAAATATAATTGAAAAAAAGTTAAAAAAATAAAAGGTTAAGTAGGGCTTTTTTAAAAAGAATTATATAATATTTTTAACAAATTACAAAAGATTTAAAAACTTAAATTTAGAACTTAAATATAAAGAAAGTAAATTAACTAATTTAATATTAAAATTTAATAAAAATAATAACTTATATATAACTGCTGTTTACTTATTTAATTAAGTATTTTATTATTATATTATTACTTTTTTCTTTTTAAATAGTTTCAAATTTAATATTATTTTTATTTTAAATTAATATATAAAAAATATTTTTAAAGGATTATATTAAATATAAAAGCTATTTATATATTTATAATTAAAAATGGTTAATATTTTTATTATTATTTAACAATATAAATTAATTAAAAATATACCTTAATAATATTATTAATTAATTAATATTTAAGAATGGTATAACGGTTAATATTGAAAAGAAATAAGAATATTTATGGTTTTAATTTAAAAACGTTACTTATTTTATAAAAATAAAATTACAATATTTATATATGTATTTTAATTATCCATTAATTAATAAATTATATAACTTTTTAAATAAAACTGAATATAATATTAATATAAATAACTTTAAAAAAATAATAAATTTTATTATTATTATCAAATTAAGGATAAAGCTTTTTAATAATTTAAGTTTATTTTAAAAAATTTAAATATAAAATTTAATTATAAATAATTGTTAATATTATATATTTAAATAAGAAATTGGGTTTAAATGTAATTAATATGGTTATAAGTTTTTAAATAATATAATTTATAAAAAATATTTTTAATAAAAAAATTAAGAAATATTAAATTAATATTAAATTAATATTTACTTGAGCTTTTTTAATGTTATTTTTTATAATGCGGGCACGAATTTCAATAACCTTAAGTTCTAAAATAAAGTACGGATAATAAGAATTATTTATTATTAAATATTAATAGAAGTTTATTAATTTATTAAAAAGGTTAAAGGATATTATAACCTTATTTATAAAATATATAAAATTATTATTAATAAATTTAAAAGTTTTAATTTAAAAGTATTACGTTTTTAAATAGTTATTAAGGTAGTTAATAATATTATTAAGTTAAATAATTTTATTTTAACTTTTTTAATTTTTAATATTTATTTAAAAATTAATATAGATTTATTATTTACTGTTGCATAAACTTAAAAAGTATAAATAATTTAAAGGGTAATAATAAAAATTAAGAAAATTAAGTTACAATGCTTTATTTATAATACCTTAAATACTCGTAACGGATCCAACATTAAAGTAACTTTTTTTATGTTTCTCTTTATTAATAATAAAGCATTTATTTATAAAGAAAATAGCAGTTAAAAGGGATTTTATAAGGTTATTATAGTTATTAATAAGGACGTTACTGTTGCCTTAAATACGTTAAGTGGGACATCCACTTTTTAAAACTTATATATTAAATTTTATATTTAATTTAAAAAGAACTTAATTTTATTAAAAGAAATTAAAATTGAATTACTTAAGCTTATATTTAACTTTTATAATTATTAAATTATTTTAAAAAGGACCTTATATATATTAATAACTTATTATATATTATTATTTTATATATTAATATTAAAGAATAGGATAATTTTAATTTAGTACTTTAATTTTAAGCAAATGGGGAGATAATTATATTAAGAAAACTATATAAGGTATTAAATATAAACGAATTAGATATTTTGTTTGAAAAAGGTATTTTGCAACTTAAAATATATAATATAATAATATATTAAGGAATAATAATATTTTTATATTTTATAAAAAATTACGTTTAATAATTTAAAGATATAATAATTTTAATAAAGAATTTATTATAATATATATATTTATTATTTAAAAAGCTAGTTAATAATTAATATTAATTTTTATTTTTATATTTTAAGGAAATATTATTATATATTATTAAATTTTTATATAATTTTATAAAATTAAATACTTATTAATTTAAAATTTATTTATATTATTATTAATAAAAATTCTATATAAAATTATTAATATTTAACTTTTATTTATTAATAATGGATTTAAATTTATTTGAATTTATTAACTTTTAAACGGATAATATTTTAAATATAAATATAATAAAATTTCTTATTATTAAAAATAAAGTATTTATTAAAATTAAAATTAAGGTATATTTTTAAAAGATATTAAATAATAGAATTAAGGATTATAAAATTATTATTATTTAAAAAAATTAAATTAAAAAATTGGCGTTATTGG